GGGGGGGGGAGGGAGGAGGGGAAGGAGGAAAGCTCAAGAACAAAGTCGGCTGCAGGGCAGAGAGCTCTAGCAAATCTAGGCTGGGAACTGCGAGCCACCAGGACTCCAAAAGGAAAACCTGAAAGACGAACTGTCATTGCTGCAAGCAGAGGACGGTGAAGGGATCACTTCAACGCGGTGGGAAAGAGCAGCGCCAATAAAAAACGAACAACTCCCGGCGTATCTAAAACGAGTTCGGCAAGAACTGTCACTTGTTAAAAAAAAAAAAGAAAAGAAAATCAAACATCGATGCATCTTCAGGCGAGCCGTCAGATCCCAACTAGCTTCTTCATCAATGAGACTCTCTGCCGGACTCCTCCACAAAACGTAAATCAAAGTAAGCCCTGCCCGCTCTCTTACCCATCCGGTTCACCTTCCCCTCGCGGGCAGGCCTCCGGCGACTGCCATGCCTGCTCGGTTTCATTAAAAAAAATGATAATGATAATAATTTTTAAAAAATGGAAGCGTTTGGAAAACTGTCAGCAGGTCTCCAGCAGGGATTTCGAGTTGGGCATAAATTGGTGCGCCCCTGACAGCACTAAACCAGGTCAAGCGACAGGTCCTGCTTCTCCACCCACTCACCCACCTCCACTAACGCGGACGTGGCCGCAAACCCAGCTCCGATCCCCGAGGTGCCCCTCGGCCCCGCAGTTCCTGCCACACCTCCCATTTCTCCCCAACTGCTCAGGTGCCACGGCGGTGGGGGGTGCGGGGGAGACCTCGGGGCCACGGGGTCGGGCAGGCTTGCCGGCAGCGACCGTTCATTGGCCAGCTCCAGAAACGGACAGGCCACGTAGCCAATGAGAAGCCCGCACGGGGCGGGGCGCAGGCCGGGTAACGTGCTCGAAGGAAGAGCGGCCTCTGAGAAGAGAACCACGTCGGGGCAGGGCAGGGGATTCGGGCTCTCGGACGGCGGCGCGACCCGCGTGGCGGGGGGCCGGGGAGGGGGGGCCCGCGAGTCAGCGGGATCAGCACTCACCCACGGCGACAGCGCCCATAACTGCATCCCCTCAATGGGCCTTTGGGCCGGGCAAGCCAGCTCTGACTTCCTCCCGGTGACGAATACAGAGCGACGGCGCCGAAGCCGGACTCGACCCCTTGGAAAGCAACAACTTCCGGAACGCGGCATTCTGGGAAGCGGCTTCGGGGGCGCTCCCCGAGTCCCGCGGCGCGGACGCTGTTTCCATTGGCGCCTGCGCGCGCGGCCGCGCCGGAAGCCCCGGATACTGGGAGGGTCTTTGAGGCCGCAGGACAGAAGCGCGGTGTATCGTCGAGTTGTGCACGCTCGGCTGTGGTTAATTTTTTTAAGCTCTTTCAGGAGGGGAACCTGGTGGAGGTCAGAGGCCGGTCGACGCTAAGATGCACCTTAATCAAACATACGCCATCTAAAAGTGCAGAAGAGAGCCTTTGCGCTTCACGCTTCGCCCCCAATCTTGTCCTGTCGATTTCTACAGTTGAGTACAGGAATTGCCCTTGATCTCTTAAAATTATGTGTGCGTCCCACTCTGCGAAGTGAAATTGAAATATATTAAATTTAAATATATAAGTGCAAACTTAAATGTATATTGTTAATGATATAACAATATTTATAAGTATCAATATAATAGCCCTGCAGCACTGCCCTCCCATTCATCATTTTGCCTTAGTGGGCACCAGGAACATCTCCATTGTGAGACTTGTTACTGTTTTTGGCATATAGAATACACCCGGGGAGCTTGCCGAGCTCTGCCATGTGGGTGGGATACTCTCAGTAGCTTGCTGAGCTCTCCAAGTGGGACAGAAGAATCGAACCCAGGTTGGCTGTTTGCAAGACAAAGGCCCTACCCGCTGTGCTATGCTCCAGCCCATCATAACAATATATTTATAAAAGTGTATCTATTAATATAACAATATATAAATATATCACATACATAATATCTATCAATATCAATGTATCTATAATATCAATATAGCATACATATAATATCAACATATATGGATTGCTGCTATGGAGTTTGAGTAGAAGACAAAATTAATTGCTAACTTTGATAAAAGGACAAAAGCGACAAGTGGAAAATAGGTAAGGTGTGTATTAAGCAACTCACAACAAAAGAGCAACTGATCTTGAAAGAGATCTGAAGAAATGTTCAGTTATTCTTCTTGTAATTTAACAGAGAAAATAGGTTACATCCTGACTTCGCAAATTGGCCAGGTTAACGATGGTTAAATTTGCAGGGAGATTGGTCCTACTGCTCTTTTCTGATAGGATATTTTTGCTCCCATCCCCTTCACACACACATTCCTGCCGTGAGGAAATAATGTTGTGTAGGAACTGGGGTGCTGGGAGAAGCGGGTATTGCTGGATGCAAGGCAATAACGCCTGTACATCTTAGCACAGTCCTATCTCTCTGCCCACCACTAATAGTTTTTTCTGTAGTTCTCTTCACTTAACAGGATTTCATTTCTATTGTAAAAGTCAGAACTACGGTTCTACCCACTTCCTGAGCCTAGAAAGCCTTAACCCTTAACAAATGCACTGCACGTACCTTTCTGAACTCACCTACAAGGGCCTTAACCCTTGACAAATGTAATTCGTGTACCTTTTTTAACTCACCTACAAGGCTGCATTGTACCACTGAGCCACAATCACGGCCTTTGCAGTTGGTGTCCCAATTGTAACTGTTCACTCCTTGAAAGTGTCTTTCTCTGGGCTAGAGCTATAGAGCACAGCAAATAGGGCATTTGCCTTGCATGCGGCCATCCCGGCTTTGATTCCCAGCATCCTATATGGTCCCCTGCCAGGAAGAATTTCTGAATGCAGAGCCTGGAGTAACCCCTGAGAATTGCTGAGTGTGACCCAAACGCTAAAAAAAAAAAAAAAAAAAAGTGACTTTCAGAAAAATTGAGCAGTCTAGGTCTAAAAGCCACTGATCACTCTTGCTGTCTTATATATACTACATCTTTGCCTAGCTGTTACCACAGTTTATTTTTGTTATTTTTCTATATATTTCCTCCTATCCACATATATATGTGTATATATATATATATATATATCTGCAAATGTAAGCACTTTGAAGATGGCACACCCTTGTCTTACTTGGAACTATAGCTATAGTAACTGGAAGTGTCAGGACCATAGTAAATGTATAATAAGGGTTTTGTTTGGAGGCTACACCCAGTAAGATGCTCAAGGCTTACTCCTGGCTCTGTACTTAGGGATTACTCATGGTGAGGCTTGGCGACCCATCGGTGGCGATGGATTAAACCTGGACCAGCCAAGTACAAAGCAAGTGCCCTAATCATGGTTCTATTGGTTTGGCCCCTTTAATGAAAGTTCTCAATTCAGAAAATCAACCATTAGAAATAAAATGCTTCTGCAGAAATGTTGACAGCAGTCGCCTTCACTCTTCCCTACATTAATGTGCCTGCAGGTGCACCTCCTTAAGTGCTCACAGAGACCACCCATTTTGCTTCTCCCTAATGCCCTACCACTCTGTCCTTCCGGGACCAACAGGATCTCTCTATCCTGGCAAGATCAGAATATGGGATCACAGGATAAAAGATCCCAATCAACATTGTTACCAAGTATAATTCAAATTTGTGTGTGTGTTTTTAAATTTTTTGTGTGTGCTTTTTTATATTAAGACACTACGTTTTAAGTTGTTCATAATAGAGTTACTTCAGACAGTGTTTCAACATGAATCATCACCAATGTCCCCTTCCTTCCACCAGTGTTCCCAGGTTCCTTTCTAACTCCTACCCCCTTGGCAGGAATATAACAGATATATTCCATAGCACTTGCTCCAACAAAACTTAAAGGAATCAGGGCCAGAGCAATAGCAAAATAGCACAATGGGTAGGGCATTTGCTTTGCACGTGGCCAACCAGGGTTAGATCCCTGGCTCCATATGAGCATCCCATTTGGTCCCCTGAACACTGCCAGGAGTAATTCTTGAGTGCAGAGTCAGAAGTAATCTCTGAGTACTCCTAGGTGTGGTCCCAAAACAAAAACTCTTAAAGGCATAGCAAGTAGAATTATCAGAAAATAATTCAATAAGCCAACTTGTGATGATTGACTGTTATAAGATGGGGGAGAGCTTTTTAATGGGTCACACCCAGCAATGCTCAGGGCTTACTACTGGCTCTGCACTCAGGAATTACTCCTGGCGATGATCAGGGGGACCTTATGGGAAGCTGAGGATCAAACCTTGGTCCACCAAGTGCAAGGCAAATGTCCTACCTACCCGCTGTACTATTCGCTCGGGTCCTGCTATATGATATATATATATGATATGTATATATATATGATATATATGATATGTATATATATGATATATATATATTTGCTTTTTGGGTCACACCCAGCTATGCACAGGGGTTACTCCTGGCCCATGCACTCAGGAATTACTCCTAGCGGTGGGAGGGACCATATGGGATGCTGGGAATCAAACCCAGTCGGTCGCGTGCAAGGCAAACACCCTACACACTGTGCTATAGCTCCAGTCTGCTATCTGATTTTAATCTATGTAAATTCAAATCAATACAATACTGTATACTATCTCATTTATATAACTAAGTTTTCAACCCTCGCATGTAAAATGTATTGCATTATATTTTATTCTGTACTTGGGTTTTACTGTAGTAATTATCATTTCTTCCCTATCATAAAACTTCTTTTAAAAAATTCTCGGCTACCGTTCCCATGAAATAGTGGGCAAAACCTGCTAAATTAAACTCGGGTTTAAATTTGAGAAGCACATCCCGCTGCTTTGATGGCCCAGCAAACCATACCAGCCATATTTCTTGTCGTTGTCAGCAGCTGAAAATGCCAATGGGTTGGTCCCTAAACTCCAGGTCTGTGATGTACGAGCTGGACCCAGGAGCAGGGGCCGGCCGGCGGCCTTTCGGGTCCGCGTGTGCTTCCGGGTCACGTACGCATGCGCACAGCCTGGACGTGTCCTGCCACACCCCCGTCCCGCCTGCCTGTGTGCGGCTCGCCGGCTTCGGGGCAGTCTAACCCTGACATTGTCAACCGAGATGTTCGTGCACCCAGGAACCCCGGGGTAACTGCAGCGAAGGGGGCCCCGTGGCTAGAGGTGAGTCTACTGCCCGCGACCGTGCAGAGAACCCGGAGTTTCCAATACGGTGGCCAGTCCCACCCTTGGGTCACCGAGAGCCGCGGCAGCGCCGCTTTCCCACGCGTGCACACCGCTCATTGGTCAGAGCCAGCGGGAGCCCCGCCTCCATCCGGGATCCGCCCCTCCCTCCGGGTCCTGTCAGTTATGAGGAGCCACGGCGCCTGCGCACTAGGCCATACGCGGGGCATCTGGCTAGGACGCTTTCCGCAGACCCCAAATTAAGCTATTAAGTTGGTATTTCAATCTCGAGAATGAAACGAAGTGAGAGGAAAAACAATGATTCCTCTTTGTTTTGAGAACAGAGAATGAAGTGAGCTTTGAGAATGAAGCTCACTTCATTCTCTGTTCTCAAAACATTCTTAAGTCAGAATTCTCCCGAGAGGTTTTTGGTGGTTTTTTTTTTTTTGTATTTTATGGTTATTTAGTTTTTTGTTTTTGGGGTCCCACCCAGCATTAATTAATTTCACTCAAGGAATTACTACCGGAATTGCTCTGGGGACCATATGGGATGCCGGGGATTGAACCCGGATTGGACATGTGCAAGGCAAGCAGTTTTACCTGCTATACTATTTTTCCAGCTCCCAGTTGAAATCTCATGACAGTAATGCGGGAAAATCAGCGACTTGATACCGAGTGGTCCAGCTTATGGATCCCTTGGTCCCTGAATTTTTCGCCTGTTGGTAATGCACTCTCCAGACTTTCAAACAAAGCATGGCCTTCTCCCTGTGCCGGTGTCACAGTCACGGTCACGGTCCTCCCGTTGTTCATCGATTTGCTCAAGCGGGCCCAGTAATGTCTCCATCATGAGACTGTGTTTGGCATATTGAATACGTCACGGGTAGCTTTGCTGTGCGGGCGAGATTCGGTAGCTTGCTGGGCTCTCTGAGAGGGGCAGAGGAATGGAACCTGGCTCGGCCGGCCGGCTGCTCACAAGGCAAACGCCCTACCTCTTGTGCTATCGCTCCAGCCCAGCCTTCACCTTAAGTAACTTAATTCCTAGAGTGACTAAAGGAATGTGTCATCTTCAAGTAAATGTTGGTTGCTCCCAAAGTTGCTCCATCCCCAGCTGGACTGCTGTAAATTCAGTAACTGTATAACCCTCTGCCTGTCAACCATTTCCCCTTAATGACAGTTTTGTTGGTGCACCATTAGAACCTGCTATATCTGTACTCATGTTTCAATTTCCACTGTCCTCTCGTCCAGGCAAATAACCGACAAGCTTTACTTAAAGCTTGGGGATCATTCTTATAATCTTACACATGGAATCAGTAAATTGTTTTGATTCCACTCTCTTAATTCTGCACATTACACTTATTATGCTCACTGAGGGCCAGCCGCTGTGGTACACATGTGCTCACCAAGGTCACACTCCTGGCCACAGAGCTCAACAGAGGCCGCAGATGTAGTTGCCATGTTCACACACACACACACACACACACACACACACACACACAGTGACTGAGGACCAAAGATCACACATCTGGTCCTGCCCTGGGGGGGGGGCGGGGGGGCTAGACAAGAGGGTCCAGCTTTGCTTAGTATACATGAGTGGCACTGGGGATTGAGCTCAAGGCCTCATGCCTGCAAGGCAACACTTTTAACCATTGGGCCACCACCAACTTTTGTCCCCCCAGGGTCTCCTTTTACAAGGAGAACATCGGAGCCAACAAAGATTCAGAAAAAAATGCGCCCATATAGTTTATTATCCAAATGAAGTTATTTTTGTCTATGATAAACGCCAAACCCGTCAGAACAAAATGATGAACAGTTTGACTGTTCCTAGTCACCCTAAAGAAACCTTCTGGGGGCTGGAGGAATAGTACAGCAGGAGGCATTTGCTGTGCACAACACCAATCTGGGGTCAATTCCCCAAACCCCATATGGTTCTCCTAGCATGACCAGGAGTGATCCCTGAGCACTGCCAAGTATGCCCTTCCCCTACCCCGCAAAATGTAAGGAACTCAAATGAACTTTTTGTATTCTCTATTTTAGAACTTATTTCAGTGTAAAGTGCCATGTGTCTTTTTTACCCCCCAACAGACCAATGATACTGTGGTAATGAGAGTTGTAAGGACATTTGTTGTAAAAACACAGGGTAAAGGGATAATGTGATGTGTATATATTCTAGTCGGTGAAGGCAACCCAGTATATACAAGAGTATATTATGGTTTCCTGACTTATGTCCGGTTAATCCTAGTGAGCACCCCTCTGCATTTATGCAGTTTTATCATTATCATGTGTTTTTAATAAACCCCACTACAGTAATCTATCGCCCTTTCTCTCTCCTCTCTCTCACTCTTCCTCTTCCTCTCCCTTACCCTCTCCTTCTGGTCTTTGGGCCCCACCCCCTCTTCTGTTACTTCTGGCTCTGCGCTCAAGAGTCGCTCAGGAATCCCTGTACTATGGCTCCAGTCCCCCATTTTTTTCTTCTCTTTTTAAAGGCACTTTAGAGATGGGGCCAGAGCAATAATACAGCGGGTAGATCAGTTGCCTTTCATGTGACTGGCCCTGATTCAACCCCCAGCACCCCATATGGTCCTCCGAGCACTGCCAGGAGTTATTTCTGAGCACAGAGCCAAAAGTCACCCCTGAGCATCGCCAGGTAGACCTAAAAACCAAGAAAAAATTAAAAAATCAGTAAATAATAAAGGCACATTATAGGAACTAGCCAACTCGTTGCGCACGTGCCGTTTTCAAATGTTAAAGAACTAAAGCAGCTCTATTGGGTGAGATAAAGCCAACTGGGACAAAAGGAAAAGAACATAGTGGACCAGCCAAGCTTCCCCTGTGGAACAGATTTACCTCTCATTGAGTCTCCAGCGCTTTCCTTTTGACGACGATTAGGCCCCTAAGCCCCACGATCATCCCCATATGTTCCAGTTAACACCCTTTTCATCTTCACTGTTCCACTCTTATCAGTACGTCCATTGGGATCTAAACATACCATCATAAGCTCCAGGATGGAGCGCTGTGGTACCTCACGCGTCCAGGTCTGTGAAACTCACAGCCAGTGTTTGAAACAGCATAAAATCACTCCTCGGAGTCTCTGTGCGGGTCATCAGCCGGTTCTTCTCTCTGCAAACCTCACCTGTCCCGTCTCCTCCTTCTTAGGCTGCAGCACCAGTGCTCAATGAGGTATTTTTCCCCCTCCCATATTTATTGAGGTGCCATGATTCACAGTATTTTTTATGGCAGTTTTATGTAGACACCGTTCCCGCTTTCCACCCACCACCCGAGTTCCTGCCTCTCTCCACCCATGTCCTAAGGGCTCTCCACCTCGTCTGTGAATTCTTTCCCAGGGACTTTTCTCTTGTCTGTCCCTGCATTCTTTTCTTCGACATTTCAGACAGTCCCTAAAATGATGGTGTGGACTCTGAGTGAATGGAGACGCCCTCGAGGCGAAGTCCAGGTGGGAAGGGTCAGGAGGAAATGTATATGCTCCTATCTACTCTGATCTTCAGAGCTGCCCAGAGACTTTTCCCTGAAGGGGTGGAGTGCAGAGGTAAGATGAGATCTCCAGGGACAGTGACTGTCCTGAGGCCTGAACACTTGCCAGAGCTGAGGAAAAAGAGCTAGCTGTAGCTTGAGACTCCAGGAATCACTAACTTGGCCGGAGTCCCATCTGGGCACAGGCAGACTGAAGAAATACTCTGGTCTCCTTTTTTTCTCATGCTCCCATCTCCAGCAAGATCACTTGGGGTGTCAGCTGTGCAAGGCACCAGAGTCAGCTTCTGTGGGCAGTGAAGGTCCAGCAAGCCCCGTTCCAGGGCAAAGAAAATAAGGACCAAGAAATGGTTTTGAGAACACACAGTAAAGTGCAGGAGAGTATAGTCTAAACTGTGAGACTTTGAATTGAGTCTGAAAAGTGAGACTTTGGGGCTGGAGCGATAGCATAGCAGGTAGGGCGTTTGCCTTGCGCGCAGCCAACCTGGGTTCAATTCCCAGCATTCCATATGGTTCCCCCAAGCACTGCCAGGAGTATTTCCTGAGTGCACGAGCCAGGAGTAACCCCTGTGCAGTGCTGGGTGTGACCCAAAAAGCAACAAATTTTTAAAAATTTAAAAATAATAAAAAGTGAGACTTTGAATATAGTCTAAACTTGAGTATTTGGTGATGGGGGAAGGCACAGATTGAGGTCTGTACTATTTCTCTAGAATTTCCCTTTCCTACCAACATTTCTGTCTCCAGAATGCCTCCTTCTCTATCTTACCTTTCCTCCAATGATTATCCCAGCTCCTCTGCCTTTCACATCTTCCTTGAGAGTTCAGTTCATTGACCCATGGTAATACCTATACTTTTCACTTAGTACTTAAACTTTTATTTTTTGTTTTTTTATTATTTTTTGTTTTTTTGGGGGGGGGGGTCACACCTGGCTCTCACTCAGGAATTACTCCTGGCAGTGCTTGGGCGACCATATGGGATGCCAGGGATCAAACTCACATTAGCCGCATGTGAGGTAGATGCCCTACCCATTGTACTATCACTATGATCCCAACACTTATCCTTTTAATCTTCACTGCTCTGTATCTTGTTTGATAAACATCAATTGGGTCCAGAGGTGAAATAGAACCATCCAGGAAGGAATAATTAAGTATTCCACATAGAAGCTGCTCAGTAAACCTTTTAACAAGAATAGAAGGACTTCTAAGAAAGTGCCATTAACAGAACCCATGGTGTTTGGTTTCTCTTTGAGAAGGTAAGCCGTTTTCTCCTTCGCAGCAGCGGAGCTCAGCTCTTCTTTTCCTTTCAGAAGCATAACCCTTTTTTTCCCTGATGAATTTGGAAGGACCATAGGTAGTCTCTTCATAAAACTTCAGATGACACCAAAACGTATGCATAGAATCTCTCCCTTCTTCCCTTTATTCTCATTAAATCAACTGTTAATATTTGGTGAATACTCTTTCTCACATTTTCCATGAATATGTGATAGTAGCACTGCAGCACTGTCCTCCCATTGTTTATGGATTTGCTCGAGCGGGCACCAGTAACGTCTCACAACAAATTGTGAGACTTGTTGTTACTGTTTTTGGCGTATCGAATACGTAACGGGGAGCTTGCCAGGCTTTTGCGTGCAGGCGAGATACACTCAGTAGCTTGCCGGGCTCTCCGAGGGGGGCGGAGGAATTGAACCCAGGTCAGCCGCGTGCAGGGCGATATTCTATGTGCATATATACATATTTCTGTTTTATTGGGTGTCCACACCTAGCTGTGCTCAAGGCTTTCTCTTGGCTTTGTACTCAGGCATCCCTCCTGGCAGGGCTTGGGGAACCATAAGTGGTGCCAAGAGATGAAACTCTGATAGACCTTGGACCAGGCAAGCACTGTGTCATCTCTCTGGCTCTGACATTGATCTCTATCGGTATTGCTATTGGGATAACTCCAGAGGTCTGATTAACTATCAAAATGCAACTGAACTTGATGCTTCATTACTGTTATTAGAGTTTTCTCAATCCTCCCTGCCTTTCCACCACCGTTGTCCTTTTCCTGGGGTCCTTAGCATAGATTATCTGAAAATAAATGGGGTTGTTGTTAGCAGGTAGGGCACTTACCTTGCACATGTCAACCTGGGTTCAGTCAATCCCCAGTGTCCTATATGCTCCACCATGTACTGCCAGGAGTCATTCCTGAGTGCAGAGCCAGGAGTAAGCCTTGATCACTGCTGGGTTTGTCTCAAACAAAAGAAAACATGAAAGGACATCTGAAAGTAGAATCATGGGGAGATACTCTAAGTTTCAGCATTTTGTTGTTGTTATTGAGAGTTGGGGACAGACGGGCACATCTGACGGTACTCAGGGCTTAGTCTGGACTCTGCACTTAGGAATTACTTCTGGTGGGCTTGGGGGGACCATATGGAATGCTGGGGATCCAAACACCCTACCTGCTATCCTATCTCTCCACCACCCCCCCCTCAGTATCAGCTGTTATGAAGATGTTACATATGTGTCCAGAAAGTAGCCATGAGCTCCCCCAAGGTCATTAATGCAAATTGTCTCATCTGCCCTTGCCTCCTTAGACCCTAATGGATATCTGGAAATGACAGAGATGGAAGAGGCTGAGGCCCAGCTATCAGAGCTGGACCTGCTGGTCAGCATGTTCCCAGGCGAGAACGAGCTCGTTGTGAACGACCAGTTGGCTCTAGCAGAACTGAAGGACTGCATTGAAAAGAGGACAACGGAGGGGCGATCCTCAAAAGTTTATTTTACTCTCAATATGAACCTGGACATATCCAAGGAAGCAACGGTAATTCCTTTTCTATTTCAATTTTTTTTTCCTCTCAGGGAGTTGATTCATTTTCAGTTTATTCTCAGGGAGTTTACTCAGTTTCCTTCCTAAAACACTATTGTTCCATCCCGTCTAACACGGCCCGGGATTTCTATCTTCATAATAAGAGATGAAGCTTAGAACTGGATCCCTTGTCCCTTTCTCTTTTTATCGCCTCCCAGTTCCAAATGCTGGCATCTCCTAATGGCCAGCCTTCTGTTAGATCTGCAGTTGGGCTCAAGGAGTTCAAGGCTCAACACAATCTTCTTTGTAGTTTTAGCCTTTTTCCAGAAAACTGGCTTAGTCTGACCCCTGTAACCACTCTGCTTCCTATCATAATGCCACTTTCCCTGGACATACAGAGAAACCTTGCCCTTTTGCACTGTGTGACTTTGTGGGGCTGATGTTTGCCATATTTCTTACAAAAAGGTCTGGCAGGTTTTCAGTACATTCACCAGGCTTGTGGGAGTAATGTCCTCGAGGAAAGGTAATTTTTTTAAATAAGGAACATGGACTGGAGTGATAGCACAGTTGGTAGGGCGTTTGCCTTGCACATGGCCGACCCAGGTTTGATTCCCAGTATCCCATATGCTCCCCCGAGTACCACCAGGAGTGATTCCTGAGTGCAGAGCCAGGAGTAATCCCTGAGCATCGCTGGGTGTGACCCAGAAAAAGCAATAAATGAATGAATAAATAAATAAGGACCACACCTTGCAGTGCTGGGGACCCTGGCTCCCCACCTAGCAGAGCTGCATCCATGTAGCTTGAGACCACACCTGGGGAGTGGGGTGCCATGGAGTGAATTCGAGACCATGTACATGCTGGGCACATTCTCTACCATTTACGTTATCTCGTGGGCCCTCAGTTTTGTTTCCAGGAGAACTGAAGCGTCTCAAGATCTAAAACAACTCTTAGGGGCGTTTTATTTTTCAGGTGGTGTTTTCGCTGGCCTGTATTCTTCCCTTTAAATACCCTACAGTACTGCCTGAAATCACCGTCAGGTATGTTACAGAAATCGGCTGATTTGAATCATTCATCAGAGAATAAAAGTCATTCATGTTGGTTTTCTGTTCTAAGCGAGGGGATTGACTTTTTGAGTGTCCTGTCTTTTTTCCTTTGCTCAGATCCGTCGTCCTGAGCAGATCCCAGCAGACTCAGCTGAACTCAGACCTGACTTCCTACCTGCAAACAAACTGCCTGGGGGACGTGTGTATACTGAATGCCACGGAGTGGGTTCGAGAGCATGGCTCTGGCTATGTCAGCAGAGACATAGCACCTGACCCTGTCTCCGGAAGTACAGTGCCGCCAGGAGACCTCATTCTCACGAGACTGTGGATCTATAGCCATCACATCTACAACAAATATAAAAGAAAGAATATTCTAGAGTGGGCAAAAGAGCTGTCCCTCTCTGGGTTTAGCATGCCCGGGAAGCCTGGTGTCGTCTGTGTGGAGGGCCCGCAAAGTGCCTGTGAAGAATTCTGGTCAAGGTTGGTTTTCTCCCGTTTTTGTATTGCCAGGTCAGTCCTTGTCATACTGAAGAAGTTACTAGACATGTGGAAAATGGTATGTCCCTGACATTGTATCTGAAGGGAATTCGGTCTCAATTCAGAGGATAAAATAAAGATATACAGATGAAGAGCATCCTTCCACCTTACCTGACTGCTCCCGGGTGATGATCTTGTAACAAGCAGATATTGTGTCCAGCCCCTGCCTGAGAAATGAGCTGCCATCCTTTCCATTGCCATGGATCTGGGCCTTTCCACATCGTAGCATGTGGTTAGCTGTGTTTACCTTGTGAAATAAAAGGATTCCAAATCTTTTTCTCACTGTTTCCCCAGCTGTGTTTCTTAGAAGTCCCTTTGGGAGTGTGAGAATCAGTAATTTTTACATTACTGAAATGCTTACACAAGACAGTGATTAAAAAAAAAAAGCAATACATGAGTTGGGGATGAGGCAGGCTAAGGACCAGAATCGCATTGGATTAAAATAAATTCCTGTGAGATAGATTTTTTTTACCAGCAAGGAAATAGTCTTGCTGGATCTGATTTTAGAAATTCTGTTTTCAGGGGTTGGAACAACAGGGGTAGGGCATTGCACTTGTTCAACTCGATTCATTTCCCAGCATCCCATATGGTTCCCTGAACACTACCAGGAGTCACATCTGAGTGCTTCAGGGTGTGCCCACCCCGCCCCCAGAAAAAAATTCTATTTGGGGGGTTGAGAATGTTCATTTTCAAATTTTCTGCTTTAAAAACATTTTTCCTTCCAGGCTCAGAAAATTAAACTGGAAGAGAATTTTAGTTCGTCATCGAGAAGATATTCCTTTGGATGGTGCAAATGCTGAAATGGAAAGACAAAGAAAATTTTCAACGTTTGAAGAAAAAGTGTTCAGTGTTAATGGAGCCAGAGGGAACCACATGGATTTCGGTCAGCTCTACCAATTTTTAAATGCCAACAGGTGTGGAGAGGTTTTCCAGATGCTCTTTGGTGTGGAAGGACAATGACCAAGCAGAAGACCCATTGAAAATTTTGAACCTTTTGATTCCAAGCTCCCACCCCCCCACCCCCAACATCTTTCTTCAAAGATTAAGTGATGTTTATTTTTGTCCATTTCAGAAATGTGTGGGGAAGTGGGAGGGGAGATGAAGTGATACAGCCAAAATGTATGCGCTGCACTTGAAGAGCCTTATTTCAGTATGCCGGCACTAAAAGGAGAACAGAGTTGTAGATCATAACTTTATAGGTTGTTGGTGAAAATGGTCCTCAAGTTTGCAATAAAAATGATAGTTGCTGCAGCTTGGTGCATCTGGCCTCCCTTTCTGCCACAAACACAGTGTGAGGGCCTGTCATCCTGACACGTTGGGTCCACGGAACCAGCAAGAGAGCCAGCCATGGCAGTCCACCCAACCCCACCCATTGCGCACCGGACAGGGAAGGAGGATAGCCCCTAGAAGGAGGCTGAGTATTCTGAGCCATATGAAAAGACAAGACAAACAGACAACCAGTGGCTCTGGAGCCTCTGCAGGGAGGAGATTGTTTATTGCAAGCAGGCTTAGTTTTCTTTCTATACCTTAAAAGAAGAAGAAGACGGGAGCTGGAGCTATAGCACAGTGGGTAGGGCATTTATTTGCCTTGCATGCAGCTGACCCAGGTTCGATCCCCGGCAACCTGTATGGTCCCCCAAGCACTGCCAGGAGTAATTCCTGAGTGCGGAACCAGGAGGAACCCCTGTGCATCTTCAGATGTGACCAAAAAAAAAAAAAAAAGGGAGAACAATGAATGACCATCTTTCTGGGGAGATTTCCTGCACAGACTCACAGGCAGTGGAATAGGGTATTCTGGCTTCTCGCTCTCCCCAGCTGGCTGGCAGTTGGCTTACTCAATGGTCCATGATGCTTTATTTTTGAGATAGTGACTGGACATTGCATCTGGCCATTTGAGGCAGGAATGGGGAAACACTGCTGGGAAGTCAAAGGAGCCCTGCCAGGAGAGGGATGCCTACTGCTCGTCCACTTGGGCCAAGTTTCGGGAACTCATCCTCAACCCCAGCTGTTCCTCAGCCATCCCCTGCAGCGCCCCACAAGGGCCGACACTGCTGTACTTTCAGCTAAGGGTGAAGGGTGAGAACAAGTCTCCTTGGCAACAGCAGCTCCAGCCCATCTCTCAGCAGCCTATTATGAATGAGACACGGCTCACTTAGATTTGTTTTTCTTTTATTTGGTTATTTTTCTTTGAGGGCCCATACTCAGTGGTGCTCATGGCTCTTTGTGACAGGCTTAGGGGAGCTGGGATCGATCCCAAGTCAGCTGTAAGCGCCCTACCCACTGTGCTGTCTCTCCAGCTCCTACTTTTTATTTTAGTTTTTAATTTTTTTATTGAATTACTGTGATATACCCTTAAAGCTGTTCATGATTTGTTCCAGTCATATAGTGTCCCAACACCCATTCCTCCACCAGTGTACACCATTTTCCAGCACCAGTGTCCCCAGGTTCCCTCCCTCAGCCTTTCTCTTAATGACAGGTGCTTCTCTCTCTCTCTCTCTCTGTCTCTCTCTGTCTCTCTCTCTCCCCCCCCGCCCCCGACCCTTTTGGGCATTATGGTTTGCAATACAGATACTGAAAGGTTATCATGTATATCCCTTCACCTAATTTTAACACTCAGTTCTTGTTCAGGGTGATTGTTTTCAGCTATTATTGTCACTGTCTCCCATCCTTCTCTAATACTACTGGGTTCATCATACAGTTAGGTGGCTGATGCATAAGCCAAGCCTCCCTCAACTATTTTGTTTTGTTGCCAGACCTGATGTGTTCAGGGCTTACTTTGGCTTTGTGCTTGGGGTCATCCCAGTGGAGATCAGAGACCGTGTGGTTACAGGGACCAAGCCAGGTGTCTTTCATGCAAAAAATGCAACCCAGTCCCCTGGGTTGTCTCCCCAGCCTGAGCTCGTATGTGTGTGTGTGTGTGTGTGTGTGTTGGGCCACACCCAAGTGTGCATGCAAGGCAAGTACTCTATCTCCCCATCCGTGTCTTGTGGAAGCAAACTGCTTTTCTCTTTGGGCAAGTTTATCTCAACTGAAAGTGGGTGGCAGAATGTTATTGGATCTGTGGGACACAACAAAACACAACCGATCAAGTCAGCTTTTCTAAGTGCCTAAAATTGAATTCAAGGTGGTCTTTCCCCTACTAGACTTCATGGTGATTTAGCATGCCAACAAAATATGCTACCACGTGAAAGACTGATACACAAGTAAATCCCCTCCCTTCCTTTAAGTCTCTTCTAGTTCCACTTTATGAAGAACCTAGCTAAGAAACGGAGACACATTTACAGAGTCCCAGCATAGTGGGGTTGGGATAAAAGAGAATGTGTGTGGACAAGAAAGACAATTGTCAGCAACAGGTGCTTCTGCCTCTGTGTCAGCAATCAAATCACTAAGTTATATAGATTTGTGCTTTACAAATTTTCAGTCTGCTACATTACCCTTTGTTCCTGTAATCGGCACATGATATAATATGGGGGAGAGAGGGAACGGAGTTAGAGAGAAAACTGTATGTCACCATTTCTCAAAGTTTAAATCACTATTTCTCAAAGTTTTATTTAATCTGGAAATCTTGCTAAAAGGCAGATTCAGATTCAATTACTTCTGAGTTGGACCTGGCAGCTTGCAGTTCAATAAAAGCCGGGATGCTGGGACCAGAGATAGCACGGCGGGTAGGGTGTTTGCTTTGCATGCGGCCTACCTGGGTTCAATCCCCGGCATCCCGTATGGTCTCCCAAGCACCGCCAGGAATAATTCCTGAGTGCAGAGCCAGGAGTAACCCCTGAGCACTGCTGGGTGTGACCCAAAAAGCCAAAAAAAAAAAAAAAAAAAAAGCCGGGCTGCTGCTGCTGATTGCTTTTGTAAAGGTCTAATATTCTAAAGATCTAACCTATAGCCGCTAGCATCTCATTCTATTGCTATTCATTTTTTAATTTTTTTTCTTTTTATTGCTACTCTAAGTTGAAAAACATTGCTCTTAGGACTCTTGACCATTTCCTAGGGCCAGTTAAGTGTAGCAAAGTACGGACCAAATCTTGCCTCCTGGCTCCAAGAAAGCGCGGCAGACAGCGCCGGATGCCTGGAACCCAGCGTTTGACTTTTCGATTGGCCAGAGCTGACGTCACTCGGAGAGGGGCGTGGCCCTCATTATGACGTATCCGGCGCTGGCTGGCCAAGAAAGGCAGCGGGAGGCGGGAGCGGAAGTGGGTGGGTGGGGACCGGTGGGCGGGGAGGGTGGAGGAAGAGCTGAGCTAGGGGAAGTCGTTCCAGAGGGCCCTCTTCCGGCATTGGGGGCCGGAAGTTGTGGCCCGGCGGCGGCGGCAGCGGCGGCGGCAGCAGCAGCGGCGTCTCCAGCGGCGTCTCCTCCTCCCACGGGCTGCCGCGTCTACCCGCCGCGCTGCGACCGCGATCATGGGCGGGAAGAACAAGCAGCGAACGAAGGGGAACCTGCGGGTGAGTGTGGGCTGGTGCCTGCCCGGGCCGGAGCCGCCCGGCGCTGTGAGGAGCCGCGGGCGCGTGTGGAGCGCCGCCGTGGGGCGGGAGCCGGGTGTCTGCGGGTGGAGAGTGACCTCCCGGGGCTGCCGCGGGCGTCTCCGAGCCGAGTCCCGGGATGGCGTTCAGGGACGCAGTTCCAGCGCTTCCGCACAGTTCTCAGGAGTTGGCACGGTTTTCACTCCCTCCAGGGTCGCTGTCAACTTTCCCTTCAGGAGGGTTTTCGGGGTGAGAGGTGAGGAGGCTTTGGAGGGTGGGGGTGGCATGGGAAAAGACAGAATTGGGTGACACGTAGTTCGAGTGAGCTCGGTGGGCAAAGAGTGGCTTTCCTTTTTCTTTTCTCCCCCCCTTTTTTTTTATTTTGGCTTTTTGGGTTATGCCCGGAGATTCAGGGGTTACTCACGGCTCTGCCAGGAGTAAGTTAAGTGAGCTCGCTGTGGAAGGAGAGGCTTTTTTTTTCTTTTTTCTTTCCTTTTCTTTCTTTTTTTTTTTTTTTGCCTTTTTGGGGTCACACCCAGCGATGCTCAGAGGTTCCTCCTGTCCAGGAGTAACTTCAGTGATTTCGGTGTGTAAGGAGTGACTTTTCTTTTTTCTATCTTTCTCTCTTTCTTTCTGTCCTTCTTTCTCTTTTTTCTTGTCTTGTCTTTTTTTTCTTTTTGGGCTGCACCCGGGGATGCTCAGGGGTTCCTCCTTGCTTAACTTCCAGGAGTTAAGTTCGGTGATCTCGGTGTTTAAGGAGTGGGTTTTCCTCTCTTTCTTTCTTTCTTTCTTTCTTTCTTTCTTTCTTTCCTTTTTTTTTTTTGAGTGGGGGGCTTTTTGAGTCACTCCCAGCGGTGCTCAGGACTCTGCACTCAGGAATCATTCCTGGCGGGACTCGGGGCGTCACCATATGGGATGCTGGGATCGAACCCGGGTGGGCAGCGTTCCAGGCAAACCCCACCCCCGCTGTCCTGTCACTCTGGCCCCCAGGAGTGGGCTGTTCTTTGCTACCAGAACCTGATAGCAACCACCCTCTGGGTTACAAATCCAAAGCCCTTAAGGGTGGCGGGGGGATAAGCCCGCTTTTCTGTTCTTCTCGGGTCCCCACCATAAGCTCCCTCCTAGCTCTCCCCAACTCTCCGATCACCCTCAGCCCCTCTGCTAGGTGGCCCTGAAGTTAGCTCAAGCCCCTCTGGGTCAGGTCTCCTGGCCCTTACCCGATCCTCGCAGGGCTTCTGATTTATTGGGTGAGACAACTGTTTCCCTGGCTCAGAGGGCAGGCTGTTTGCATGTGCGCCCTCTTCTCTCTGGAGTCAGAGCCAGCATATGGTAGCGACTCCACTGGACTTGTTGAACCCCCAAAGAGGATGAAACCTGCAAGATTAGTGCCATGAGATTATATGCACAGGACTAGAGCCATAGGTAGGATGTGTGGCTGACCAGAGTTTGATCCCTGGCATCACATATGGTCCCTCTCCTGAGCACCACCAGAACTAATTCCTCAGTGCAGAGTCAGAAGTAGCCTCTGAGCATCTCCAGGTATGATCCCAAAACCAAGCCAAAAAAAGGAGAGAGACTGTGTATACACACACATACACACATAAATACATACAAATATGCATACATATAAATATGCATAGATACATAAAGGTCATGGTCTTCCCATTGTTCATCGGTTTGCTTGAGTGGGCCCAGTAACATCTCCATCGTGAGACTTGTTACTGTGTTTGGCATATTGAATATGTCACGGGTAGCTTGCCACGCTCTGCAGTGTGGGCGAGATACTCTCGGCAGCTTGCGGGGCTCTCCGAGAGGGGCAGAGAAATCGAACTCGGGTTGGCCATATTGGCTGTGTGCAAGGCAAACGCCCTACCGCTGTGCTATCGCTCCAGCCCTACATAAAGGTACTAGATTAAAAAAATTTTTTTTATTGGATGACTGTGAGATAGATCTTTACAAAGCTGCTCATGATTAAGTTTCAGTCATACAGTGTTCCAACACCCATCCCTCCACCAGTGTACATTTCCCACCACCGATGTCCCCAGGTTCCCTCCCATGACGCCCCCTTCCCCACCTGCCTCTATGGCTAAGCATTTTTCCTCTCTCTCTCTCTCTCTCTCTCTCTCTCTCTCTCTCTCTCGCTTTCGCTCTCTGTGGTTTGCAATATAGATTGTGGAAGGCCATCAGGATCATCCCTCTACATACTTTAACAGTTGGTTCTTGTCCAGTGTGATCATTCTCAGTTCTTGTCATACTGGTCACATCTCTGTCTTATCTATGCTTCACCCCACACACACTTGTGGGTGATTCCAACCATTGACCAGTCCTCCTAGCCCCTGTTTTCCCTGGCCGTGGATATTAGTCTTCTACTAGATATTTTTTATAGCCCACAAATGACTGCAGTCATTCTCTGTCTGCCCTTCTGACTCATTTCACTCAGCTTGATACTCTCCATGTCCATCTATCTATAAGCAAATTTTATAACTTCTTTTTTCCTAACAGCTGTATAGTATTATATTGCGTAGATGTACCATAGTTTATCCATTCATCTAAAGGTCACTGTCACTGTCCTCCCGTTGTTCATCGATTTGCTCAAGCGGGCCCAGTAACGTCTCCATTTTGAGACTTGTTGTTACTGTATTTGGCATATTGAATATGTCATGGGTAGTTTGCCAGGCTTTGCCGTGCAGGCGAGATACTTTTGGTAGCTTGCCGGGCTCTAAAGGTAAAGGTACGAAATTCATTTTGCTATAGCCCAATTTTGCCCTTTTCTGATCCAGTTCTAGAGATGACACTACCTTGTTTTCAGCAGTAATAGTAACTGTCCCTGTGCTAGTGCTGTGCTGAGTGCTTTGTGTTCTCATTTCATCTCTAATTTGGCTTCTCCGTATTTTATTTTTTGAAATATTCCGAAGGACTCTGAAGCGCCATAATCCTTACATTCTTTAATCTAGATGCAGCAGTTGTTCATCTTTGGGCACATTTGCTTTCTCGTGGTCTATGTATTTTTGTTAATTATATGAGATTTGCAGAAATCATGACCCTTGCATACTTAAAGCCTTGTGTTTTAAACATATAATGCCATTCTTCTACAGTACTATGAACAAAAATGTCAGGAAGCTTAGTTTGTCTATGACCATCACCTAGTAATACACAGCATTTAGATGTCAATGGTCCGTGCAATAATGTGTTCTGTGTTTTATGTTAGAGGTGACATTATAGAAAACATGAGATTAAGTTAGGAATTACTCATTCCGTTCATTTAGATCTGGACAGGGTCCCAGACAATTTGGAAAAATCTGGGTAAATTGTCCTGCTAATTAGGTTTACTTAATTTTTCCTTATTGTTAGGTTCAGATTTACAGATGGTCTCTCTTTTGCAGTGTTTTATATCCCGGGGCACTGTTCATCCCATTATTACTGGTATTTGTCTAACTACTTGGTTAGGTGATATCCGTTGTAAAAAACTAATGTCTTTTTACATTGGTTACTAACATGATATGTGAAGTGGTATTTTGAGAATGAGACTAGCTTGGTCTCCCACACACTTTCACCTAATGGTTTGAACATCCTTTGATGATTTTGCTGGAACCAGTTGCTGCAGTGGTAGCTAAAAAAATTGATTTTAGGTGGCCGGAGTGATAGTCCAGGAGTGAGTCCTGAGTGCAGAGTCAGGAGTAACCCTTGGACATTGCCAGAGTTTGGCCTCAAAACAAAAAACAAAACAAAAAAATTACATTTCGGGTGACATACCATGTAGTGGTTGGGGCACTGGCCTTGCTCAAGTCTGGCCTGGGCTCAGTCCTTGCCACCTCCTTTGTTCCCCTGAGCCTCTTGGGATTGATCCCTGAATATCCCCCGAATGTGGAGCCAGGAGTCAGCCCTGAGCACTGCCCAATGTACGCCACCCCCCCCCCCCCCCAGACTAGAACAAATTTGTTCAATCTAGACAAATCATGTAAATGTCTAGTTTTTAGGATCTTACTTTTTTGTAATTGACTCTATTGAACCAAAGAGAGATAGTAAAGGGAGTGGGGTTGGGAAGATAGTATAGTGGATAGGGCACTTCCCTTGCATGCAGCCAACATGGCTTCAATTTCAGGCATCCCATATGGGCCCCAGAGCTCCATCAGGAGTGATTCCTGAGTTCTGGATTGACCCCTGAGCATCTTTGTGGGTGGCCAAGAAACAAAAACAAACAACAAAACAAGAAGTGTAGGTGTTTGCTTTGTGCATAGCTAATTTTTATGGACTTTGTGTTAGTAATTTAAGACTTTCTGGTCTTACTGGGTTACAAGACCAGCACCTTACTCCTGTATTCTCTTTCCTGCTCCAGAGGAGTATAGAAATGGACTTGCCCAAAGATTATAGAGCTGAGAAATTAGTGCTGGGATTTGAACTTCAGAGTGCTGGTATTCCTTCATTCAAGGAGAGTCTTGAAATTCTGAATTCCGGTACTCAGAGACACAGGGCTACTGTTTATAAGTCATTAGTTTGACGATAGAGACGGATAAGTAAGCAAATAGAATTTGTTAGTGTTGTGATTCAAATATGAGGATGAAAGCAGAAAAGAACTGTGATTGAATGGAGAGAGGTAAGTTGGGGGAAAATGTAGTTTGGAAGATACAGAGGAGTTTGTCCTACTTAGGGCAGTAGAATAAAAGATTTGCAGGTGGAGGAGAAAGATTCTCCCAAGATCACTTTATGGAGCTAGAGAGAATATACTGGGTGAGGCACTTGCTTTGCATGCTGCTGACTTGAGTTCAATTGCAGGCATCCTGGGCAGGTTTGGGGAGCCAGGATGGTCCCCATTCACCAGTTTCATTTATTTGGGTGAAGAGACTTAAGAAACTAATACATTTAAATTCTAATGGTCTAGTGCTCAAAATGAAGACTTTTCTGTTAGATGAAAATGAATCAGTTAATTTTGTGGATGTGTTAAATATTTTTTTCTCTGTCATGACTAATTCCTGTACTGTTTGGAGCCTAAATCAAATAAACCACTGACTTTGGCTCAAAACAAAGAATCACCTCTTCTATCCTCACCATTTTATTGATTTTATGAGCCTAAGGCTGTTTGTAGCCATTTTGGGTGAAAGGGGTGGCGCAGGCTTGGTGCACGTGTAAATGATTCGGCCATCCAGGGCTCCTCCTCTGGGACCAGCCATCGAATAATTGTCTTGTGATAGTTTCTGTCTGTCTGTTTCTCTCTCTCTCTCTCTCTCTCTCTCTCTCTCTCTCTCTCTCTCTTTGTTGTGTTTGTTTTTTGTTTTGGGTCACACCTGGCAGTGCTCAGAACTTATTCCTGGCTCTGTGCTCCTGAATCACCCCTGGCGGACCTGGTGACCATATGGGGTGCTGGGGATTGAACCTGGGTCAACTGCGTGCAGAATAAACTACTGTACTATCAATCTGGCTCTGACCCCTTGTAGTGTTTGCTTTTTTTTTTCAATCTGCTGTTCTCTCTCTCTCTCTCTCTCTCTCTCTCTCTCTGTTTACAAAGTTACCCATGATTATTTGTTACAGACATTCAATATTCTGACATCAATCTTGTGATTTCTTAAATGTATGACAAATGAATGTATGAATGAATGAATGGTTCCCCTTTGTCAGTGTATTATCATTACATAGAATACATAGGCATAGATAAGAATTGTACAAAAGATATGAATTGTATAAATGTTTTATAAACCTTCATCTTTGGGTTATGCATTCTAATTTTGGAAATGTCATTCTTATTTCTTTAAAATGCTGCCGTGGCTTATTCTGTTGATGACATGAGCCTCCAAAGGATTATATCCATAGTTACTCCCCAAACAAGGGCATTGTTCTAATTAGAAAACTAAGAAGTAGCTCCTTGAATCCTTATTGCTAAATCCTTGCTGGTAGAAACATTCATCTTTAGGGAACAGTGCACATCTTTGGAAAGAGAAAGTCGTAAAATAAAAACTTGGTCTATCTTGGGAACTGTCGAGGAATCTCTTCAGAGCAATCAGAGTTCCACTTGGACTGACTTTTTTCCTTCCTTTCTTACCAGCCTTCAAACAGTGGCCGTGCTGCAGAACTCTTAGCCAAAGAAAAGGGAACAGTGCCAGGATTTATTGGTTTTGGAACATCTCAGAGTGACCTTGGCTATGTCCCTGCCATCCAAGGAGCTGAAGAAATAGACAGTCTTGTCGATTCTGATTTCCGAATGGTACTGCGGAAACTTTCAAAGAAAGATGTCACCACAAAATTAAAAGCAAGTTTTTTTTTCCATAAATTATTAGTTAAAATTACTGCCATATGTTCTATAAAGAAAAATGAACCATCATCTGTCACTAATAAATTCTTTCATATTTGTACTTCTCTATCACCCAAGGGTTATGTTTAGTTGACGTATCTCCTAGATTATACATGGGTCTTTTTGGTGTGTATGTGTGGGTTTTGGGTCACATTTAGAGGTGTTTGACACTTACTCCTGGCTCAGGGATCACTTTGGCAGAGCTTGGGGGACCATATGGAGTGCCCCATATGGGATTGAACCCAGGTTGGCCATGTTGCAAGATTAAGCACCCTACCCACTGTACTATTTATCCAGCCCCATACATGGTTTTGTTGCACTATATTTTAAAATATTATTTGGGAATCCTGGCTATTATTTCCTATTAGGGAATGTAATTTTGACCTATAATTTAATTGCATGGGGTCACATCTGCTGTACTTACAGGTTAGTCCTGGTTCTTTACTCAGGAATCAATCCTGACAATGCTCAGGGAACCATATGGGATGTGGGGAATCAAATCCGGATTGGCCACGTGCAAGACAATTCCCTTATCCACTGTACTCTCTCTGTCCCATAAATTTTTTTTTTTGGTTTTGAGGCCACACCCAGTGATACTCAAAGGTATTAAAAGCATTTTCACTCAGGTATTACTCCTGGCAGTGCTCCCAACCATATGGGATGCCAGGGATTGAACCCTATTCACTGTACTATCCTCTGGCCCCAGTTTTTGTTAGTAAGGTAAAGGTAAAGACCCTCCCATTGATCATCGATTTGCTCGAGCGGGCCCAGTAACGTCTCCATTGGAGACTTTGTTGTTACTGTGTCTGGCATATTGAATACTCTCGGTAGCTTGCCGGGCTCTCCGAGAGGGGCGGAGGAATCGAACTCGGGTTGGCCATGTTGGCCGCTTGTAAGACGAACGCCCTACCCGCTGTGCTATCGCTCCTGTTTTATTTTTATAAAAAGATTCCTGAAATTTCTACCATAAATAGTAGCCTGAGAAGAAACTCTTCAAATTAGATTTTTAAAGTACAAACTGAAACAGTGTATTCTTCCAATACATAAAAAACTGTTCTTCTCAAACTAGGTTAGGTACAGAATTACTTGCCACTTTTATGACTATTGATACATAATGCTGTTGATAATTTACTTTTAGGCTATGCAGGAATTTGGAACTATGTGTACAGAGAGAGATACAGAAATTGTTAAAGGAGTTCTTCCCTACTGGCCAAGAATTTTCTGCAAAATATCACTTGTAAGTATTAAGGCTTTATTCTGTGCGTGTGTGTGTGTGTGTGTATGAACATATATTGGTTAAAATAGGAGTTACTAGATACATGAACTTCAGTTTCATTGATGATTATGAAGTGTTTGTAATACAGATCAGATCTTGGTGGAGTATATAAACTGTATAAGATCTTTATTTTTAAAAATTCAGTCATTACAGGGGCTAGAGCGACAGCACAGTTGGTAGGGCGTTTGTCTTGCATGGGGCCCGGCCTGGGTTTGATTCCCAGCATCCCATATGGTCCTCGAGCACCGCCAGGAGTAATTCCTGAGTGCATGAGCCAGGAGTAACCCCTGTGCATCGCTGGGTGTGGCCCAAAAAGCAAAAAAAAAAAAAAAAAAAAAAATTGGTCATTACAGGGCTGGAGCGATAGCACAGCGGGTAGGGCGTTCGCCTTACAAGTGGCCAACATGGCCGACCCGAGTTCGATTCCTCCACCCCTCTCGGAGAGCCCGGCAAGCTACCGAGAGTATTCGATATGCCAGATACAGTAACAACAAAGTCTCCAATGGAGACGTTACTGGGCCCGCTCGAGCAAATCGACGATCAACGGGAGGGCCTTTACCTTTACCTTTACCTTACAGGGCTGGAATGATAGTACAGTGGATAGGGCATATTTGCCTTACATACGGCCGACCTGGGTTCAATCCCCAACACCCCATATGTTTCCCAGAGTACCATCATGAGTAATCCTGAGTGCAGAGCCAGAAGAAGCTGGAGCATCTCTCAGTGTTCAAAATTTGGTTATTACTAGAGAATCATGCAGTCATAATGAATTTTGACAACTTTGTATGTGCTGTAGATGAATAAGTATGACTTCTTAATTCAAGGCATATTTTTTACTATTAGGAAAAGGAAAAAATCAACTATTTCACATGCTTTTTTTATTTTAGGTTTACTTGGGGGTTGCACCTGGCAGTGCTCAGGGCTTACTTGTGGTTCTGTACTCAGGGATCACTTCTGCGGTGCCTGACCGACCACATGGGATGCCAGGGATCATGGTGGTGCAAGGGAAGCCATGTAAAAGGGAAGTGATCCCTCCAGCCCCTGATTTTGATTTTCTTTGACCACATCCATTGGGTGATTCTCTTGAATTGTGTCATTTAGAGTGAATCTGCCAAACTTAAAATAACTCTTTGTATTTCTGAGTTCCTTTGTGAGTTATCTTAGAACTAGTTTTAGCCCTTTTCTTACTTTTATTTATTTATTTTTTTGCTTTTTGGGTCACACCCAGCAATGCTCAGGGGTTACTCCTGGCTCATGCACTCAGGAATTGTTCCTGGCGGTGCTCGGGGGACCATATGGGATGCTGGGAATCGAACCTGTGTAGGCCATGTTGGCTGTGTGCAAGGCAAACACCCTACCCGCTGTGCTATCGCTCCAGCCCCTCTTACTTTTCTTTTTTTCTTTTTTTTTTTTCTTTTTGGGTCACACCTGGCGATGCACAGGGGTTATTCCTGGCTCTGCACTCAGGAGTTACTCCTGGCTATGCTCGGGGGACCAGATGGGATGCTGGGAATCGAACCCGGGTCGACGGCGTGCAAGGCAAATGCCCTACCTGCTGTGCTATCTCTCCAGCCCCATTTCTTACTTTTCAACAGGATCACGACCGCCGGGTTCGAGAAGCCACACAGCAAGCTTTTGAAAAACTTATCCTCAAAGTGAAGAAACACTTGGCCCCCTACTTAAAAAGTGTGATGGGCTATTGGCTCATGGCTCAGTGTGACACTTACTCCCCAGCTGCATCTGCCGCCAGAGATGCTTTTGAAGCCGCCTTCCCTCCCAGCAAGCAATCTGAAGCCATCGCGTTTTGTAAGGATGAAATTGCAAGTGTAAGTTCTTGTTGCATCTGGATTATTTCCTCCTCGCAGTTCTTCTAGGGGCTATAACGCGTACTTGTGTTTGTTGTTGTTGTTGTTGACTGTCTGGTATTCCTTTGTGTGAATAGACCACAGTTTGTCTTGTCTTTTATGTACTGTTTGCTTCCCCACCCCCAGCTCTTTTTAAAAAACTAATTATTTTTTTAAATTGAAAAACCTTGCTTTGGTGGACATTTTGTGGGGCATGGCTTTCCCAGCAGTGCCCGCCACTTTGGCTCAGAATTGTATTCAGGGCAAGGGATGCAGTACTTCTGACACCTGAGGGATGCGGGGGTGGGGGGGGGTGGGGAACACTGCTCAGACTGCATGCGACAGTGCTCAGGAGCCATGTGGTGCAGGGGTCACACTTTGAAGCCCTGTGCGTGCTTTGCAAGGCCTCCTCTCAATTTCTTTAATCTGTTTCTCTGACCCTTAATCCCTGTATTGGCTCTCTGGCCACCTGTGGACATTCTTGAAATAGATGTCTTCATAACCTGCAGGAGTGATATTTGCTTTCACTTTCAGCAGTGATATTCTGAGCCAGAGTAGAAATACTTGATATTGATGATTGGCCCTTTCAGAGGGCCAAATGCATATCCCCATTAGCAGATAAGGTAAATTTCTCCAATATTTTGCCAACACTTGCTAGATAGGTATGAGCCAGTATATAGTGTTGATGAATTTTAATTTGTGTATATCTCTTACTGCCTTATCTGTTTCTTTCTCTAATATTTGAACTAGAAAAATGAGACTAATTGTTTTGTTAATATTATGTAAAGAAGTGAAAGTAGATTGGGGGCTGGAGTGATAGTACAGCAGGTAGAGTGCTTGCCAATGTATGTATCCAATCAGGGTTCAATTCCCAGGTGTGATCCCTAAGCTCAGGGCCAAGGGTAAGTCCCAAGCACCACTGGGTGTGACCCCAAAACCACACCGAAACAAACGAAAAATATCCTACTTGCATTCATTCCCATAACGTTGATGTGTTTACATTTTCATACACCTCCTGTAATAACCATTATGTAAACATTCATTATCTAACTGTTTGATATCTAAATGTTTTCCCTTCTTCTTTTGTTTCTTTACTTTGATCCATCTTCTTGGGAGCTTCCCATTATACTCCCAAGTTCAAATTTCTTCTCTTTTGGGGGATGCAGAGAGAAGCACTCCTTGAAATGCTTGGGTTTGGTGGTGCCGGGGTGGTGGTGGTGGTAATATGGCGCTCGGGATTGAATCCGGGGCCTTACAAATACAGTGCATGTGCTTTACCAGACTGCGTCCCCGGCTAGGGGAAAATTCCTTTTGCTGGAAACTGGGTGTTCTTTCTCCAAAAGCAGCCAACCTTATATATTGCTAGGGGAGTGGGGAACAGTGTAAAATTCAAACGTCTTAGGTGTTTTTACTTCATTTTGCTAATTGCTCCTCGGGGTTAGACAGTGAAAGGTAAGCTAGGTTCATGCTTGACAATTCAATAAAATCCTAAGGGTAGAAGATTTTTCTTTCCTAGGTACTGCAAGATCATCTTATAAAAGAAACACCTGATACACTCAGTGACCCACAGTAAGTCTCATCTTTGTAATTCTTTTAGGTAATGAGATAATTACAATGTGATATTTTTTAATTGGGAGGGGGGTGGTGGGTGAAGGCTTTGGGATCACACCCAGTAGTGCTCAGGGGCCATTCCTTTCTCTGTGCTTCACATATGGTTTCTGGCAGTGCTCGGGAAACCATATGAGGGGCCAGGATTGAACCAGTGTCATAGTAGAAGTGGCCACATGAAGTGCTTACTTACTACCTGTACTATCTTTCTGGTCCTACTATGTGACATTTTACAAAGGGGATTCTAAATGTAGAAATGAAAATATGGAGTGTTATTTTATTTAGAGGCTTTTACTTATAAATTATTTCATAATCTCGTGTGAAGTATCTGGGAGTGAAATACTTGGGTTGTTTTTTTGTTGTTGTTATTGTTGGGTGTTTTTTGGGGGGAGGGGCACATCTGTCTGTATTTCTTGGCTCTGTGCACAGGGCTTAATCCTGCGATGCTTGGAGCATCACACATGATGTTGTGGATCAGCTGGGATGGTTGTGTCCAAGGCTGTCTCTTCCTCAGTCCCAACCCGTGATTGCTTTACACAGATGTTTGTGGATTTTTCCTATGTTAAGCATTTGATAACTCATAATAGTAATAATTTAAAGTTATTGTTGAAATAATTGAAAAATTGTGAATAGGTTTATTGAAGGAGTAGTAAAACATTGCATTTCCCCCCTTATATGTTAACCTATTAATATTGTTTGGTTGGTTGGTTGGTTGGTTAGTTGGTCTTTGCTTTTTGGGTCACACCCAGCAATGCTCAGGAGTTACTCTTGGCTCTTCCCTCAGGAATTACTCCTGGTGGTGCTGGGGACACCATATGGGATGCCAGAAATCGAACCTGGGTCAGCCTCTTCCAAGGCAAAAGCCCTACCCATTGTGTTATCGCTCCAGCCCCCTATTAACATAGTTTGTAAGGGAAAGTAATGTTTGAGATCTCTTTCCTGTGCTCACTCTATTACCTGTTACTGAGAGCTGTCTACTTGCACATTTATTACGGCTAAGGTCTTCATTTCTGTATTAGCTGAAAAATACATTATTAATTAAGAATGTGTATTTTGGTGGGGGTAGGGTTCAAATAAGATTAGAATCTTCATACCTATTTTGGAGGGGGGACCAAATAAGGCAACTTTGGAAGATTTGAAATAGGAGTACCAAATATGTAACTTATTCTCAATTTTTGTATTTTCTTTTCACATCAAGAACTATTCCAGAGGAAGAAAGAAAAGCTAAATTTTATCGAGTTGTAACTTGCTCCTTATTGGCATTGAAGAAAATGCTCTTCCTGTTACCTGATAATGAGCTTGAATCACTTGAGGAGAAATTTAAGTCTCTTTTATCACAAAATAAATTTTGGAAATATGGAAAACACAGTATACCTCAGGTATATCAGTCTCTTATTTTAAGATATTTTTTGGATTTCTCACCCACCGAAATCCTAGATCTTGTTTATGTCTTTTATATATGTTTATCTTTAACCTCTGCAAACACATCTTTGTGACCTGGATTACTAAGTTTTAAGGGCGTTCGCCTTACAAGCGGCCAACATGGCCGACCCGAGTTCGATTCCTCCGCCCCTCTCGGAGAGCCTGGCAAGCTACCGAGAGTATTTGATATGCCAGACACAGTAACAACAAAGTCTCCAATGGAGACGTTACTGGGCCCGCTCGAGCTCGAGCAATGTATTTTCAGTTTTTAGTTATATTGATCTCAGATTCAGAATTCCATCGTCATACACACCCCTGTTCATGGCACCTGAAAATTGTTATGTGCACAGATCTCTTCTCATTTATTGTACTTATTTTTCACATTTCTCGCTGTCTCCCTCTTATCCACCTCTTCCTGTTGACCATTCTAAATGTGCTTAATATATGTCTTTTTACTTGTGTAGTTGATTCACATTTTTTTTTTCAACTGTAATAGCTGAGACTCTTTTTTGTTTTGTGTTTTTTGATTTGGGCCATACCCGGTGATGCTTAGGAGTTAACTCCTGGCTCTGCACCCATGAATCCCTCCTGGTGGGCTAGGGGGACCATATGGGATGATGCGGATCAAACCTGGGTTGGCCACATGCAAGGCAAGTACCCTACCTGCTGTACTATCTTTGTGGCCCTGCTGAGAGCTTTGAGAGTTGTTTTTCTGTTTTTGTTTTTTTTTGGGGGGAGTTATTGTTCACCTCCATGCTCTTTGAGTTCAGTGACTTTCATAGCAGTTTACTCGTGTCTCGCCTCAGACCGTTGCTTTGTTGGTGGTCTGTTCTGTTATTCCCCACAGTGAAACAACCTTGTGGTGGTGCCTTTGAAGCTGCCCCTTCGAGAATTCATAAAGCCTGCGGGGACCCACCCACCTTTTGGATTGCCATCTTCACCCTTTTATTTGGGGTGGACCTCACATCTGCACTGTCTGCTGCTCACTGCCGAGGGTCTGGTGTCATGCAGGTTTGGGTCACAATCTGAGGTTCCGGTTTACCATTTCGCTTGCATGGCTGTGTTGGTGTTGAAATCAGCTGCTGCTGAGAGCTGGTACAGCAAATGGGCAGCAGTGGCCAACATTCACAGCGTCCAGCAGCTCCCCCGTCGGTGTCACTGTCTCTGCTTTCGGTTCTCTGCCATTCCTCTGTCTTCTTCTCTACTCCCCCAGCCTCCGAGCTGCTCCTTTTGTGTTGTTTACTGTATAGCTGCTCTCAGTGCCATTTATTGGTTACTGCCACGCATGTCCTCCATGTGACTGCTGGTATGATCCTTTGGTCACCTCTGTTGGGTTGCATTTTGGTCCTCTTGAGAGAGCCCGGGATGTGCCCTTCTCTGCCATCTTGTTTCTTCCTTCTCACATTTGTCCTTTGAATTTTTTTTTCTCCTTTGGTTTTTGGGCCACACCTGTTAGTTTCCAGGGCTTACTCCTGGCTCTGCACTCAGGGATCACTCCCAATGGTACTCTGAGCAACCAGATGGGATGCCCGGGATTGAACCTGCAAGGAAAATACCTTACCAGCTGCACTATCGCTCTGATCCAGAAATTCTTAAGATTTTCTATTTTTCTTGGGGGCCGGAGTGATAATACAGCAGGTAAGGGCGTTTGCCTTGCACATAACCAACCCTGGTTCTATCTCCAGCATCCCATATGGTCCCCTTAGCACTTCCAGGAGTATTCCTGAGTGCAAAGTCAGGCAGAACCCCTGAACACTGCTCTGTATGACCCCAAAAGCCAAAAGAAAAGAGATTTTTCTCTTTTTCTCACTTTTACTTTTAGTTTTTTGAATTTTTTTGAGATGGGTGTGTTTGGGCCACACCCAGTCATGCTCAGGGGACCTGTGTGGTGCTGAGAATTTAGAACTAGGTTCGGCGGGAGGCCAGGCAAGGCAAGCATCTTAACACACCTGTTCTGTCTCTCCAGTCCTGACTTTTCATTTTCTTAAACGTGAGGGTTAGTATGAATAATGCTTTTACCATTATCACAAATTAAATATTGTTGCTTTAATTTGTATTTCCAATTTTGTTTATTCTTTTCTCTTAGATTCGCTCAGCTTATTTTGAGTTAGTTTCTGCTTTGTGCCAGCGTATTCCACAGCTGATGAAGGAGGAAGCGTCCAAAGTGAGCCCGTCTGTTCTTCTGAGCATTGATGACAGTGACCCTGTTGTGTGCCCAGCGCTGTGGGAAGCTGTACTTTATACACTTACAACTATTGAGGTATGGCAGAGGGCTGCAGTTGGTACACCTGGGAATTAACTGTTTCAGAAGGCTTTGTTTGAACTAAGAGCATGTCAGATTATGTTTGAACCTTCTTGGAAAAATCCTTTCTTGGAAGTAAAATGGTTAGCTCCATATTTGTTATGAATTTTATGATAGCCATGAAACTGCCATTTTGTTTTGCTTTCAGTTTAGCCAGGTTCTGTTATTCTTAAACAGTTTGTGTTCCAGTGAAGTGAACATATCTAAATCATACAAAAATTAAATACTGTTGTCCCCTCTGCAAAGCAGATGCTATAAAAATCTTTCTATTTCAGGGTCCGGAGCAACAGCACAGCAGGTAGGGCGTTTGCCTTGCCTGTGGCCAACCTGGGTTTGATCCCCGGCATCCCATGCACTGCCAGGAGTAATTCCTGAGTACAAAGCCAGGAGTAACCCTTGAGCATTGATGGGTGTGACCCAGAAAGGGAAAAAATATATATATTTCTTTGCTTAAACCTCTTTTTTTATTCAAAGACCAATTTGTTGAAGGTTTGGAGAATCATCCCATACGTTCCAGTTTGAATGAACCTGGGTCGGCTATGTGTAAGGCAAGCACCCTACTAATGCAGGCACCCAAGTACTATTGCTGTGGTTCCATAAAAGCCTTTAAAAATAAATTAATTTTAGTTAATATTATACTGGAGGCATAGTGTACACTATTCCTGTATGTAATATATTTCTTACACTCTGACTTTGAATTTTCAATGAAGAGATTTAAATCTCTGTTGACTCTTTATTTTTAAGAACTTGTATGTATTCTGTTCACTTGGAAAAGTACACTTATCATCCTTGGTGGTTGTTAATACCTTTTCTTTGCTTAGGATTGTTGGCTTCATGTCAATGCAAAAAAGAGTGTGTTTCCCAAACTGTCAGCTGTTGTTCGTGAAGGTGGCCGGGGCCTGGCTACTGTCATATACCCTTATCTTCTGCCATTTATCAGCAAACTTCCTCAGACCATTACAGAACCAAAGTTGGATTTCTTCAAAAATTTTCTCACCTCTCTAGTTACTGGGTAAGGAATTTATTATTATTTTTTCTTTATTTCTTTTCTTTTTTTGGTTTTGGGGTCAAATTCAGAGATGCTCAGGAGTTACTCCTGACTCTGTACTAAGGAATCACTCCTGTCAGTGCTCTGGGGACCATATCAAACCTATGTCAGGCACGTGCAGGGCAGATACTCTACCCATTGTATTGTTTCTCAAGCCCTCTGGGTAAGGAATTTAGATTGTTTTGTTTGGGGATCCAGTCCACACATGCGAAAGCAAATGCTATAACCTCTGTGCTATAACCCCAGCAAGGAATTTGAATTCTTGATTTTCAAAACAAAAGATGTTTAAATGTTTTTCATAGATAGGTGGAATGGTGAATGCTTGCTTAAATATCCCCAAATATTTTGTTGCTCGGCTGGAGCGATAGCAAAGCGGGTAGGGTGTTTGCCTTGCATGCTTGCATGCAGCCTATATGGCTGACCCGAGTTCGATTCCTCCATCCCTCTCGGAGATCCCAGCAAGCTACCAAGAGTATCTCACCCGCATAGCAAAGCCTGACAAGTTCCCCGTGACATGTTCGATATGCCAAACACAGTAACAAGTGTCACAGTGGAGATGTTTCTGGGCCCACTCAAGCAAATTGATGCACAACGGGAGGACAGTGACAGTGAGTTTTGTTGCTCATTATATACTTGTAAAACTTTCAGGGAATTACAGTTGGAGGGAGGGAGGGAGGGAGGGGAAGAGAGAGAGAGAGAGAGAGAGAGAGAGAGAGAGAGAGAGAGAGAGAGAGAGAGAGAGAGAGAGAGAGAGAGAAGCTTGTGTCTGTTTTGGGCCACAACTGGTGCATGCACAGGGCTTACTCCTGGCTCTGTGTTCAGGGATCATTCCTAGCTCGGCTCAAGAGAATGCATGACGGGGATTAAACCCAGGTCAGCTGCATGCAAAAGCAAATGCCCTATCCTCTGTCCTCTGTACTATCTCTCTGGTCCCAACACAATTGGAATTTCTTATTGGTTACATTCAAGACTTCTTTAGTAGTTGACAGCAAAAAGTAGAGTAAATACAGCTGTTTTTAAGAGGGATATTAGCTTCTTTTCAGTATGTTGATACTTACAAATGTCCTAATGTTGGAAATGAATCTGTGAAGTTTCAAAAACTTTTGGGAACTTAAAAATTTGTTAAAATTACACTTAAATTGTTTTACTACGTTGTTTGATCTTGATAAGTAAAAGAGACCCAGTTTGGGGGCTTGGGCATTACCTGTTATTTCATGGTTCCTGAGCATTGCCAGGCGTTGCCTAAAAACGGATATAGAGTGTTATTAATGCTTGAAAATTTTTTTCATGAGTAGGAAATATTTTTTTCTAATAGCGAAAATTTTTTGTTGGCACAGTTTTTATACAGATACCTTCCCCCCCGCCCCCGTCTTTCCTATTCATATATAATCAAGCTGATTGTTAAAAAATAATCTTTTGGTATGATGCAGTACCATTTATTTTGGTTTCTTAGTTTTTGTTTTCTTCATGAAAGACTGAACCACTGTTATTTATTTGTTTTTTAGGCTCTCAACAGAAAAAATCAAAACCAGCTTTTCAGAGTGCTCGGCAGTCATAGCTGCTTTTTTTGAATGCTTACGTTTTATAATGCAGCAAAACTTAGGTGAGGATGATATTGAAGAGATGCTCATCAATGATCAGGTATTTATGATGTCAAATCATGTGATTTTGCAATTTTAAAGAATAAAATCCATTGTATCTTGTTACTAATTATCATTAGATTTTCTTGGTAAGACTTTTTTTTTGTAATTTGCAATTAATATGTATTTCAGATAAAAAAAACTAAGTACTTTGTCAATTGTTAGCATAATAATGATAATTCCTGAATATAAATCAGTTTCTGAATGTATAGGTCCTGGCTGTTTCAGAGAGTTGCAATATAAAATAGAATATAGAAAACAGTGTTTATGGGTCAGAGAGACAGTACAACAGGTAGGGTACACACAGGCAAACCCAGGTTTGATCCCTGGTATCCCATATGGTCCCCTGAGCACCACCAGGAGTAATACCTGAGTGCAGAGCCAGGAGTGACCTGTGAGCATCACTAGGTGTGACCCAAAAAGACAAAAAAAAAAAAAAGAAAGTGATGTTTGTGAACTTTCATATTAGGTTTAAATTATGAAATGTTATTATAAAAACATTCAAGAACATTTATTTGGTGAATGATAGGTTCTAAAATATGGTTCCTTATGCTAGGAAACTAATAAGCATATAAAAGCTCAGGTTTTAGTTGATTTTTTAAAACATATGATTCAGGGTAAAGTATTCTGAATTTTGTGGATTCTGCATGCCTTTCTTATTGTCTTTGATGAAACCAGAAAAATTTAAATATGTTCAAATATGTTCAAAAGCTACAAAGAGTATCCCGCCCGCACAGCAGAACCTGGCAAGCTTCCCATGGCATATTCGATATGCCAAAAACAGTAACAAGTCTCACAATGGAGACGTTACTGGTGCCCGCTGCAGCAAACCGATGAACAATGGGAAGACAGTGCTACAGTGCTAATATAATATGAAAATGATCTATAAGCTTATTCTCCGAATTCCTGGGGGGGGGGGGGGAAACTGTTCCTTAGAAGTCTGGGGGGAACGTTTGGTTTTGGGGGACCACACCTGATGCTCACAACTAGTGCTCAGGGGACCATGTGGTACCAGGGATGGAACGCACCTGGTGATGCTCATGACTGGTGCTCATAGTACTGTACCAGGGATGGAAGCCAGGCCTCCCTTATGAAGAGTCTGTGGAGCTCTCTCTGGCCCTAACTATGAAATTTGGCAGTCTTTTGGAGTTTTTTTTTTTTCTTAATGTCTTGCTTAAATGTTATTTCTCCTGAAAAAACTCAATGTTTTCTACTGTTCCAGTTGATTCCTTTCATTGATTCAGTTCTTCAAGAACCAAGGTTTCAAGAAGGGGAGCTGTTTGATCATTTAGCAGAAACTTTAAGTTCCTGGGAGGCCAAAGCAGATGCAGAAAAAGGTGACATAATGGCTCAGAGCTTGGAGAAGGTGCTGCTGAGGTTCTGGAAAAGGCTGTCCGAGATCTGTGTTGAGAAAATCGATGGGTCAGAAGCTGATGTTCAGTCTGTTGCAGGCGTGTCCAACCTGTTACAGGTCCTACAGAAGCCAAAGAGCTCGTTGAAGTCTAATAAAAAAAAGGCCTGTAAGGTTAGGTTTGCTGACGAAGTGACAGAAAATGCGAAGGACAGTGAAACACTTGTATTTTCTGAAGCGCAGAGCAGCGAAGGCTCAGAATTAATAGCTGAATCGTCCTTCACTAATACTTACTCGAACCATATATCCCCACTGAGGAAGAAGCCTTTGGAAGAGTTGGTTTGTAAGCTGGCAGAGATGAGTATTAATTATATCAATGAGCACAAGTCCGAGCAACACCTCAAATTTCTCTCTACTCTGCTCAACTCTTTCTCCTCAATGGAAGTATTTAACATGCTGCTAACTGACGAGAAACATAGTACTGTCAAAAGCAAGCCTGTAGACATCGTCAAACTCGCGCAAAAGAATCCTGCTGTGCAGTTTTTGTACCAGAAACTCATCGGTTGGCTAAATGAAGATCAAAGGAAGGATGCCAGCTTCTTGGTGGATATTTTGTACAGTGCCCTCCACTGCTGTGACAGTAATGCGGAGAGAAAAGCCATCTTAGATGATCTAACTGAGGTATTAACATGGGTAAATCTTTTCAAAGCTAATAGTTTGCATTGGCACACTTTTAGTTTTGTGTTTTGGGGGGAACCATAAGTGGTAATGCTTAGGGGGTTAGTCCTGGCTCTGCACTCAGAAATTACTCCTGATGGTAGTTGGGAGACCAAATGGGATGCCAGGGATCAAACCTAGGTTAACTGTGTGGAAGGCAAGTGCCTTATCTTCAGTGTATCTCTCCGGCCCCTGGCATACTTTATACTGAGCAGAATGGAATCTACATGGAGGTTATTCATTTATTTTTGACATATTAGTTTTAAGAAAATGTCTCATGCTTTAGAAAGTACATGAGACTTTGTGACAGAAGCTTGTTAGTAGAAGTAAAATTTTTCAGCCTATACTTAAAAAAAAATGAACTAGCAACTAGCTAAAAAAGTCTTAATTTTGTTTTGATTACATGTGATTTTGTTTACTTGTAAAAATTCTCATTGTTTCGCCCAGCCAATTGTTTCTCTTTGTTCTTTTTCAGGTGGAACTTAAGTGGAATTCTATTCTTAAGGTTGTTGAAAAGGTATCTTAATTTTTTTCTTTCTTGATTTTATTTTTTTGCTCTCCCGGTGTATAGAAAAATCAAAACAATCATTTTCACACACCAATATGTTGTCAGCTTGTTAGTGTTAAAGAACTTCTCTATTATTGTAGTGTTTTCCCATAATTTGGGAAGACATTTAAGTATCTATCCTTTTGTAGTATTTTTCTGGTGAAGAGATAGCGGCAAAGTATGAACAGGCTGTTTCTTCTTTAGTAGGAAGCAAAGGAAGAGTTAGAGGCTGTATTATCCATGAAATTTGGGCTGCAAGATTCTTTTCTTATTCTGGTTCTCACTTTGGCCAGAATGAAAAATTGTTTGCCCTGTACTGGAATAGAGTACAATCTCCCCCCCCCCCCCCCCCCCCCCCACGATTTTGGGCCACATGGCAGTGCACAGGGTTTACTCCTGACTCTGTGCTCAGGGATCACTCCCATCTGTGCTTTGGGGGACTATAAGGAGTGCTAGGGATTGAACCCAGGTCTGTTGTGTGCAAGGCAAGTGCCCAACCCACCATACTATCCCTTCGTCCCACCAGTTAAATTTGAATGCTGCTTAGCTAAATTAAAAAAAGCACTGATAAGAATAACGTAATCTGTGGGGCTGGAGCAGTAGTACAACAGGTAAGTCATAGGAATGAGTACCATCTGAATTTTTTAAACATTTAAAAATTTTACATAGATAACCTTTTTTATATAAGATTTTGTATTTACATGTTATTTATAGACAACTTTTACATTATGATAAAAATCTCATAATAGAAAATTTACCACCATAACCATTTCTAGGTGCACAGTTCAGAACTATTAGATATGTTCACATTACTGGGAAACCAACCTGCAGAATTTCATCTTTTTTTAACATTCTTTTTATTTATTTATATTTGGCTTTTGGGACCACACTAGGGATGCACTCAGTAATCACTCCTAGCAGTGCTCCTGGGAATATATGGGACCCAGGTTGACAGCATGCAAAGCAAACGCCCAACCTGCTGTACTATTGCAACAATTCCCACCACAACTTCATCTTGCAAAACTGAAACCGTGACTCATTAAACAGCTCCCCATTTCTTCCAAGAGCTTATTTTTAGAAAATGCTTTACAGAATATTAATTTACTCCTTTTCAATTAGAAATATAACCTATCAGGCATGACTTGCATTCGTTTCCAATACTTTTTATCCTTGCTAGTCATCTACATAAAATCCCCATTGTAATCAAGCAGTTTGAATTAGAAAAAGAGTTGATAATTTTATTAAGAGAAGACTGGCCTATCCATTTTCACTTCCATTTAACCATGTACCTGCCAGGTCACTCAGATTCTCAGATGTGTTTGGAAGAGTATTCTTTTCTAAACGATAGCACTGGGAAGCCGATAGCCAACATTTGTCTCCTTATTTAGCCTCCTCATTCCTTTAAAGTTGTCTAGATTTTTTTCTGTAGATATGCTTAGTTGAGCGATGTTTTATTTTGAAGTTTATTTTCAATACCCTATAAGACAGATTGGTTTATTTGGAAATTTTAATATGAAAACCATTATCAGTAATCTCCTACTCTAGTTTTCTTTGTTTTTATGCAACCTGATTCTTCAGGAGCAGAGTCCTAAATCAGAGGTTTTCTTTGTTTTTGTTTTTGTTTTTGTTTTTTTGGGATCACACCCAGCGATGCTCAGGGGTTACTTCTGGCTCAGGAATTACCCCTGGTGGTGCGCAGGGGACCATATGGGATGCTGGGGATTGAACCCAGGTCTGTTGTGTGCAAGACAAAAGCCCTCCCCACCATACTATCACTCCAGCCTGCTCCTTTCAAACCAAACTGAATTTTGGTCGAAATTTTGTGATGATGTAAAAAAGAACTTTAGAGATGTTCTAGGTTAAGCTTTCCTTTATTCAAATTAGAAAACTGGCTCTGGTTATTTAAGAAAGTTTCCCAGTGTAAAGCAGAAATAGTGGTAAAACTTTAAAAAATAAAAGCTCTAGTTACCTGCAAATTTTATAATAAAGATAAAAGTTTATAGGCACTGTTCAACCTGCACGTGGATTTTTTTTTTCTTTTTCCAGATTGCTTTGAAATGAACAAAATTCCTTTCTTCTCAGCCTTTAAAGCAAAAAGAAGCTCAGGGAACATGGATCAGCATGCTTTTGGGGGTGGATTTACAATTTCTTTCCTTGCTTCTTTACCCCCTGGAAATAAACCAGTTTCTGTCAGATCTGGCCTAATAACTATTTTATATAAGTGGGAGAAAGAAAGCCCACTGTTTAAATTTATACCAGTAACTTACACCAATTATTTAATTTTTTGATCTTGTTTTTCTTGGTTTGGGGGCCACACCCAGCAGTGCTCAGGGGTTACTTCTGGCTCTGCATTCAGGAGTTACTCCTGATGGTGTTTGGGGAGACATATAGTTATAACAGAGCTTGAACCCAGGCCAACTGCATACAAGGCAAATGCCCTACCCACTGTACTATCACTCGAGCCTTCTTTTTCTTTTTCTTTTTTTTTCCTTCCAATATTGGACCTCCCTGGACTTACTTCTAGTCTCTGCACTCAGGGAACCATATGCGATGGCAAGGGTCGAACCCAGTTGGCTGCATTCAAGGCAAGCACCCTATCCTTTATACTGTCTGCCTGACCCAATTGTTCTTTAATTTTAGTAAAATTAACAAGCACACTCTTAATATCTATAGAGCATTTATAGATCTGTCTCCCAAGTTCCTCCACTCACTATTCATTGAACACATCTGCAGTGTTGATAGAAAGTATCAGAAGTTTAAGACAGTCTGCTCACTTGGAACTTACAATCTCATTGGAAACGACATACACAGATGAAACATTTAATAATAATACAATCCAGTAAGTGCTCTAGAAATTCAGAGAAAAGCAGCAATGAGTGTGTGTCAGAGTGAATGGGGTGGGGGGGGGGGGAATTCATTAAGCAACAGGTGGCATTTGCAGTGAATCTCAAATGAATTTCTTTTCTTGTTTTCTTTTTTAAAAAAAATTTTTTCCCCTGGGGCATACCCATGATACTCAGGACTTACTCCTGATTCTTCACTCAAATTTCTCCTGGCAGTGCTCCCAGGATCATATTGTGTTACTAGAAATTGAGCCTGGGTTAGCTGCCTTGAAGGCAAATGTCCTACCTGCTATACTGTCTCCCTAGCCCACAAAAAATGGATGAGTTTCTTACCTTACAATTAATGAAGATGGGGAATATCTCTACTGGGAAGATACCATGAGCAAAGTATGAAAGTGTATAGAAGCAAGGATTCATGGGGCATTATTGTCAATCAAGTGCAATAATATGACACAAGCAATTGTTTTGGCCAGATGTGCTGTTTGATCTTGCTTCTAATCTTTAATTTTATGGTTTTAGGCATGTTCTAGTTCAGATAAACATGCCTTAGTGACTCTTTGGCTCAAAGGAGATATCCTTGGAGAGAAACTGGTAACCCTGGCAGATGAACTTTGTAATAAGGACTTCGAATCCCCGGTTTCATCCGCATCTTACTTCTCAGAAAGATGGACTCTGCTAAGTCTGGTGTTATCCCAACATGTGAAAAATGGTAGGAACCAACAGGGCTTTTGTGGGTTTGTTTTTTTTCCCTTTCATTGTTGCGGAAATTCCATGCAGAACAGCTTGCATAGATTTGTTGAGAATATTAAAATGCAGCACTCATGTCTTCATTTTATGAGAACTTTAAATATTTATAATCTGTTTAGTATGATTTGGAAGACGGAATATTTTTAGTTTCAGATTTGACAGTGCTTTGAAATGAGTAAAATCACACTAATTTTGTAGATCATTGCTCTTTAAACTTTTTGTGGGTGAGAACAAATTAATTTTGATACAATTTTCTTTCTCCTAATGCATAAACATTTTTTTTTTGTTTTTTTGGGTCACACCTGGCGATGTACATAATGCATAAACATTTTAAATGTACTACTTTTTCACTTTTTTATTCTTTTTTTCCTCTTTAAATATTTTTTTTTGTGACTATTTATTGAATTACTGTGAGAGAGATGCTTACAAAGCTTTTTTTCCTCTATAATTTTTTTTTCTTTTTTTGGGTCATACCTGGTGATGCACAGAGGTTACTCCTGGCTTTGCACTCAGGAGTTACTCCTGGCGGTGCTCAGGGGACCATATGGGATGTTGGAAATCGAACCCGGGTCGGCCACGTGTAAGGCAAATGCCCTACCCGTTGTGCTATCTCTTCAGCCCCCTCTTTAATTATTTTTTAAAATTGTATTTTAGGTACTGTAGTTTAAAGGATTGTTAACGACAGGGTTTCAGGTATCACACATTCCCACATCACATTTCAGAGTGTTCCATAGTCGTCTTCTCCTCCACCCTTTCTTCCCATGTGGTAGCTTCCTACTGAAGACCAATTTCTTTGGCCTTTGAGCTTTTGTTATTCCCCTACTGTGTTTCTTTATATCCTGCATATGAGACATTCTGTGTCTGTCCCTCTCCTTCTGACTGACTTCATCCCCTGCGTGATACTCCAGGTTAACCCATATAGAAGCAAATGGCACAATTTCATTGTTGTTGTTGTGTTTTTTTGTTTGTTTGTTTGTTTTTACACCCAAGTAGCATTCCATTGTGTATATGAATCATAGTAGTTGTTGGGTTTGGTTGTTGTTTTTTTTTTTTTTTTTTTTTTTTTTTTTGCTTTTTGGGTCACACCCAGCAAAGCTCAGGGGTTACTCCCTGCTCTATACTCATGAATCACTCCTGATGGTGCTTGGGGAACCATATGGGATGCCAGGGATTGAACCTGGGGCAAACGCCCTACCCACTGTGCTATTACCCCTTCCTGAGTCATAGTTTCTTTATGCAATCTTCTGTTCTTGACTAATTGGGGTTGTTCCCAGATTTTGACTTTTGTGAATAGTGCTACAATGAATGTCACAGTGCAAATGTCTATTCTGAATAGAGGTTTTAGACTCTGGCTTAGATGCCAGGAAGTGGAATTGCCGTCTCATACAGAAGCTTGATTCCTAGTACTTTGAAAAGTGCCCATATTGTTTTTTGCAAGGACTAGACCAGTTGACGTTCCCACCAGCAGAAAACCGGGGTCCCCTTTTCCCCACATCTGTACCAGCATTGGCTGTTTTTGTTCTTTGTGATGTATGCCAATCTCCTTTTTAAAGTTTTGCCCCCCAGTCCCTATCCTTTCTTCCATTCTTGTTGTTGCAGAGCTGGGGTACCACATGCAGGCTTGGCTGTGGTGCTTGCATATTTTAGGTGCTTCCTGAAGCTCACCCATCAGATTGTAGTGCTCATCTGCCACCTGCAGTACTCCCTGTAGTTCTGGTGCTTGTGCATGGGGTCGGGTTGCCAAGAGGGACCCATTACCACACATCATTCATTGTCTTCTTTTTTTTGTTTGTTTTTTCATTGAATCACTGTGAGATAGACCCTTCCAAAGCTGTTCATGATTAGGTTTCAGTCATAGAGTGTTCCAACATCCAACACCAGTGTACATTTCCCAGTACCAGTGTCCCCAGTTTCCTTCCCATCACCCACCATCTTCCCCTAGCCTGACTTGATGGCAGGCAGGCATCTCTCTCTCTTTCTCTCTCTCTCCCCCTCTCTCTCCCCCTCTCCCTCTCCCTCTCTCTCCCCCTGTTCCTATCCCTCCCTCCCTCCCTCCCTCCCTCCCTCCCTCCCTCCCTCCCTCCCGCCCGCTCCCTCCCTCCCCTCTCTCCCTCGCTCCCCTCTCTCCCTCCCTCCCTCCCCCACTCCTTTTGGGCTTTGTGATTTGCAGTATATATACTGGAAGGTTATCAGGTATATCCCTTTACCTATTTTTAACTCTCAGTTCTTGTCCAGCGTGATCATTCCCAACTATTCTTGTCATACTGGTCGCTTCTCTATCTTACTTACCCTCCTCCCCGAGTGGTAGATTCCAATCATGGGCCAGTCCTCCTTGCCCTTGTTTTCCTAGCCTTGAATATTGATCTTCTACTATGTATTTTTTTATATCCCACAAATGAATGCAGTTATTCTGTCTCTGTCCCTCTCCTTCTGACTCATTTCACTCAGCCTGATGCTCTCTATGTCTATCCATTTATAAGCAAATTTCATGTCATCTTTAGTGCTGATGCTCACACACGCAGTGCTTATTGGGGGTCACTGTGGTGGTCACACAGTTGTACTCTGAGGGAGGTACTGCTGGCTTGCCTATGTTGCTGTTAGTTGCTGTGGTGTTAGCTGGGGACCATGCATTTTGGTTGTGGTGCTCACATATGCCTGGCTGTGGTTATTTGTATGATGGAAATCACTTCAGGTGCTGGGCATTCTACTTGGGTTCCAGCTTGCAACCATAATGCTTAAAAGCAGGTCTTCTAAGCCACCTGAACTACTACTTTGAGCCTTAAGCAGTATTTGTCGTTATAAATAAGAGCCAAGTGTTTGCAAACTTAATTTAAAAATATACTGCTGATCTTTGGTGGGGGGGATTTGTCCGAATTTTTTTTCCCTCTAGATCACTTGATTGGAGAAGTATATGTTGAAAGAATTATTGTTAAACTTCATGGAACTTTAGTCGAAACAAACACATTGTCGACAGTTGAAAATAAGGACTCGCCCGTCTCTTCCATCTGTGATGTGATCTATCACTATTTCAGCTCTGCGGCAGGGTGCTCACTAACGCCATCCTCTGAAGATTTATTATTAACTCTCTTTCAGTTATGTGCTGAGAGCAAAGAGAAAACCCATTTGCCAGGTAAAATGGAGCTGCTCAGATGTTTTGTTGGATATCTCCCTCTCTGATTTTCATAGTGTAAGGGTCTAGGCTTGCTTTTTTATTTATTTATTTATTTTGGGGTTTGGGTCCCCACCTGGCAGACTCGGGGCTTGGGGCATGGAGGGGGGCGGGGCAATTCTGGGATGCCAGGGATTGAAACCATTTCGGTGTGTTCAAGGCAAGTGAACTCAGGCCCCCTGGTCCTCGACTTTATTAATTGAATCATAAGGCTTAAACGTTGAAAGCAATTTTGAGTCAAGTAAGCTCTACGAATCTTCGATACCGTAGCTTGTGAAACCAAGTGTATATATCATGTATATTTAAATCTACTTAAGGTTCTTACTTTATAGTAAGGAAATAGTTTTGGAAGGGGCCAAGGAACCTGAGTTAGGATTTAACTCCCTCACTTATTCTGCACTGTAGCACTGTCATCCCGTTGTTCATCGATTTGCTCAAGCGGGCACCAGTAACGTCTCACAACAAATTGTGAGATTTGTTACTGTTCTTGGCATATCGAATACGTCACGGGTAGCTCCCACACTTATTAGCTATGATAAATTGTTTAATTTTTTATTCCGTTTGGGGGTGGGGGTTGAGCCACCTCAGCCATACCCAGCAATGCTAAGGGGCTATTCCTGGGTCTGGTATGATGCTCAGGGGACTGTTTATAAGCAGGGGCTTATAAACAGTCTTATAAACTCTTGCATGCAAGGTGACCTTCCTTATCTCCTGTGCTACATCTCAGGGTCCAGTTCACTTTCTTTCTATCTTAGTATCTTTTTTTCTTGTTTTGTTTTGTTTTGTTTTGTTTTGTTTTGGGGCCACACCTGGCACTGTTCAGAGCTTACTCCTGACTCTGTGCTCAGGGATCAGTGCTAGCAGGCTCAGGGGGCCAAAGGGGTGCTGGGGATTGAACCCTGGTTGTCTGCGTGCAAGACAAAACACCCTGCTGTCCTATTGCTGTGGCCCTAGTCTTTATTCTTAGATGGGAGTGTTAATATTTCATTTCCCTAAAAGGTAAAAAGGTAAAGGCCCTCCCGTTGATCGTCGATTTGCTCTAGCGGGCCCAGTAACGTCTCCATTGGAGACTTTGTTGTTACTGTGTCTGGCATATCGAATACTCTCGGTAGCTTGCCGGGCTCTCCGAGAGGGGCGGAGGAATCGAACTCGGGTCGGCCATGTTGGCCGCATGTAAGGCGAACGCCCTACCCGCTGTGCTATCGCTTCAGCATTTCCCTACTTGTAATTAAATTTTTTTACTTTTTATAAAAAGAAAAATGAAATTTTTTTACTTTTTATAAAAAGAAAAATGAAATTGTCTTTTTTTTTTTCCCCTTGTATGTGTGTTGCTTTGGGACCACACTTGGAGGCACTCAGGGGCTATTCCTGACTCTGTGCTTGGGGTGGGGAATAAGGAGTCTATTCTAGTGGTGCTCTGGGGAACCAGGCTGTGCCAGGGATTGAGCCCCAGACCTTCTGCGTACAGAGCATGTGCTCAGCCTACAGTGCTATCTCAAGCCTGAGAATGTCCTTTTGAAGGGTTGTATTCTTGCTTTCTCTAGTAATTCAGAGTTACCTGAAAGAAATAGGAAAAATGACTTATAGAGAGCTCGCCTCCCTAACCTGTTTTTAAATACTAACTTTCCTGTTGGGAACAGGCATACTTTTCAAATGTCCAAAAGGACAACTCTTATAAACAAATCTCAGAACATTAAAAAAAAAAAAAAAGCAATTTATATGAAATGAGCAAGCTCGAATTACTGAAACAATTGAACAGTCAGTAAGATTGTTTTAGTTTTTCAATGGTACCTTAAAAATCTCAGATCTCCAGTGAATTCTTTCAGATAGTTTGTACTGATCATAGCTATGTTAATGGGGTTACAATTTACTGTTGATATCTTGATTTTAGACTTTCTTCTATGCAAACTGAGAAATACATGGCTCTCTGGTGTGAATTTATTGGTCCATCAGCCTGGCAATACGTATAAACAGAGTACCTTCCTACGTTTATCTGCACTGTGGCTGAAGAACCAAGTTCAGTCTTCTGTTCTGGATGTAAAAAGGTAGTCTTTTCGTGCCCACTTTCCCAGTTTCTAACATATGATCTCCACCTTTAAAATTCCACGGTTAATCTGAGTGACTGTGAAAGGCAACTGAGTTCTGAAAAAAAAATCTATAGGATCCAAACAGATTTTCTTCCCAGAGAGACATCATATCATAATCATCAATATGTTGATGATTATCCAGACTCATTTACTTGAAGAATAATGGAGTATAGTCCATTTCCTGCATTTCTCATTTGTGGATAGTGATGTGATTGGGGTACTCTCTTATGTCTCAGGCCACTGTGGATTGTGACCATGACACCTCATATTATAACATAGTCACTGTTCTCCAGTATTTTTTTATGAGGTTCGAAAGCTATTGGGTTCTTTGTTTTTTGTTTTTGTGTCACACCCAGCTGTGTGCAGGGCTTACTCCTGGCTCTGTGCTTAGGGATCACTCCTGGCAGGGCTTAGGAACCAGATGGGTTGCTGGGGGTTGAACCTCGGCTACATGCTAGGCAAGCGCCCTACCTACTGTACCTGGTCCTGATTGTTACTGGTTTAAGTCGCAGATATTGTCCATATGTAACTAAATTCATGTATAATGATCCAGTGAAAATGAAGAGAGACTGTCTCAGAGTCGGTTGGAGTTTGGGGCAGATCTTTTCTGATCCTTATGCTTTCTTCTTGGACTAAGGAAATTAGTCCAGAAATACCTTATCTGAAATTCCTTAGTTCTCCCTTTGTGTTGAGATTAAAATGGTGTTCAATTTCAAATCAAGAGTTGGATTAAAGTCTCTGATTTGACTTGTGCATGTGGGTAGGGAGGGTGTTAAAGGTATGACTTTGCTTTATTGTTATTTTTTTCTTAAGGCAAGCTATTAATTGCTCTAGGGTATTTACTGTGTTTCTGGTGACAGTTATCATATTTCCAGAGCACATGGACATTAAAATTTTTTTGCTGCTTTCAGTCTTCAAGTTCTTTTGTCGACTGTTGAGGATTTGCTAAATGCGTTTCTAGAAAGTGAAGATACTTCTCTCCTGGGAGTTTATATTGGAAGTGTAATGCCAAGCAATAGTGAATGGGAGCTGATGAGACAGTCTCTTCCTATGCAGGTATGGTTGAAAGCAAAAATCACAGATCTCACCTGAAGTTTACATGTCCTACAAGCTAAATTTTTTTTTTTTTGTCTTTTTGGGTCACACCCAGTGATGCTCAGGGGTTACTCCTCGCTCTATACTCAGGAATTACTCCTGGTAGGCTTGAGGGACCATATGGGGATGATGGGGGTCGAATTCATGTCTGCTGCGTGCAAGGCAAACACCCTCCCCACTGTACTATCGTTCTGGCTCCCCAAATTTTTGTTTTATTCAGGGGAAGAGTCAATTTTAATTGAGTATATTCTGTTTCACCTGGGGGAAGAAATAAAAGGCTAAGGAAATGATAATTTTACTTTATCTTTATGTCTTTTAAACGTTTATATGATGCATGCTTGCTACTTGCAAGATACCAGTTGACATTGTGTAGCCATGGTACAAGGTGCATAAAACTGAGCTCTATTGTCAAAGATTCTTATACATATGTCCATCATTTCTTTTTTTGTTGTTATTGTTTTGAGCAAGCTACCCGTGACGTGACGTATTCAGTATGCGAGACACAGTAACAAGTCTCACAATGGAGATGTTACTGGGCCCGCTTGAGCAAATTGATGAACAATGGGAGGACAGTGACAGTGACAGCGTGCTGTTTTGAGGGACCATATGGGGTTTCAGGGATCAAACCAGGGTTGGCCACATGTAACACATGTAAGGCAAGCACCCTCCCTACTGTAATCTTGGTACAGCCCCCAAGTTGATCATGTACTTGTGTAGAAACCAAACTTCTAGGAGTCTGAAGTTTTGTGAATAAATTAGTTTTATTTTTGTTTATAAGATATTTGGGCATTGGGGAGGGCTGTGCTCAGGGTTTACTCCTGGAGGTGCTTGGGGAAATCTTTAGGGGTACCAATGATCAACATGCAGGCAAGCACCTTTGCCACTGTTCTGTCCTTTGGCCCCTGGCCCCAGTCTTAATTATATACATAATCATTTAATGTGTCTAATGATTTTGAATTTAATTTTTTTGTTGTTTTGGGAGCCATACTGGGCTATTCTCAGTGAGCCCCAACTTAGGGCTCAGGTGGCCATGTGGGGTACCAGGAATGTGAGGCAAGCACCCTTTCCACTGCAGTCTCTCCAATCCTGTGCTTTTGTATCTAATTTAATATATTCTTTTTACAGTGGTTGCACAGACCGCTTTTAGAAGGAAGATTGAGTTTGAATTATGAGTGTTTCAAAACCACTTCTAAAGAAGAAGATACAAAGAATCTCCCCAGCCACTTATGTACTTCAGCATTATTGAGCAAAATGTTACTAGTTGCATTGAAAAAGGAATTCGTTCTAGAAAATAATGAACTTGAGAAAATCAGTAAGTATATATGAGCATTCAGGTATAAGTACAAATGTAAAATTGGAAGTAATTTTTGTTGGGGAAAATTCCAAATAATAATGGTGGGTCTTTTGTCGTAATGTTGAATGTGATCAAAGTAGAGAGAGAGTAAAGTAGAAATCTGCCACACAGGCAGGGGGAGGATTGGCGGGGGAGGGTGGGGGATATACTGGGGTTCTTGGTGGTGGAAAATGTGCAGTGGTGAAGGGATGGGTGTTAGATCATTATATGACAGACCGACACTTAAAAGGCTTTGTGACTATTCTCCCAGTGATTCAATAAATTAAAAATTTTAAAAAAAAATTGGAAGTAATACAGTTTTGAAATTATTTTCCTCACTGTGCAACTTAAATCTTTCAAGAATTTAGACTCTTGAGCTGTCTTACTTTATTTTATTTTTGCTTTTTTGAGTCACACCCAGCGATGCTCAGGGATTACTCCTGGCTTTGCATTCAGGAATTACTCCTGGCAGTGCTGAGGTCTATATGGGATGCTGGGGATTGAACCTGGGTTGGCTGCATGCAAGGCAAAAGCCTTAACCACTATACTATCGCTCCGGCCCCAAGCTGTCTTATTTTAAAGATGAGAAATTTGAGGTTATTTAAAGTGGTTAATGTTCAATTGCAATTGAATGTAAACATAATAAAATCTGGGCAGAGTCTTGTTGCTTCTAGTGAAGAAGAATTTGGCTCAAGGTCAGTTACTTTAACATGTGTCAGTATAAGCAGTTTGTGTATTGCACAACCCTAAGGAATCCTTTATGTCTTCATCAAGGGCCTAGAATTATTAGTTTATTTCTTAACCACTATTACGCATTCATAGGACTGTAATCTTTTCTTGATAATTGTAGAGATTCTAATGTTGAATCCCAAAGTCTTAGGAGCTCTTTTTCTTTTTTTTCCTTTTAATAATGTAGGAGTACTGCAGTTTATTCAGCCATTGATTAAGTTGATTGAATTGGGCGTGGATTCCACATTACTTTTTATTTTCAGAGTGTTAATTTTATTTTTTTTATTATATGTATTTATCCCTGTGAGATACAGTTATATCGCTTTCCTGTTCAGTCATACAGTGATCAAACGAAACCCTCCACCAGTGCACATCTTCCACCACTAAGGTCCCCAGTATCCCTCCCCCCATCCCATCCCTCCCCCTGCCTCTGTGGCAGGCAATCTTCCCCATACTCTCTTTTGTATTGCTCATTATGAATAGGATAAGGTGTCGCAGATGCGTTCTCCTGGAATTCTAAAATTTTAGATGGTTAGGGTCTGGAGGGATCTCTGTAAGAGCGGCTCAGTTCACAGATCCTTTTGTGTGTCTCTGGATCATGGCCGCTAAGGAGTTTAAACAGCAGCTGGAGGGAGTTCGTGGGAGTGACCTTTAGGGTCCCATGGCAATGCGGGGGTGGAGGGGTGTTTAAGAGAACCAGACCATCCCCTATCCCTTGAGGCCTGGAGTTTGCTGTCACTGAACCCACATACCTGCACTTCTCATTGGGCTCTGGTAGTTGTTGGCCGCTAGGGTTCTTAGGGGGCATGTGGAGGGACGACACTTGCCCCCATCTGAGGCACCCCAGTGAAGTTGTCCTGGCTTCTTGTTCATTAGAGCTTCTAATGTTCTTGTAAAGATTCTAATCTTGAATCCCAAAGACTTAGGAGTTCAGAAATTTCCTTCATTCCAGGAAATGTTGTAGAATTGTAGATTACAATGTGAACTGTGCAAGCTGCTGTTGAAAGTAGGAGATCTGCATAATTATGTATTATATTTGTTTAAGCCCTCTGCTGTAACTGTTATTAGCAGAGAAGAACATTGGCCTGATGCAAGAAAGCTGGAATACCTCTTTCAGTTAGCCACTTTCACATACCATTTGGGCCCGAAAATTAGACCGTTGTTTACATTTCTCACAGAGTGAATGTGTTCCAACATTGTAGTAATTCCTTTTAAAATTGTTACTGATTAAAAACTGACATACATTTAGTCTTCTCATTAGCCTAGTCAGTCAAATATTTTCTTATCTTGACTTCTTAGCATTAATTAACTTGTAAAAGATAGACTTGGATTTGTTCCAGCTAGATCTTAAGACTTCTGAATCCAAGTTCTGTGCACAACATTTTTCCTTTTATTGAAACATCATGGTTTGCAAAGTTGTCCATGATACATTTGTTATAGGCATTCAGTATTCCAGTACCAATCCCACCACCAATGTGAACTTCCCTCCATTATTGTCCCCATTTTCCCAACTACCCCCCTCCCAAGCCTGCCTCCTTAGTAGGTACAAAATAATTAATTTTATATTGCTCAACAACTAAATGGCTTATGAGATTATAAAAAAACTCCCTCAGTAAAAGAAAATTTGTGAGAATTGTTGTATCTCATTCTGGTGTCATTGTCTGAGGGTTTCCTAAGCTGTTTCTCGCTAGTTGAGCTTTCTGTGTTACTGTTGTTATTTATTGAGTTTCATTGTCTTTTGTGTTCTTTTCTAATTGGATATGCTCCTACTGGAATGTCAGTGTTGGAGAATTTGAAGGTGTGCTCCAGAAACTCCAGAATACTTAACTGGAGTTCACATGGCAGCCATTGTCAAATGGGATTGGGGGGTAGGGGGGACTGCTAGGGGTTGTGAGGTCCAGAAGGGTAGTCAAGTGGGTAAGCTGCTTACCCTGTACACCGCCAACCCTGGTTCAATCCCCAGCACCCCGTATGGTCCTCCTCGCCCTGCCAGGGCTGATCCCAGAGCCAAGAGTTAGCCCTGAGTATTGCTGAGTGTGTCCCCCAAACAAACAAAACCATATGATATTCCAGGATTGCTTTTTTTTTTTTATTACTTTTAATATATAGGTACTTGAACTTACTGTTTACAGCCAGTCCTGTAAGGTAGATATCTCAATTGATAACTATGTGTGTAGCTCCTTTGAGCCCAGACCCCTTTGTCACTGAGGCCCTGACATGCTGTTACCCAGTTCTTAATACTTTAGCTCGAGCTAGTCATCACAGGGGTGGATCCTTAGTAACTTATCCTGTATTGCAACTTTTTTTAACCTTAGATGACAAAAATGTTGGTACTGTTCTTCCAGTATTTCCATTATTTTAGGTTCCTGAAATATTCTTAATTAGATAAGGAACCAAGTGGGAGATGGAAAGGAGTGTTTTTTTTTGTTGTTGTTTTTTTTTGGGGGGGGGGACTTTTTTTGGATCACACACCTGGCAATGCACAGGGCTTTACTCCTGGCTCTGCATTCAAGAATTACCCCTGGTGGTGCTCAGGGGACCATATGGGATTCTGGGAATCAAACCTGGGTCAGCCATGTGCAAGGCAAATGCCTTACCTGCTGTGCTCCAGCCCCAGAAGTGGCAATCTTATTTTTTTTTTAATTTTATTGAATCACTGTGAGATAGCAACAAGCTTTCATGTTTGGGTTACAATCACACAATGACCAATCACTCGTCCCTCCACCAGTGCACATTCTCCACCACCAATATCCGCGGTATACCCCTCCTTTCCCACCCTCCCTCTGCCTCCATGGCAGACATGATTCCCCATAATCACTCTCTACTTTTGGGCATTATGGTTTGCAATACAGACCCTAAGAGGCTACCATGTTTGTTCCTTTATTTACTTTCTGCACACATCTCCCATCCCGACCGATTCCTTCAGCCATTTTTTTCTTAGTGATCCCTTCTCTTTTCCAGCTGCCTTCTCCCCTTTGCTCATGAGGCAGGCTTCTAGCTATGGAGCAATCTATGTGTCACATGTATCCACTATCCTTAGGTGTCAGCCTCATGTTATGTTGTTTTATACTCCACAAATGAGTGCAGTCCTTCTATGTCTGTTCCACTCTTTCTGACTCATTTCACTTAGCATGATACTCTCCATGTCTGTCCATTTATAAGTAAAGTTCATGACTTCATCTCTCCTGACAGCTGCATAGTATTCCATTGCGTAGATGTACCAGAGTTTCTTTAACCGGTCATCTGTTCTAGGACACTTGGGTTATTTCCAGATTTTGGCTATTGTGAACAGTGCTGCAATGAACATATAGGCACAGATGTTATTTCTACTGTGCTTTTTTTGCATCCTCGGGATATATATTCCCAGAAGTGGTATTGCGGGGTCATATGGAAGGTCAATTTCTAGTTTTTGAAGGACTGTCCATATTGTTTTCCAGAAAGACTGGACTAGTGGGCATTCCTACCAACAGTGAAAGAGTGTTCCTTTTTCCCCACATCCATGCCAGCTCTGATTGCTTTTCTTTTTTTGAATGTGTGCCAGTCTCTGTGGTGTGAGATGATATCTTATTGTTGTTTTGATTTGCATCTCCCTGATGGCTAGCGATGTGGAGCATTTTTTCATGTGCCTTTTGGCCATTTGTATTTCTTTTTTGAGGAAACTTCTGTTTATTACTTCTCCCCATTTTTTGATGGGGTTGGAGGTTTTTTCTTGTACAATTCTACTAGTGTCTTGTATATCCTGGATATTAATCCCTTATCAGATGGGTATTGGATAAATATTCTTTCCCATTTTGTGGGCTCTTTCTGTATTTTGGTCACTGTTTCTTTTGAAGTGCAGAAGCTTCTTAGTTTGATGGAGTCCCATTTGTTTATGTTTGCTTCCACTTGCATGGTCAGTGCTGTTTCATCCTTAAAGATATTTTTAGCTTCAGTGGAGATTTCTGCCTACATTTTCCTCTACCTTATGGATTCATGTCTGATATTGAGATCTTTAATCCACTTTGATCTGACTTTTGTGCCTGGCATTAGATAGAGGTCACAGTTCATTTTTTTGCAGGTAGCTGTCCAGTTTTCCCAGCACCACTTGTTGAAGAGGCTTTCCTTGTTCCACTTCACATTTCTTGCTCCTTTGTCAAAGACTAAGTGATCATATATTTGGGGGTCTGTGACAGAATATTCAACTCTGTTCCATTGGTCTGCAGGTCTGTTTCTAGCCCAGTACCATGCTGTCTTAATTACTACTGCTTTGTAGTGCAGTTTGAAGTTGGGGAGGGTGATAAGGAGTGGCAATTTTTAAAAAATTTTTAATCAGATTCTCAGTTGGAAATCTGTTCATGGATGTTTTGAACTGAGTGGACACACACACAGGCATGTTGAAGAATGGGAAGTAAATGGAACCTGACTGAAAGTCTGTTCAGAAAAATACATGTTGTGATATGGGTTTTATTTTGTTAGTTGCAGAACTGCTATATTCACTGCAGTGGTATGAAGAATTGGATGACCCGCCTATTTTTCTAACTGGATTTTGTGAAATGCTTCAAAAAATGAGTATTACATATGACAACTTATGTGAACTTGGCAGTACTTCTGGCGTTTTACAGCTGTTGTTTAACAGGTAAGGTTTAATTAACAGGTTTAATATTCATTATTGGGTATCTGCTTTTCTAATATATATATAAAAAAAAACCCCAAGAGGCTTATGACAAATAAAAAGGGGAGAAACCTATAGCTTTGCTTGTTGTTACAAATACATCTTTAACATACCCATATCTCCATCTCCCAGGGCTAGTACCGTTATGGAAACCGTTGTCACACAGGTTATAGCCATTAGATGATTTGCTTATTGAAGTTCTTGTGCTGAACAATTTTTTTTTCTATTTTTATTCTTTTTTTTTGTTTTGGGGCCACACTTAGTGGTGCTCAGAGCTTTCTCCTGACCCTGCACTCAGGAATTATTCCTGGCAGTGCTTGAGGGACCATGTAGGATGCCTAGGATTGAAGCTCAGGTAGTCCGCATGCAGGGCAAGCGCCCTATCCACTGTACTATCACTTCGGACCTTGAGCAGCTTTTGCTTTAAGAGTATTTCACTTCCCTTTCCTTTGACTAAGCTTTGCAGGGTTCTGACCCAGAACTGAACAGGTTTTACCCACTTCTATTCCACCGTCTAGACAATCGGAATTTGGTCCTATAGCTTCTGCCAGTCTCTCATCCTCGAGTCTAATCTTTGACTGTTGCATGATTCGTTTGTTTTTTGTTGTTGGGGATGTAACCCAGCACTTTCTGTGGCCTACCACTGGCTTATACATAATGACCTCTGTAGTCTGATCTTGAGGGTCATCTTCTTTGTGGGGATTTGGTGCTTGGATGGAGTGGAGAGCTCAGCATTGGGTGTGAAGGAGTGTTAGAAGCCTAAGCTCCCAGTTCTGTTTGGTCAGGGCAGTTGTTAAGGTGCAGAAATGCAATGTGAATTGCTGCTTCACAAAGTAGTTTTTTAAATTCTCCTATAGTTATCCAGGTAAACCAGTGTTGAAAAAAATCTTAATGCATTTTCAATATGCATTTCTCTCTTTTATTAGGTCCATGGAAAATGGCACCCTTTGGTCTCTCATAATTGCTAAGTTGATCCTTTCCCGAAGCATTTCATCTGAAGAAGTAAAACAGCATTACAGGAGGAAAGAAGGGTATTTTTTTTTTTTGACTTTTTAACTTCCTGCAGTTTCATCTTGGTAGCCCTCAGCTAATGAACAGTCTCTTATGATTTAGGAAAACACAGTATAGCAAATGTGAAAATTAATAAAAATGAAAATTAAAGATTTCAAATTATTTGTTATTTTAGGTTAAAGATTTTTTTCCTTCATACATAAGCATTTATTTTGCTTTTGGGGCCACACCTGGCAATGATCAGGGGTTACTGCTGGCTCTGCACTCAGGAATTATTCCTGGCAGTGCACGGTGAACCATATGGAATGCCAGGGATCCATGTTGACCGCATGCAAGGCACATGCCCTATCCTCTCTACCATCACTTTGGCTCAGGAATTATTCCTGGCAGTGCACCGTGAACCATATGGAATGCCAGGGATCCATGTTGACCGCATGCAAGGCACATGCCCTATCCTCTCTACCATCACTTCGGCCCCTATAAAAAGCATTTAATAGTTTATAATATTGCTGTGGAATTTTATACTTGTTTTGAACAAGTAGCATTTCATAAATATGTTCTCTTTTCCCTAGAAATCTTTTTTGTTTTTTTTTTTTGTTGGGGGGCCAGCAGTGCTTAGGGCTTACTCCTGGCTCTAGGCTCAGGGATCACTCCTGATGGGCTTGGAGAACCATGTGGGATGCTGGGGATTGAACCATGTCAGCTGTGTGCAAGCAAATTCTCTCCCTGCTGTACTAATCGCTCAGATCCCTCTAGAAATTCATTTGGTAGACATTTTTCTTTTCCTGCTGTCCTATGGCTTTATTTTTTTTTCAGCCTGCAAGTAAAAGAAACAGTGCAGAGATTCTTCTCAGTTTCTCCCAGTGCCACCATTTAGTATATGTTTTGGGATTATTAACAATTGAGAAAATGGCATCGCTACACTAGACAACAGGCTTGCACGTACTCATTTGTGTATTCTGTATGTGGTACATGTGTGATCTCTGCCACAGTGTAAGACATAGAAAAGTTCTATTATGAAGATCTCTTTTTGTTACCTTTTTTATAGCCTGGCAAGCTACCCATGATGTATTCAGTATGCCAAAACACAGTAACAACAAGTCTCAAAATGGAGACGTTACTGGGCCCGCTTGAGCAAATCGATGAACAATGGGAGGACAGCTTTATAACTACAGCTCCCTCCCAGCCTGATCCCTAGTTTTCAATAATATCTCCATGATGATATCATCTATAAATGTTACACAAATGGAATCATACAGAGCAGGTTCAATCAGAGGTCATTGTGATTTGGGGTTAAGACTACTGCCATAAATCAAATCACACAACTAATTTTGCCTCCCAGCGCTTATGAGAGTTATATTCACCCTGTTTTGGAGTCTGTCAATCAAGTGAGGCAGAGCATCATTTCTAAAAAACAAAACAGGGACTGGAGAGATAGAACAGTGGGCAGTGTGCTTGTTTTGCATACAACCAACCCAGGTTCAATCCCCAGCACACTATATTGTCCGCCAAGCACTACCAGGAGTGTTTCCTGAATGCGGAGCCAGTAGTAAGCCCTGAGCATTGTTAGATGTGGCCCACAAACAAACAAACAAACCCATAATTTAAAAAACTGTTAAAACTTGCTAACTACCATCTGAACTTTCTGAGACGCATAATATTTTTCCATGGCCTTTAGTTTGTATAATAGTAATTGTGAAATGATAAAATGAAGTTTCTTTTGATACAGCCTTTTTCATTTAGCATAAGCTAAACATATATAAATATGTGTGTACATATATATATATATATATTTAAGATTATGGGAGTAAATGAGGACTTAAAGAATTTCTAGAATAGAATCAGGGAGAGAGCTCAGGGATTTATGGTGCACCCTTTGCATTCATTGCTCTGAGTTCCAGCCCTGGCACTGCATGTTTCACTGCTGGTATGTGTCTAAAGCCAGTCAGATTGGCCCCTTCAACCTCTGTCCAGCAGGGGCTGGTGGAAGAAAACACAACAAATACATAAACAGACAGACATACAGGGGCTGTCTGTGCTTTAGGGTCACTTGGGAGGCTATGAGTGTTCTCCCAGGCTGCCTATTCACTAGCAAATCACTCCCCCTGCCCACGCAAGCTATTGTTTAAGTTGACAAAGACATTAAGAACAGTTGTAAGCACATCAGCTTTCAGTAGGTTCGTGAAGAGCAGAGAATGGGGTATTTCCCTGAGCCAGTCAGCTGGCAGCCTTAAAGTATAAAATCGTGACAGTTTCTAACTCTGTCTTTGCCCCCCGTTACTTTCTATATCTAAAAGACCCTAAACTGTTCTATTCTGTACTCTCCTCGGCTTATGTTGGAAAGTCTCTTATATTATTCTCTCCTGGACAGATATTATTATTTGCAACCCATTATATTCTTCAGACCTAAACTGTTTCATCCAGGTGGAATATTCCAGCCTTGGGGTTTTGGGGCTAGGGAGGCGATTTCCCACAGTCCTGCATCCCCTTGAGCACTACTGGCAGGACCCTGTGATCTCTGAAGGACATGAGCAACTTTGTGTCCTTGGGCCCTTCTATTGAATTGCCCAGCCCAGTTAGCCAGATATTCTTGGAGTGACTCCCAGGTGACTGTAGAAGTTCAAGTTAAAAAGAAAATTCTGTTTTATTTATTCATATTGGTTTTGGTGGTACTCAGTGCTTAGTGCTGGCTCTGTGGTCAGAGGTCGCTTCTGAAGGTACTCGTGATCATATGTGGTGCCAGGAATCAAACTGGATTGGACCAGTGCCAAACAACTACTTAAATATCTATAACATCTGTACCAGCTCTCTGCCCCCCCCAGCTTTTTTTTTTTTTAAGATAAGTTTTAGACCAAATCACTAATGAAATAGATATAGATATAATACTACTACATATGACATATGAATGTTGATGATTGGCTATTTTGGAAGGCAGTTTAAAATTATAAAAATAAGTTCAAATAAAATTCTCAAATTTTTAAAACCTACTAAGTGGTATTTCACGCATGCAAAACAATAGCATTTATCACAGCTTTATATGTAGCACGGTAGCACTGTCCCCCGTTCATTGATTTGCTTGAGCGGGCACCTGTAACAAATTGTGAGACTTGTTACTGGTTTTTAGCATATTGAATATGTCTCAGGTAGCTTGCCAGGCTTTGCCGTGTGGACGAGATACTCTCAGTAGCTTGCCCGGCTCTGAGAGGGGTGGAGGAATTGAACTCGGGTCAGCCACGTGCAAGGCAAACGCCCTTGAGAGAGACCAATGATGTTGCTCAGATGCTAGAGCACGTGGTCTGCTTGTGTGAGGCCCCTGGTTCTGTCCTTGGCATCACATGGCCCTTTGAGCAGGGCTGAGTCTTACGCCATAGTGATTAAAAACAATTTGGGGAAGGGGAGAATGCCTCAAAGTCCAGTAAGGAAATCTATTCCATCCTATTTAACTAGTAGGGAAATAATTATGTAAGATGGAATCGATTTGTTTTTAATTTAGTTATATAGTTTTAAAAGAGAGACTTACTTATTTTGGTTTTGGGGCCATACACAGTGGTGCTCAGGGTTTACAGCTGGCTCTACACTTAGGGATCACTCCTTGTGGGGCTTGGGGAGGGACCATATGGAGTTTCAGGGGCTGAACCTGGGTTAGCTGTATACAAGGCAAGCATCCTACTTGTTGTACTGTTGCTCTGGCCCAAGAATTGCTTATTTAAAATACAATTTTTTTTTTAACCTCTGTTGTGGTGGGATCAAACCTAGGTCTCATGCATGCAAAGTAAACACTTCATCACTTAGCACTTCCCTGGCCCCAGATTACTTGATCTGTTTTATAGGTTCTAGTATAGAAAAAGATCTGCAAACAATTTAAATGCAAATAGTGTTTTTAGTGTGACTTCATTGTGTAAATAAAGCCTAACTATATTCATGGCATATATAGATATCCGTTTGTAGAAAGATACAGACCTGGAATTGTTTAAATTGAAATAGTTAACTCTTAAAAGAGCAGTCATGTTATTTACATAATTTTAAGAAATATACATGGGGAAATTTTATGCATGCTTATAATAAAAAAGTGTAACAAAAAGGAAAAGTTAATATACATAATTTATTTATTTAAAATGAAAAGTGTCAATTTCTGCTATAGTTAAGTATCATTAGTATTTTAGTACAATTATGAGGATTATTGGTTCTTTGCTGCTTATTCATGTGAACAAAAATTTTGAAAATAACAGTTTAGGATAAACATAATTTTTACTTTTTCTTTTCATGAACAGTTTTTTCCCACTAACAGAAGGTAGTATGCATACCATCCAGAGTCTCTGTCCATTTTTGTCAAAAGAAGACAAGAAGGAATTCATTGCTCAATGTATACCTGCCCTTTTGGCCTGGACTAAGGAAGATCTTTGGAATACCAATGGTTAGTTGCTTAGTAGTAAGCATCTTAATAATTTAATGATTATATGGTGGGAAAGACTTGTTTCTTAATACCTAAACCCAAATCTCACAGCTAAGTGTTATTGTTACAGATTTACTCCTAGTCTGTAGGTTAATTACAAAACAGATTGACAGTAAAATGAGTTTTATTGGAGACTCTTATATTAAGGGAGTGTTTACAACCACAAATATCCTGTCATATTGTATCCATCTGTAGCTTTTGACTTGTCTTCTAGTTAACTAAAGAGTGACCATATAAAGGTGAAGATGAATAGCTCTTACTTTCTTTCAGTCTTTTTAAGACCCTTGAACTCTTATCATTTGTTTTCTTTCCTTTGTCAGGAGGGTTGGGGCATATTTGTTGCATTGTCCAGGGTCACATACTTACTTGCTTCATGCTGGGGAGTGATTGCCATACTCACAGACTTGGTCGTAGGTCACTAGAGATTGTGGTTCTCGGGGTCATGCTAGTAATGTGGCCTTGACTGGCCTCCCACCTGTGATGAAACCTCGAAGGTCATGCTTGTCAGGCAAGCGTTCTCCCACTGAGTTTTATCCCTGGCTCCTGAATATTAATTTCATAAGCACATACTGAGCTCTGGTTTTATAATTCTTGTAGAGAAGGCAAACAGAGAAGGCTTATGATACTGATGTAGCGAAAGAATTGATTCTTTGTGCAAATGGTAGAAAAGGAGTCTTCACTGCTTTAGGGTGACTATCAGTGACCATTTCTGAGAGAGATATTTATATTTCACTTGAAGGATAATTTTCCTTATGGATGTAAATGGGCCAGGGATACAAAAGCAGAAAACAAGACACATAGTTCTATTTGATAGCTTCTTGCAGTGAAGGTTGGAGACCAAGGGTATTGGGATGCTTAAGAGCGTGTACATTGGACTGCAGCAGTAACACAGCAGGTAGGGTGCTTGCCTGGCACGCGGCCAACCTGGGTTCAATCCCTGGCATCCTATATGGCCCCTGGAGCTGACCAGGAGTGATTCCTAAGTACAGAGCCAGGAGTAAGCCCTGAGCACCACTGGGTGTGACCCCAAAACAATAAAAAAAAGAACATGAACATTGACAAGTGTTAGGAAATGGGTCATAAGACCTAGATTTTTGCGGAGCAAAAGACTTGGATTATAAGCTGTGGTTAGTAAGGAAGCTACTGGCTCCAATTAGGAGACAAGAAAGCCCATTGCTTTTATTTAGATTAATTTGGACAGTTGTATAGAGGGTAAATGTGAGAGAGAGATTGATGGTAGACCGGGTAGGAAGCTATTTGGACAGTCTTTAAAGTTAAAATCAAGGCATTCAAAGAAGAGAAGGGTGGGGCACGAAAAAGATGAAGTAGAACTTGTGAGATTTTTCCATCATGTATCTGTATTGGAGATAGACGGAAATACCATTGGTTCTTTCAGAAAGCCGAATGGAGGGTTAGAAACAGGCTGGGGTCGTATCCTGGTTAGATTCCAAGGAGCGGTAGCTTCCGGACTGGATAGAAATACAGCTTCAGGAAATGTTTGTTAACCTCAGCTTGGTGCTAATTTAAACCCATCTGTCAGGATAAATTTGTGTCAGGAGAGTGAGGAGTGGAGAAGGAAGACCGGGGAGGAGTCCGTGCCTTTCGGGCCTGAGGCCCCAAGTGCATGGTGCTCTTCTGCCCCAAGGCCCCTGGCACTGTTGTGTGATGCGCTGGTGGCTACTGCACATATTTGGCTCAGCCATTGAATGGCCAGGTCAGGCTGAGTATCATAGGGAGTGGCCCCTGGCCCCAGACACTGTTATGGTGTCTCCCACCCACTCTAAGGAGGATTCCAAGGGAGCAGACATCTCAGGAGTATGTTGGTAGAGGGAGATGGAAATAAGAACTAGAGGAGTTCTGCCATCAGCCCCAGGGGGCAAACATTTCTGGATATGGCCAGCCCCAGAACCCTGGTTAGGAGGCCCCTCTGTCAAGAAAAGAGGAGTTTTAGGAAATAAATAAAATGACCCCCCCCCCATCCCCGCATGCACACAAACACACACACATAGGTTCTAGTTTTAGCAAATGCTAAATTGGGTAAATGTATGAATTAGGGAATGGAATTTTTTTTTTAATTTTTATTAGTGAAACACCATGAGGTACAGTTATAGACATACAAAGTTTTGTGCTTGGGTTTCAGTTATACAATGGTTGAGTACCCATCCCTCCACCAGTGCCCATTCCCCACCTCCAATGGTCCCAGCATCCCTCCCACCCGGGAATGGAATATTTTCTTTTCCCAACCATATTTAAGTTTATTCTGGCGATGTTATTTTTGTTTTATTTTTTTTTTTTAGAAAAGTGGGAACACTGAATATAAGGCCCATCTATGTTCATTTAGCTAAGATAAAAATACAGTATGGAATTGTTGAGGGCAGTGTTGTTCACCCACTTCCTGCCATCTGTGTTCCATTGCTTTCTTTGCTGGGAGCATATATGGGTTTCTGTCCCCTGAAGTTTACAGTCTCTTGTTGATGTTCATAGAAGTTTTTTTTCTGAGTGTGTCTCAAAGTGTTTGATCTTTCTTGACATAGAATGTCTTTTTTTTTTTTTAAATAAAAGAAATGTAATTTTATTTTGAATTTTTAGGAGGTTTTGGACATCTTGCCATTTTGAATTCCTGTTTGAAAACCAGAAGCATAGATGATGGAGAATTATTGCATGGTATCTTAAAAATCCTAATGACCTGGAAGAAAGATCATGAGGATATTTTTCTTTTCAGTTGGTAGGTGATACCTTCTCCTCTTTTCTCCTCCATTGACACCTTATGGAGTCAGGTTTGGGATATTATAGTCACAATTGTGTAGATTAAGACAACTAAGCCAGATCATTATAGGACTTGGAATATTTTCTAACTGGATGGCTGTAAAATTTTCTGATACTTTTTTCCCTTTGCTTTTGTCTTGACTATAGTAATCTCTCAGAAGTAAGTCCAGAGATACTGGGTGTAAATATAGAAATAATGCGGTTCCTTTCCCTGTTTCTGAAGTACTGCTCCTCTCCCTTAGCAGAGAGTGAATGGGACTTTATCATGTGCTCCATGCTGGCTTGGTTGGAGGTAAGTTCCCCTTGTTGTTACATGTCTATTGATTCTTCCAACCTACCTGTATGTCAGAACACTTTACTCATTTTATACGTAATCTTTCACATTCTTTATTTTTGTCCCTTCCAGGCTTTCAGCCAGGGCTACAGGGAAGTTCTCTACCACTGAGCTACAACTCTGGCCCCCAAGTCTTATTCTTTCATGATTGTAGTTAACTAGGCAAGCATTTGAACACATTATAGGTATATTCCTTCCCCGAATAGTACAATGGTCAAAGTTCTGCCGGAATCACTCAGTGCCGAAATGTCTAGCTATTGAGAGAATGTCGCAGCACATCCTTTTCAGGCTTTCTCTTTGCATAAGACAAGTCTTTCTGTCTTCTTGGTTTCAGTCAAATTGTTTTAAAACTGCCGTGTTTGTGTTGCCAGCAGACTGCATTTCAATATTGATAGAGATGCTAGAGTGATAGTACAGTGGGTGGGGCATTTGCCATGCACGCAGCTGACCTGGGTTCAATCCCTGGCATCTGATGTGGTCCTCTGAGTACCACCAAGATTAATTCCTGAGTACAGAGCCAGGAGTAACCCCTGAGCATCACCTGGTACGGCCCAAAAACAAAAACAAAAAACAAAACAAAACAAAAAATATTAATAGAATTCAGAGGGAATTATTATTCTTTTTTTGACCCAAAGAAGCCGAGTGGCTAATGGTTCTGAAGCAATAGAGTTGAATTAGTCAATCTCTGCTCTGCCTGCTATTAGCTGCCTGGCACAGGATTTTTTTTTCTTTTTTTCTTTTTTTTATTATTAGTGAAACACCATGAGGTACAGTTGTAGATTTACAATTTTTTGTGCTTGGGTTTCAATTATACAACGATCAAATACCCATCCCTCCACCAGTGCCCATTTTCCACCACCATGGATAATATCCCTCCCACCCCCATCCCCCCCATCCCCCCTGCCTCTGTGGCAGGGCAATCCCTTGTGTTCTCTCTCTCCTTTTGGGTGTTGTGGTCTGCAAAGGAGGCATTGGGCACAGGATTTTTAACTTGACCTAGTTGAGCTTCAGCTTCTTATTTAAAGAAAAAACAAAAAACTTACGTTTTTTGCATGTGTGAGGGCCCTTGGTTCAATTTCCTGTCCTCCTAGACCCCACCTATGTCTTCATCAATAAAAATCAGTGCGTTTATTATTTCCCAAGATGATTATCAATGTGTGTTGATGCATTTCACTCTGTAAATTGATAATTTTGACTGATGGTAATCACTTGATTCATATCTTTTTTCATAGTTTTAGAAAAACTGACTAAAAGATGTCAGATTAAATGGATTGATTCTGATTTCTAAGATTTCATTTTTGAGGAAAGGTTATTTTGATGCAAAATTTATATCAGCTAAGGCTAGCCATTTCAAAGGTCTTCGATTTTCCAAGCTAGACAGGGGCCGAGGAAGTGGCCAGAGCTCCCAGGCCTGATCCGTGAGGCTCTGAGGCCTCCCAGCACCTAGCATTGCCAGGTGTGGCCTGGCATGCCCCAGACCTGGAGCTGTCAGAGTGGCTATAAAAATAAATTAGGGGCCTGGAGTGATTGGTAGTCCAGAAGGCTCAGTGTCTGTAGCATGAATGATTGATCAATCGGTCGGAGGCACAGAGGCAAGTCAAGCGAGAGGAATGTATAAGCACAAAGGACCATGGCTCGCTCTTGGCTCTGTGGCGAAGAAGAGCTTCTTATAGTCTCCTTTTATTTACTTTCCTTCCGTATACATCTCTAGTGAATTCAGTACAGTGAGGGGAATCATTAACAGAAAAAAGGAGTTGTAGGATAAGCATATATCATCAAGACATCAAAGTATACATTGTCCTACCAGGTCCAGGAACCAGATGGCTACAATCTCCAGGGAGGAAAGCATGGTCGAGCAGATAGGCTCCATACATCTTGACCTCCTCACACCTGGGATGTGATAAGTGGGAGGAAAAAATGTTTACATTTAAAAGTTAAGTTAGGGGCCAGAGCAATAGTACAGTGGGTAGGTGGTTTGCCTTGCACACAGCCAAACCGGGTTCAATCCCTGGCATTCCATATGGTCACCCAAGCACCACTAGGAGTAATTCCTGAGTGCAGAGCCAGGAGTAATCCCTGAGCATCGCTAGGTGTGACACAAAAAAATAAGTTAGGTCTGAAATATGTGGGAAGGGCAGGACCCCTTCTTTGTACTGCCAGAACTTAATGTATGATCAAGCTGGCGCCAGGGGGTTGGTTGACCTTTTCCAGATTAGTCAGACTCACAGGCTTCAGCTCGCCCACTTAGTTCAAAGTAGGGTCCTGGTTCTGCTTCCTGCGTGCAGGGCAACATCCAGGGACTCATCCTAATGATCTGGCTAGGCACCAACAGAAGTCTGCCTTGCATTGTGCCAAACTGCTTTGAATCCCCAGTACCACATATGGCCTCTGAGCACAGCCAGAGGTATCAGTCACTCCTAAGCTCATAGCTGGGAATAACCCCTGATCATTGCTGGGTATGGACCCCCCCCCCAAAAAAGAAAAAAGGTATGGAATATAAAATTTACAATGGAAGGGTTGTCTGTATTGCCTTGATTTGTGATGTTCTATGGAATTCCTCTTCCCTATTGCATTTTCTGCTTCTCCAGACGACAAATGAGAATCAGGCTCTGTATGGTGTCCCGCTCATCCAACTATTTGCCTGTGTCAGCTGTGACTTGGCCTGTGAGCTCAGTGCTTTCTTTGAGTCCACCACCCTGGAGACACTTGGCAATCTTCCTGCAAATCTAATCAGTGAATGGAAAGAATTTTTCTCCCTAGGCATCCACAGTTTGCTTTTGCCTCTTTTGGTGACGGTTACAGGCAAGTGAAAAGGAAGGGGTGGGGGGGCACATGAAAAGTGGGGGGCGGAAAACTTCAATGGAAAAGGCAAAGTAGAAACTGTTAAACTGTAAAAGAACCAGGGAGAAGTTTCACATTGAAAAAGGGGACGGGGCAAAAGTAGAGAGAGATGAGGGAAACTGTCTGCCATAGAGGCAGGGGGGCATAGAGGGGACACTGGGGACATTGGTGGTGGAAACTGCACTGGCAGAGGAATGTGTTCAATCATTGTATGACTGAAACCCAAACATGAAAGATTTGTAATGGCATCTCAAGGTGATTCAGTTTAAAAAGGGGTTGCGGGGGGGAGGGGGGTGGCTAGGAAAGAAAGCTTTCATGAAGAGGGTAAAACAGAAACTGTTAAACAGTAAAAGAACCTGGGAGAAGTTTGAAATGAATAGTCTCTTATGTGCTTCTGTTTTACAGATCTGAGTGAAATAATGGTGTTTCTGAACGCCATTGCAAATGATAATAATAGCAATTTAGATCCAAGTTATTATTCAAACTTGTCTTTGAGTATATTTAGGGTTAAGACAACAGAAGTTTTTTAACAGCTGAGGTGCTCTGAAGTTTATATTTATTAAATGATTCTAGTTAGGACTTCTCTAAAACTTCTCAGGTATTTTTCTTCTTTAAAATCACAGTGGACTGTATCAGCTTCATTTTTTCTGTTTTCCTCACTTTGTTTTGTGCTGCATGTGTTGCTTGCATTTTTATATCTTCAGGAGAAAACAAAGACGCATCTGAAAGGTCCTTTCAGAATGCAGTGTTGAAGCCCATGTGTGAAACATTAACATACATCCCGAAGGATCAGCTGTTGAATCACAAACTCCCTGCAAGATTGGTTGCTGGCCAAAAAACAAACTTGCCGGAAAATCTCCAGACTCTACTAAATACTTTGGCCCCATTGCTCCTCTCCAGAGCTCGACCTGTGCAAATCGCTGTGTACCATATGCTCTACAAGTAAGTGTTCTATGATATTCTTTAAGAAAATGTATAATAGGATAATAATAGCAGCAAACAGAAATTTACAACAGAATGCATCTTCAGTGTTAATGCATAGTCCTTCAGACACATTCCCCCAAAGTCAGCTTGTCAGTCTTGCAGTAACAGAATTTCTAGTTTTTATTTTTCTTCCCTCAGCGGGGACTGTAGACTGGGGCAGTTGATCTCCTTGGTGACTGCATGGTTCCAGGGACTAAGCTAGGGGCCTGAGGCTTGCCCTGGGTGTTCCTAACCCACCGCACCATCTTCTGGACCAATCCCTGTGAGAGTTCTCAGGATCACCTCTGTGCATGGGAGTCGAACTGGGGTTCAAATTCATGACCATGTGCTTGTCAGCCTCCTCCCACCTCCACACACACTTTTTAAAAAGTCTTATATAGTGGGGCTGGAGCAATAGCACAGCAGGTAGGGCATTTGCCTTGCACGCGGCCGACCCGGATTCGATTCCCAGCATCCCATATGGTCCCCTGAACACCACCAGGAGTAATTCCTGAGTGCATGAGCCAGAAGTAACCCCAGTGCATTGCCGGGAGTGACCCAAAAAGAAAAAAAAAGTCGTATATAGTAAAAGTCATATGTTGCAATTACATTTACATAGTCCCAGCCATTGGCAGTTTGGGTGGGGGTGGGACCCACTTAAAACTGGATTCAGCATATTGACACCAATGCTGTCATTTGTGTTAATTAAAGCACATCTGGGTGAGAGCCATTGGCATTGTGTGCTGGCATCAGCAGTTCACAGACCTCTGTTCTTTTAGGCAGGATCACTTCATTTAAAATCAAGTGATGGGGACCGGAGCAGTAGTATAGCGGATAGTGCGTTTGCCTTTCCCACAACTGACCTGGGTTGGATGCCCAGCATCCGATATGGTCCCCAGAACATGATGGGGACCGGAGCAGTAGTATAGCAGATAGTGCGTTTGCCTTTCCTGCGACTGACCTGGGTTGGATGCCCGGCATCCAATATGGTCCCCGGAACACCATCAGGAGTAATTCCTGAGTGCAGAGCCAGGAGTAGCTCTGATTGCCAGGGGTGAACCCAAAAAAAAGGGAAAAAAAAATCCGAGTAAAATCAAGTGATGGTCTACTTTGCAGATTAATGCCTGAATTGCCACAATATGATCAGGATAATTTAAAGTCATATGGAGATGAAGAAGAAGAACCAGCTCTGTAAGTTGTTTTAAATTTTTATTTCAATTCTTAGAATTCATCTCACTTTCAATGCCTCTTTCTCTGGAAGACTGAGAACAAGGTACTTTAATTTAGGTATTGTTTCAGCAGAGCTTTCATTTATTTTTATTGAATGACCATGAGATGGGCTGGAGCGATAGCACAGCGGGCAGGGCATTTGCCTTGCATGCAGGCAACATGGCCGACCCCAGCTCAATTCCTCTGCCCCTCTCAGAGAGCCCGGCAAGCTACTGAGAGTATTTCGCCCGCACGGCAAAGCCTGGCAAGCTACCCGTGATGTATTCGATATGCCAAACAGTAACAAGTGTCACAGTGGAGACGTTACTGGGCCCGCTTGAGCAAATCGATGAACAACGGGAGGACAGTGACAGTGACAGTGACACCATGAGATACAGAGTTAGAAAGTTATGATTGGATTTCAGTCATGTAATGTCCCTTTATCAGTGTACATACATTTCCCACCACCAACGTCCCCAGTTCCCAGTTTCACTCATTCCACTGCCTCCCTTTTCCCCTCCCCTCCCAAAGTCTGCCTATGTGACAAGCACTTTTCTTCTCTCTTTCTCTCCCCCCACCTTTCGGCATTATGGTTTGCAATACAGGTATTAAACAGAGCTCTTAAAGTTATTTATGAGATTAAGTTATCTATAAAGTTATATGGTTCCCCCTAAACTATAGAAGTCACCCCAAAACATTGTTTTTTTTTTCTGTCGTTAATTATCCTTTAATCAACTTAGGGGTAAATTTGATGCTGTTTGGTCAAACTTTGTTAGTTCCAGATGGTGTTGTGGAAAGAGTACATTAATTCAAAATTTATTGAATCCTTCACGTAAAACATTAAATGCTGAGGAAAAGAAGTATATTTAATAAAGCATTTAGTAGCTTTACATTGTGAACAGTAGTAGGTAGGGTGTTTGCCTTGCGGCTGACCTGGTTTCGATTCCTCCATCCCTCTTGGAGAACCTTGCAAGCTACTGAGAGTATCCCGCCCACATGGCAAAGCTTGGCAAGCTACCCGTGGCGTATTCAATATGCCAAAAACAGTAACAACAAGTCTCACAATGGAGATGTTACTGGTGCCCGCTCGAGCAAATCAATGAACAATGGGACTAGAGTGCTACAGTTCACAATAATTCATCATATTTTCTATTCGAACACTATTCCCACCACCGCTGCACCTTCCCATCACCATATTTTGTATGTTGCCACCCCCAGTCCCAAACTGTACCCCCAAAGCAGAACCAAAATAATTAATTTTGTATTGCTTGTTATTAATAAGCCGCTAAAAATGTTGCAAAAAGTTCTCCTTAGAGGAAAGTCTGTGAAGATTGTTGTATTTCACCCAGGAGCTCTTAAGCCCTTCTATAAGAGATTATTAACGTTAAAGGTTGAGCTTTGTGTGCTCGTATATATATATATATATTCTCCCCCTGAGTTGGTTGCCCCATCAAATATGGTGTGCTACTCTTGGTACATCAGTGGCGTAGAGTACGAGATGTTGTGCGGCCGCATGAAGGGCTACTTACTCCTAACTATATAGATTCACAGCACTGAAAATGGTTTCTCACCTAAAGAAAACTCAAGTTTGTTGGACAGAAGACTAAATGGAGAAGTGTGCGTAATGGGAATGGTGGTATAAGACAGGCCCGGCAATGCAAAGGAGGGTTGGGCTACTTAAGACCCAAAGGGCCTTTCAAATAACAAGTTTTATGACCAGGGTACTATTTGCTAGAAGATGGGTTTCAGCACTGCTTCTGCAAAAGAGTAGGAGGTGCAAAAGAGTAGGAGGTGCAAATGCATTGTGAAAAGAAGCAAGCAAGGGTGTGATCACCGCACAAGTTTTGTAACGGTGTACGGAGGGCAAGGTGCAGAGAATGAGAGTTCGTAGGTTTGTGACAGTTGATACGAATTGAGGAAGGAAGGTGGGGACAGAGCGGTGCCTCAGAGGACTGTGTGATGCCAGGAACCAAACCTGGGTCAGCTGCATGCGTGGCAGGTGCCCTACCTGCAATACTATCTCTCCAGCTCAGTAATTTGCATTATTTACTTAATAGCATTTTACTGCATGTCACAGATTTTTTGAGGGATTTTTGTTTGTTCTTGCAAAAGCATAGCATACAATAGTTCTGTGAAGCTTTTCTTTTTTAACAACTTGTACCATTATTGAATAATGGGGTGCAATGATTATACAGTGAAAAATTGGTATGTGTGTTTTCATGTTCTACAGTTCCCACTAAGTGAAATTAAAAGTAAAAATTAATTCTGAAGGTAGACCTTTAAGACTCTAGAGCTCTGGAAAGTAGAGAAAGACTTCTCTAAAAGACTTGAAGTCAACTCCTGCTCTCTTTGCTAAGGACTAATTTATGAAGAAAAACTGTCATTTTCCATTGAAGCTAATGGTATCTTCAAAGATGCCACGCCACTGGCCGAGCAAGTGAAAACAGAGATAGATAAATGGGACTATCTTAAACTAAGAAGCTTCTGCACCTCCAAAGAAACAGTGACCAAAATACAAAGACAGTCTACAGAATGGGAAAGGATATTCACCGAATACACATCTGACAAGGGGTTGATATCCAGGATATACAAAATACTGGTTAAACTCCACAAGAAGAAAACATCCAACCCCATCCAAAAATGGGGCAATGAAATGAACAGAAACTTTCTCAAAGAAGAAATCCGAATGGCAAAAAAGCACATGAGAAAATGCTCTACATCATTAATCATCAGGGAGATGCAGATCAAAACCACAATGAGATACCATCTCACACCTCAGAGACTGGCCCACATTCAAAAGAACAAAAGCAACCGATGCTGGCGTGGATGTGGGGAGAAAGGGACACTCCTTCACTGTTGGTGGGAATGTCCACTGGTTCAGCCCTTCTGGAAAACAGTATGGACGATTCTCAAAAAATTAGAAATTGAGCTCCCATTTGACCCAGCAATACCACTCCTGGGAATATATCCCAGAGAGGCAAAAATGTATAGTCGAAGTGACATCTGCACTTGTTTGTTCATTGCAGCCCTCTTTACAATAGCTAGAAACTGGAAGAAACCTGAATGCCCAAGAACAGATGACTGGTTAAAGAAACTTTGGTACATCTACACAATGGAGTACTATGTAGCTCTTAGAAAAGATGAAGTCATGAAATTTACATACAAGTGGTACAATATGGAAAGTATCATGCTAAGCGAAATGAGTCAGAAAGAGAGGGATAGACATAGAAAGATTGCATTCATCTGGGGGATATAAAGTAACAAAGTATGAGATTAATACCCAAGAATAGCTGAGATCAGCACCAGGAGGATTACTCCATAACTTAGAGGCCAGCCGGGTATCCTAGAGGAAAGGGCAGTTCAGATAGAGAAGGGAGCACCAAATAAAGGATGTTTGGAGGATCCTCCCAGGAGGGGAGATGCATGTCGAAAGTAGACTATGGACTGAACATGTTTGCCACTCAATGCCTCTTTTGCAGACCACAACACCCAAAAGGAGAGAGAGAACACAGGGGATTGCCCTGCCACAGAGACGGGGGGATGGGGGGATGGGGGTGGGAGGGATATTATCCATGGTGGTGGAAAATGGGCACTGGTGGAGGGATGGGTATCTGATCATTGTATAATTGAAACCAAAGCACAAAAAACTGTAAATCTACAACTTTAAAAAAAATAAAATAAAATAAAGGGGAAAAAAAAAAAAAACTGTCATTTTCACTTTTGTCCCGAGGTCTCCACCCACAGTGCTGATGTCTCTTCTAAGCTCTCAGGAGGACTTACTAGAAAATATTTTGGAATGTGTTCCTGTTGGGCAGATAGTCACTATTAAGCCGCTGAGCGAAGAATTCTGTTATGTTCTGGGATACCTCCTCACTTGGAAATTAATACTTACTTTTTTCAAAGCTGCTTCATCACAGGTAAACAAGTAACATGTCTTGGATGTCCTGTGCTATCTGTGCTTACGAAATTGTCCTAAACCTCTTCCTTCTTTTGTTCAAAATGGAGAGGGGCCTGAGAGACCTACCGGATAGAAAGCTCTTGTGTCATACTACCAACGTGGTTTGAACCTCTGGCATAGCATATGGTCCCCAAGCACCACCAAGCCTCACTTCTGAACAGAAAGCCAGGAATAGCCTCTGAGCACTGCTGGATGTGGTCCCAAACTCTTCCCCTGCTCCCCACAGTTGTCTTTGAAAAGGGGGAAAGCACCTTACATTGTAATCTATTTAGCCTCAGGAACTGCTGAATTTCAGCTCCTGCTTTCTCACCTCCCACAGTATTCTACACACACACACACACACACACACACACACACACACACACACCCCTCTCTCTCAAAAATACACACACTTTTTTCCTTTCACACATTCTCTCTCTCTCTCTCTCTCTTTCCCTCTCTCTCTCTCTCTCTTTCTCTCTCTCTCTCTCACACACACACATATTTTTTTTCTCACACACACACACCCCAATACACAATTTTTGCGAAGATAGTCTCAGGAATGTGCTTGCTTTCATCCTCCTCCCACATCTCGTCCCCCACCTCCCCCCACCAAAGGCAGCCATCTAGTCCTTAATGAAGGAAACAAAATTTATTTAACAATATTGTACTACCCAGGTAGTAATTTTAAAAGAATTGCATTTTACTAATTTTTCCTTGATAGCTTCTGACTCTTCATTGTAAATTCACCTTAAGATCACACTGTTTAGGGCCTGAGAGATAAAAATGGTGAGTACGGTGTTTGCCTTGCACATGACCAACCAGATTTCTCTCCCCAGCACCTCATATGGTCCCTAGAGCAACACCATGAGTAATTCCTGAGTGTAGAGCCAGGAGTAACCCCTGAGCATTGCTGGGTGTGCCACTGCCCTACACCCTCCTCCCCTCAAAAATTCACTGTTTAGACAGATATTAATAAAGCATCATCCAATGTAATGCAAACTCATCTCTTAAGTGATTAAAAAAAATCTTTTATTATTTGGGCTGGAGCAATAGCAAAGTGGGTAGGGTGTTTGCTTTACATGCAGCCGACCTGGGTTCAATTCCTCTGTTCCTCTCGGAAAGCCCGGCAAGCTACCAAGAATATCCCGCCCACACAGCAGAGCCTGGCAAGCTTCCCGTGGCATATTCAATATGCCAAAAACAGTAACAAGTCTCACAATGGAGACATTACTAGTGCCCGCTTGAGCAAATGGATGAACAAGGAGGACAGTGCTACAGTGCTACTATTTTGCCCAAATTATTCTACCAGCCACTAGATGTCTCTGTTATCTTATGTTTAGGGAGAAATACCTTCGTGTCTGGAAAGGAGAGTGAGAAATCTACTCTTGCTTTGTTTTCCTTCTCATTTTTGGTAGTTGCCCATTTTAAAATGTTAGTCAGGGGCCAGAGGGATTAGTATAGTGTATAAAGCACTTGTCTTACACATGTCCAACTTGGGTTCGATCCCCAGCACCTTATATGGTTCCTCCCAAGCCCTGCCGTGAGCACATAGTCAGGAGTATTCCCTGAGTACCACCACTGGGTGTAGACCTAAAACAACAAAAAATGTTAAACTGATGGAATGTAGGTTTTTTGACAGCACAGTATGGAGATTAAATACTATGGCATTAGTTTCTAGGATGAGTAAATTAAAATTCACTTTTGCCTTTTGTTTGTTTGTTTGGGGGTTTTTAGTTTGTTTTGGAGGGCGGATTGACCCCAGCAATGTTTGTCCAGGGAAACATTTGGTGCCAGGGATTAAAGCTGTGCCCTGCCCCCTGTTTGCAAAATTTGTGCTGAGCACCTGAGCTATCTCTGGCCCCATGATCATCCTAGATAGAAATATATTAACACAGCATCTTGCATTTGCATGTCTTAGGAAAATCAAATCACAGAAATGACATTGATGTCAATTTTTAAATTCTTTGTTTTTTAGCCACACCCAGCTGTGCTCAGAGCTTCCTTCTGGCTCTATGCTCAGGGATCACACCTGGTGGACTCAGAAGACCATTTGGGGTAGTAGGGATAGCACTTTATTGCAAGGCTCCATCCTTAAGCTTGTGTTTTTAAAAGCCAATTGATAAGTGTGATTGCTTTAAAAATTCTCCTTTCCAACTTTGTGTGTTTTGTTTGTCTGTTTGTCTGTTTCTGGGCCATGCACAGCAGTGCTCAGGGAGGGCTTACTCAGAAATCTCTCCCTGGTGGGTTCAGGGGATCATACGGGGTACTGGGGGGATTGAACCCATGTCGGCCATGTGCAAGGCAATCACCCAACCCACTATACTATCTCTCTGTTCCTCAAATTTTTTCTTTTAAAGTTTAGACTTACAGAGAAGTTGGATGAATAATTCAGTAAAAGTCATAAATTCTTTTCCATAGTGTGGTTCCACGTGTGGTCTTCTGAGAATAGACCAGGAGTAATCCCTGAGTACTCCTGGGTGTGACCCAAAAGCCAAAAAAAGGAAAAGAAAATTGTATTAGTATTAAATAGGATTTTGGGAAACTATGGTTTGGAAAGGAAGTGTGAAAGACTTAGAGGAGAGAGTGAATGACTCATTTGTGAAAAATGATGAATAAGTTTACTTGGCTGATAGGCATTCTTACTAATAAAAGGAATTTGAGAAAACTGAAGCATATGTGTAAGTGAGAAAATAATAAAAACCGTTAATAGGAAAGATAGCGGTTCCATCAAACAGTGCATTTGCGAAGTAAGAATGATATATATATATATTTTGTCAGACATTTCCATGTAATTTTCAGTGTTCAAATTAATACATTTTTTATTGTGTTCTTATATGATTATGTTGTCCTGCCGATGGTCTTGGTTTAATTCAGCTTTCCAACAAAAATTCTTTGCTTTCCACCAGCTTCGGGCCCTGTATTCAATGTATCTTCGGAAAACAAAGAGTTTGAATAAATTGCTTTATCACCTCTTCAGACTTATGCCAGAAAACCCAACCTATACAGAGACAGCTGTTGAGGCCTCCAACAAAGAGCCGAGGACATTCTTTACTGAAGAGCTCCACTTGAGTATCCGAGGTTAGTAAGTATGTTTGTGTTCTCTCTTGCTTCAGAGTAGGTTTATCATTATTATTTATCCAGGGGGTATGGAGGATAACTCCTTATGTGGGTCTTGGTCGGGGGAATGTTGAAGGGTAAAACCTTTACATAGTTCTCCAAATAAGACATTTGATTAGATCTCAGGTTGAGTTGAGACTATTGTATGTTCTTGTGTAAACTGTCATTTGCTACAGACAATGTTTTGTATTCTACCATGGAAGAAACGAACCAGCTGTGAGGAGTGTCCAGGGGACTCAAATCCTTTTTGTGTTTTATAGAAACAATATTTATTTGTTTATTTATTTATTTATTTATTTTTGGTTTAGGGGCCATAATCAGCAGTGCCCAAGGGTTATGCCTGGCTCTGTGCTCAGGAATTACTCCTGGCTCTGCTCTGTTGACCATATGGGATGCCAGGGATCAAACCCACGTCAGCCACGTGCAAGGCAAACACCCCTGTACTGTCTCCCTGGCGCCTATTTTTATTTTTCAAAATGTGTTTTATTTGCGTTGCTTTAGGTGAAATATTATTTTCTAGTCATACTTTTCAGTGTTAATAGAGCTCATCATTTACTTTGCTTTTTTTTTTCTTTTTTTTGCCTCTCATTTCTGCCTATTGTTGTAGGGAGCACACCCAGCAGTGCTAGTGCAGGGGGCAGTCATGCTGGGGATTAAACTCAGGGTCTCACACATGAAGGCATACGCTGTACCCTTGAGCCACAGAATGGCTCTTCTTTTTGCCTTTTTAGTAGTTCGTTTTGAATATCGAGGAGAATGCTGACATGCTGGATTACTCGTGCCTTGGGTATAATTTGTTTTATGAGTGTTATCACGTACTGCCGTATAAGTACCACGCGCTAACCGATTGCGCCACTGGAGCTCCACTCAGCCTAGCAAGCTACCGAGAGTATTCAATATGCCAAACACAGTAACAAGAAGTCTCTCAATGGAGACGTTACTGGGCCTGCTCGAGCAAATCGATGAACAACGGGAGGACAGAGTGCTATCACTGATGCTGAGTAATTGAAAATGACTTTCTAAGGAGCACACCAAGATTAGTCTGTTACTAACAAAGGTTTTGCTTTTCCCTCAGAGACAGCAACACTCCCGTACCACATCCCACACTTGGCGTGCTCTGTCTATCACATGACATTAAAAGACCTGCCCGCCATGGTGCGGCTGTGGTGGAACAGCAGTGAGAAGCGCGTTTTCAATATCGTTGATAGATTCACGAGCAAGTATGTCAGCAATGTTCTTTCTTTCCAAGAAATCTCCTCTGTGCAAACAAGCACACAACTCTTCAATGGCATGACAGTAAGTATGGTCCTGAATTTTTCTCCCGAAGGAAGTTGCTCGAATATTGGTCACACCTGTCATTGGTAGAGGTGTCCTCACTGTTGTAGCTCGGAAGTTGTTTATGAAATTAATTAACTATTGAACTTACCTGGCAGTGTTTAGGGGCTGCTTTGAACCCTGTGCTTAAGAATTGCCTGAGGTATCCAGGGAATTGAATCATGGTCACTTATATGCAAGGCAAGCACCTTAACCCATTACTCTCTCTGGCTCAGAATAGTCTTCTTTCTGGTTCTTAGTATCAAATCTTAGCATATATTTGTAGATCAAAACTATTATAATTTTCTTAGCCCCCATCATGTCATTTTTTAAAGCATTCATCAGCTACTCCAACTGTGCATTATAATGTGTATAGATGCCAGGCTCTCTGTGCCAGTCACCTGGGAACTTAGTCTTTTTTTTTTTTTTTCGCTCTTTGGGTTACGCCCGGCGATGCACTGGGGTTACTCCTGGCCCTGCACTCAGGAGTTACTCCTGGCGGTGCTCAGGGGACCATATGGGATGCTGGGAATCGAACCTGGGTCGACCACATGCAAAGCAAATGCCCTATCCGCTGTGCTATCTCTCCAGCCCAGGAACTTAGTCATTTAACAGGGCAGATTTCTGTCCTGTATTAACAGATAGTCTTCACAAAGCATAATGAAATTGCTTTTTGGTTTGAAATGGAGTATGGCACAGAGGGAAAAGAGCTCAGCCGTGGAAAAGGTCACCTGGGTGAGTAAGTAGGTGGGATGTTACAGAGGATTACTTTGAGCTGGGCAGGGTTTTATTATGGGTTGAATGAGGGAAAGCTTTTAATGTAAAGAATGATAAATGCAAAAGTCTTGGAGATGGAATGGAATTCCTGTGATTTGTCCAAGAAACAATGACTAACTCATTCACTTACAGTAACATTTGTGAAGGTGAATAGTCAGAGAACAGATTGATTTGGTGATGAGTTGGGACGTTAATTGGGGAAATACCTTAAAAAGAAGAAAAATGCTAGTCACTTAAGGTTGGAGTGATAGTACACCAGGTAGGTATCTTGCCTTGCATGCGGCCAGCCCAGGTTCGATCCCTGGCAACTCAGATGGTCCCTGAGCCTGCCAGGAGTGAGCACAGAGTCAGGAATAAGCCCTGAGCATTTCTGCGTGTGGCCTCCAAACAAACAAACAAAAAAAAAAAATGAATAAAATATTGGTCACTGAAATTTTCCTGTGAGACAGTGATAAAACTATATCAGACTTGCTGTGTTTGCAGTAGAAAGCATGAGCCTGGCTCACATGGTTATTCTGTGAAGACTGTTATAGATATTCTGAGCATTTTAAAGGGGAGGGATGGCAGAAACTTTGTGTTGATCTATCTGAACAAGCAATTAGTTAATTTCTGGAATAAAATAGAAGAAGCAATTTAAGGTAAGGCTATGGTGGTTGACTGGAAATAGACAAGTCAAAAGAATAAGTTTGTGAAGGTTGATAAGTTGTGTTTAATGTTGAATTTGCAATGTTGATGCAAAATCCAAAATCAGATAATAAATGTTCTGGCAAATGATGGTTGGCTCTAAAGCTCAGGAGAATTCTGTGGTGGAAAAACATGAGAGATGTCTGAATAGAAAGATATTTGATGCCCAGGATATGGAAGAGAAGGAATAAATGGCTCACTCTGTCATTTGTTTGTTCAAAAGTACAAACATGACATACATTTTTTTAATGAGCATTGTATGTCTTTCAAAACAAATTTTAAGTGTCCTGGAGGACTAGACAATATATAATTCTTAAAATCTATATAATATTTATATAATATATATTTAATATGGGCTGGATCGATAGCACAGCGGGTAGGGCGTATGCCTTGCACGCAGCCAAAATGGCCGACCTGAGTTCGATTCCTCTGCCCCTCTCAGCCTGGCAAGCTACCGAGAGTATCTCGCCTGCAGGGCAAAGCCTAGAAAGCTTCCCATGATGTATTCGATATGCCAAACACAATAACAATTGTCACAATGGAGACATTACTGGGCCCGCTCGAGCAAATCAGTGAACAACGAGAGGACAGTGACAGTGACAGTGATATTTAATATATTAATATCGTATCTCAAATAAGCCTATTTCTTCACCAGTATCCTCCTTAACTGAAGACTTTGGCTGCTAATGGTCAAGATCTAAAGATTCAAAAAAAATTTTTTTCTTTTACTAAAGTAAATTAAAGTGATATACAAAATTACTCAGTTAATTTTTTTTAGATTAGACATGCAGAGTTGCACCACCAATCCCACCACCAGTGTCAGTTCCCTCTGCCAGGTTTTCTTGTGCCCAGGTTCCTTCCATTCTTCTCCCCATGAAGATTTTTGGAGTGAAAGGAAAGGAAGACATTTTGACTCAAAGGGGACGCTTCTGTGTGTTGCAGGTTAAAGCCCGAGCTACCACCCGAGAGGTGATGGCTACGTATTCGATTGAGGACATAGTCATTGAACTCATAATCCAGCTACCGTCCAATTATCCCCTGGGCTCCATCTCCGTGGAGAGTGGAAAGAGAGTTGGCGTGGCCGTGCAGCAGTGGCGGAACTGGATGCTGCAGCTGAGCACGTACCTCACGCACCAGGTGAGTGGGTATCTGCGCATATCCAGCCTGACCTGCTCACATTTCAGACAGCTGCCTTCAGCTGCAGGGACAGAGACATGCTCCAGTTCCTCGGACCAACCAGCTAAAATGACTTGAATCTGCCCATGCTGGGTTTATTCATTTATTCATTAATTTATTCATTTGAGTCCCTACAAGTTCCTCTTGAAAGTAGGAGACTTTGGAGCAGTTACACTGGAGATATTGCCATGGGGTCAGGCCAGGGATGTTGCTCTGGTATCGCACCTGAGGTCCTAAGTTCAATCCCCAGCATGGCAAGTTAATAATGATCAGTAATACATAGTGCTAAGGAAATTGAGAGCAGGAATCTTTCTGTAAGCTACTGAATATCTTCTCAGTTACTTTCACATTGCAGCTCTTCTAAGGTTAGAGAAATCTTAGAAGTTTAAAAGATCCTCGTGGTGCTAGAGCAATAGTACAGCAGGTAGGGCTTTTGCCTTCCATGTGGCTGACCCAGGTTCGATTCCCAGCATCCCATATGGTCCCTTGGGCACCGCCAGGAGTAAGTCCTGAGTGTAAAGACAGGAGTAACCCCTGTGCATTTCCAGGTGTGACCCAAAAAAGCAAAAAAAAAATAATTAAAAAAAATCCTCGCTTTTTTAGGCACGTCATTGGATTTCTCTAGTTTGTGTTGCACATTAGGATATGTCTCAATGCATCATTATGATGCATTCTTCAGAAGAGAAAAATTATTATTTTGGATTTGGGGCTACACCCACTTGTGTTAGGGCTTACTCCTGGCTCTAAGAGATCACTTCTGGTGGTGCTCAAGTGTCCATAAGTGTTGTCAGGGATCATACCTGATTCCTTACCCACTTACTTTCTCTCCATACCCACTGCCTAACCCCCAGTACTCTCTCTCCAGCTCAGAAATTTTTTTTTTTTTTTTTTTTACTTTTTTGGGTCACATTTTGTGATGCACAGGGGTTACTCCTGGCTCATTCACTCAGGAATTACTCCTGGCGGTGGTGCTCGGGGGACCATATGGGATGCTGGGAATCAAACCTGGATTGTCTGCATGCAAGGCAAACACCCTACCACTGTGCTATCTATCGCTCCAGCCCCAGAAAAAATATTTTTATTTTATTTTTTTAATGTAGGAGTACTGCTATTTATTCAGCCACTGATTAGCTGATTGAAATGGGCATGAACTCCACCTTACCTTTTTTTTTTTTTCATTTTTTATAATTTTATTTATTGAATCACCGTGAGAGCAGTTACGAAGCTTTTGGGTCTAAGTCTCAGTCATAAAATGAAACACCCGTATCTTCCCCAGTCCCCATTCTCCACCACCAAAAACCCCAGTATACCCCCCTCTCACACCCTCCCTCTACACGTGGGGCAGATGATTTCCACATTACTCTCTCTCTCTACTTTGATCACATTCAATACCTTGACACCAGATCCACCATTATTATTTGAGATTTTACCCCAACACTCAGATCTGCTGAAAAGGCAACGGTAGACAGTTTGTTTTCTTTTTTGGTTATGAATAACATATGATGTCGCGTGGCTGCAGTAGTGGCTGTGCAGTTTTGAAATTCTGAAATTTTAACACTTAAATCTGGAGGGATTTCTGCCAAAACCTGCTGGGTTTCGAGATTTGCTCCTGAGTCTCTGGGATCATGTCCATTAAGTAGCTTGATCAGGAGCCAGAAAGGCCGTTCATGGGCGGCAACTCGGGGTCTCGTTGGGAAGTGGAGGAAAAGGCCGGCTCTACCCCATCCCATGAGGCCCCACGTGTCTTGTCACTGAGGGCTCAAACCTGACTGTTCAGTGGTCTCTGGAGGATGGTGGCCACCGAGCCGCCTAGAGGGAGCAGGCAGAGGGACAACACCCTTTCCCCCGTGGGGTGGCCCGACAGTAACCTATTGTGGAGTCCGGACGCATTTCTGCCAAAAGCCACTGGGTTCCGAGATTTGTTTCTGAATCTCTTGGATCATGTCCATTAAACAGCTTGATCAGGAGCCAGAGAGGCTGTTTGTGGGCGATGACTTGGGGTCTCTTTGGGGTGGGGAGGAAAGGACCGGCTCCACCCCCATCCCGTGAGGCCCAACATGTCTCATCACTGCGGGCCCAAATCTGACTGTCCAGTGGCCTCTGGAGGATGGAGACCACCAAGCCACTAAGGGGGAGCAGGTGGAGGGACATCACCCTTTCCCCCCTGGGATGGCCCAGTGATAGTAACCTACTGCAGGGTCCGTACACATTTCTGCCAAAAGCTGCTGGGTTTCGAGATTTGTTTCTGAGTCTCTGGGATCATGGCCATTAAGCAGCTTGATCAGGAGCCAGAAAGGCCGTTCGTGGGTGATGACTTGGGGTCTCGTTGGGGTGGGGAGGAAAGGACCGGCTCCACCCCCATCCTGTGAGACCCTGTGTGTTTCGTCACTACGGGTCCAAACCTGACTGTCCAGTAGCCTCTGGAGGATCGCGGCCACTGGGCCACCAAGGGGAACAGGCCAAGGCACAAAACCTATTCCCACCTGGGTTGCCCCAGCACCGGTAACCTACTGCAGGGACCAGATGCATTTCTGCCAAAAGCCGCTGGGTTTCGAGATTTGTTTCTGAGTCTCTGGGATCATGGCCATTAAGCAGTTCAATCAGGAACCAGAGAGGCCATGCCTCCAATTATATAGCTGAGCCGGAAGTGGTTTGTGGGTGTGTCTCCCACATACCTAACTTCTGGCTGTTTACTTTCTTGGTAAACTTTGCCCCAAGTTTTTGGGATCTGGCCAAAGGCACAGCAGCAGTTTTGGGGTATCTGGAATTCTGAAGGCGCCATCAGGCTGCTGATGTACTCGCCTCACAAGTACAGATTGACCTGCTGGCAGCACCATACCCCCAGAAAAATTATTTTTAAACATTCAAACATAGAGTTGAGATATAGGACAAAATAGTGGAAGTGAAGTAATTCATCTCCACCACTTTCAGTCAGTAGTTTGGAGAACTAGTCTAGATGACTTAGTTATTAAAAGCCCATTAAACAAAAGACTGACACTATAAAACACGATACCTGTTGCTGAATTTCTGACAATTCTATCATTACTGGAGAAAAATTATATAATTTTGAAGGTTACTGTAAAAACCAACAATAATGCAATTAGGATATGTGAATATAGCCAACACGGTGGTCACACACACATACACACACACACACACTGAATTGTATTTCTTCCTTTTTAACAGAATGGAAGTATTATGGAAGGCTTAGCATTATGGAAAAATAATGTGGACAAACGTTTTGAAGGTGTTGAAGACTGCATGATCTGTTTCTCAGTGATTCATGGTTTCAACTACTCTCTTCCTAAAAAAGCCTGTAGAACATGCAAGAAAAAGTTCCATTCTGCCTGCTTGGTAAGTCTAAATAAACTTACAGTATTTTATGAGTTTTATGCTTTACATCTGAGTTACCAGAGCACCATTGAATTTTAAACTCTTGTAATTCATGGAAGGCATCAAGCACTTTTTTACATTTCTAAAAGAGAATAGTAATTTACTGAAGATTAGTTTCATCCAAGGCTCTTTAATAAGTGAATGTTTTTTAATATACTTAGCACTCAAATAAATGCTCGATCTGGTAATATCTAAGCCATGAAGGAGAGTGTAAAAGAGTTAGATCTGGTGCCATGTGACAACATCAAAGGCCTTGGCTTGGTTTTTTGAGATCTCCAAGCCTACTAGGATCGGGGCTGAGCATCCTCCACCCAGATCCTCCGAATTCCAGTAGGCGGGGGTCACACCCACCAACTGGCCCCCTGGCGCCGTGTAATCCCATCAACGGCCAAGACTCAGAGACTGTAAAAACCAACTCCCAGAACCGCGCGGCTGCATTTGTCGCATTTGCGGCCGCGTGACATCTTATTATGACATCTTATTATCTCATTCCTACTTTGGACAAACTGGCAGGCTACCGAATGTAACCTGCCCACACGGCAGAGTCTGGCAAACTCCCTGTGGCGTACCCAATATGCCAAATACCAGTAACAATGATGGGTCTCATTCTCCTAAAGAGCCTTGAATATAGCACTTTCTTAAAAATCTCAGGGCGAGGATGAAGGAGACGTTACTGGGGCCTGCTCGAGGCAATCGACAAATAACAGGATGGTCGTGATTCGTGATTCTATTCAAAATGCCTCTTATTTATTATTCATTGGGAAAACTACTTATCTCCTTATTTTTTTTATTATTAAATCACCGTGAGAATACACAGTTACAAAGCTGATCATGATTGGGTTTCCATCATACAATGGTCATACAGTGTTCCAACACCCGTCATCTCACCAGTGTACATTTCCCCCCACCAATGGCCCGTTTTCTTCCTTCCACTGCCATCCCCAGTCTGCCTCTATGGCAGGCACTTTTCTCTCTCTCCCCACCTCCCTGTCCCTCTCTCCCTCTCTTTCCCCTTCTATCCTTCTTCTCTCCCTCTCTTTCTCTCCTCCTTCCCCTATTGCCCCCCCCCCCAGCATTATGGTTCGCAATACAGATACTGAAGGGTTATCATGTATATCCCTTTACCTCCTTCAGTACTCAGTTCTTGTCCAGAGTGATCATTTCCAACTATCATTGTCACAGCAGTTTCTTCTCTATCCCAGCTGCCCTCTCCAAAACCTGTGGCAAGTTGCCAGCTATGGGCTAGTCCTCCTGACCCTCATTTCTACTGTCCATCGATAATGGTCTAATACTATATTTTTTAATATACCACAAATTTCATCATTAATAGAAAATGTGCATCTTCATCACAGAGGTCTTCTTCTCTTGCTGTTATGTGCCTCAGCCCCATCCATTACTTAGAAAGGAAGATTTGGATGTATTGATATTGTTGATGAATGGAAGAAGCAGAATTTGCTAATTTTTTTTACATACCATTTTAAGATTACTTTAGGCACATCTGGTTGTTTTTGTAATATTTAAACCTTTCTCATTTTTAGTACAAATGGTTTACGTCTAGCAACAAATCCACCTGTCCACTCTGTCGTGAGACCTTTTTCTGAGATTTCATCCCCCTCCTCCCATTGGAAGTGATCCCCGAGATCCATCAAGTGAAAGCAGTGCATGTGGATCCAGCTTAAAGGGTTGCTGTGAGGAGGACAGTGAACATCACCTGGAAATAGGACCTTCTCTGCAAAATTATTTTGGTTAATGTAATGATTCTAAAATCAGACTTCCTTCTCCTTCGATTGCTTTGTAAATGTTTGGAAACCTTTCCTTTTACGTAAGAGTAATACATATTTGAAGGAAAATATATTAATAGTTTAGTCTGTATATTTAAAAAATAAATATGGAAAAATGCTAAATTTCAGAATTGGAATTTGCAGAAGTATTGTCCAAACTATATTGTACTAAAAACTACAGTTTGTTGATGTATGCTCTAGAAAAATCCAAGTGTGACAAATGAATAGACAGGTTTGATTTACATATACAGGTAAATTTTAACACTTCCTCGTCAAGACAGCAGAATTAGTATTCTGGTTCTTGTAGGTTATTTTAATGATAAAAATTACAGTAAGCTATTAATTTAGCTTACCTTAAAGCTATTTTAAAGCATGCTGTGAAATCTTTTATAAAGAGTATAATAAACTGAACTTTAAGGTGCCTCTAGTATTAAGGGTCATGAAATTCAGAAAATTAAGTTTGTGACACTGACCTTTTGCTGTGGAAGAGTTTCCAGGTATGAATGAAATTGAATTGCTGACGTGTCTGTTTGGGAAAGCCTCTACAGGATGAAACTTTGACAGAACTAGGATTTAGATGATTTTAGATGATCCTCATAAGACAGGATGGTACTTTCCCTCTACTGAGAGTAAGAAATAACTCACTCTGAGCTTAACATTGGTGAAAAGATAAAACAGAAGAAATTTAAATGTTGTAGAATTTTCGATTTTCAGCAAACTTTGCTTTTATTGGCTAAAGTTACATTACTTAGAGCTATGGCGTAGCTAACTTTTCTAAGTTTCCCAAAGTTAAAGAATTTTAGTGTAAACATTGCGTGTAACAGGCTGAAGTAAAGGAGGTGGAAATTTGCCTCTTGCCATAAATACCTATAAAAATTATGCTCCAAATATATAAATACAGAAGTTTGAAATTTGGAATAATTTTATCGCTTCCATTACATGGGAAATAGTAGCCTAGTTAATAGCAAGGTTGCTTGAGAAATCATCTAATCATTTTTGTTGCAAATGTTTAATTGGCAGAAAGCAACTTGTTAAATAAAATTTCTTCTTACCATCAACTGGGTAAAATGACTATTATTGAAATAGTACGAATGTGGTCAAAGTATTCTAGTTGAGAGTGAAGTATTACATGTGACTTACAGATTCTTGGGTTATATTTATAAGTGCACTCTCCAACCCAGTTTTGTCCGTTTTCAATTTTTTTTTCTCTTGTGTTTATTATCGTCTAGTTTGAGGTTCAAGGAGTCAGTAAGTGAAGTCAGTAAGTCAAGTCAAATAGCAAAATTTTCCTACCTCTTTGTCACCTCTGTCCCTCTCTGACATAGTAATCCAAAGGCTTGTGTTACTTCTCTGTGAAAGTTATCCATTTCTCCTTTAAAAATGGTTTTATAATAACTTTGTTTATAACTTTTCCAGTATTGGCACTTTTTGGCTTCTGACCCAAGCCCCAAGTAAAAGAAAAGGGGAGTAATGCAGCATTGCTTTTCCTCATTCGGATTAGGACATGAGGTTCTTGGTGAAATACTGTAATTAAGCGGGATTCTTACTCCCTATTTAGGACTCAGCATATATCTTGGAGAATTGTAAATATAAATGTAAAGCTTGTCACTGTTTATATTGCTAAAGAAAACACTTTCCAAAAGAAGACTAAACTCCGTATACCCACATTAATCTGAATTTTATTTATGTAGCTTTGACAACTCTAGATAGTGTCCCTTAAAATTCTACCATAGGACATTTCAAACTGCATGAGATTCAAAGCTCATTAGCCAAAGTATTAATTTAAAATCCCAGTGTAAATAAACTTCCGTTTAAAAATGTAATTTATTTCATGCTCTGATTTATGTATATAAGTTTCTGTGGCTTAAATCACTAATGTTATTACTTGGTAATATTTGTGGTCTGGTTTATTTATTTCATTGTTAAACCATATGTGCCCATCAAAATTCTTTTTAATTACAAAATATTTAAAATATGGAGAACAATAGTAATAATATAAATGCCCTTGTATTCCTCGCAAACTATTTTGCCATATTTGCTTCTGATTTTTAAATAAACTATTACTCTTTTGTATTCCATGGCGCTTCTCCTCTTTCCCTCCCCAGAGCTAACTTCCTATTCTGAAGTCAAGATTTCTTCCTATTTAAAATCCTGTATTTTACTACCTGTGTTTGGATTCATACTATGCAGTATTTCTAAACATGATAGAAAATAATTATATCCTGTTGTGTGTAATCTCATAACTCCTCCACTGAATATAAAGACTGTTCAGTATCACATCAGTTTACTTATCAGGCTGAAGCGATAGCACAGCGGATAGGGCGTTTGCCTTGCACGCAGCCGACATGGTCAACCCGAGTTCGATTCTTCTGCCCCTTTTGGAGAGCCCGGCTAGCTACTGAGAGTATCTCGCCCTCACGGCAAAGCCTGGCAAGCTACCCGTGATGTATTCGATATGTCAAACACGGTAACAAGTCTCACAATGTTACTGGGCCTGCTCAAGCAAATCGATGAACAACGGGAGGACAGTGACAGTGACAGTTACTAATTCCTCTAGTAATGTTCCCCTGGGCACTGTTAGGGATAGCTTACAAGCACTCCTGGGTATGCCCCTCTTATACCCCCTGCCTGAGACACATGCCCCCAAAAGAAGAGTGTTTTGAAGGGCCAGTGAAGATAGTGCAGAGTTGGCATGCAGCTTTTGCATACTAGAATGTGGGTTTGATTCCTATCTTTGCATTTGACTTAGCAGCAGCATGTCGGTCACAGCCCCCTGAGGACTGTCAGGTGTGGCCCACAAAACAAACACAAGAAAGTTTTCTTGCCAATTCTGATGCCTGTGTCAATGAACTAATGAACGTGCTGGGAATGTAAGATTTGTGGAAATGGGGGAACTGTTTGCAATTTGCTGTCTTGAGCAGGAAGGGGTCTATAGAAATAACTCAAAGGACCAAGCACAAACGTGGTGTGCAGGTGGCCATGGTTAATCCCCTGCACTGCTTGGTCACCGGAGCACTCCTGGGCACAAAGCTGAAAGTAGACCCCAAGCACTGCCTCGTGTGGCCCAACTTCCATGCCACCCCCCACTTTGAAATAAAATGCAGAACTTTAGTGTTGGAAAAGTCCTGACAGTTTTTGGATTCTAAATAATGAGAATTATATAATTCTATGGGGGTGGGGGAGAGGGGCCATGCCCAGCAATGCTCAGGGCTTACTCCTGACTCAGCACTAAGGAATTATTTCTGGCAGGGTAGGGTTGCTGAGGATCGAACCCAGGTCAACCACGGGCAAGGTAAGTGCCCTACTAGCTGAACTATCTCCCCTACTATCTCTCTGGCCCCAAATTACCAAGTTCCATAGTCTTAGTAAGATCTGATTAGGAATGGTTCCTGACCACCCAATTCTACCATATAATTAATGGAAAGGCTTCAAGAAAGCTTTGAAGTTGGATGTAGAGACCCGATCCCTATCCTCTCAAGACAACCCTTATGACTCTTGAGTGTATCTTAAAACAATTCGTGGGGAGTAAGTAGGTGCAGAAATTTCCTGACCCCAAAGAAGTTCTAGCCATTGGAACATGGATATGGATACAAATTATTTGTGCCATTTCCATAAGTGACCCATAAAAACTTTTCCTGTGTCATCCTCCATTCTCTCTTCTGTTTCCATGCTGACTTAAGTTGTGTGCTACCCATCTCTCCCATGGCCACGACAACAACAGAAAACGGAGCTGATTCAGAGAAAACCCGTTTTCCCTGGAAAGCAAGTGCTGTTTATGTTCTACAACTTTATAATTTCTTCCTGAGGTGGCCGTGCACTTTTACAGACCTTGGCCACTAGGCTGGGGCCATATTGTCAAAGTTGTGACCAAGATAATGTAATAGAGGGTAGTGATGGAGTCACTTAGAAAACCAACTTATGGCCCATGTGGCTTCCTCCATCCTTGGAGGTTGGTGAAAAGATTCTGGGTTCTGCCATGACTCCATGACTTACTGGAATAGAGGCCCTCCTGCCAGTCCCCTGGCCCTTATCATTTGGGACTGGGATCTAATCAGTTCAGAGTAAGAAAAATTTTGAGCGGTGGTTTTATAATCATAAAATTTTTCAGACATTTCTCAATCATTGTGATAGGCCTTTTATCCTCCAAGACCAACGGAATCAGCATCCCCTAGTATATTGTTTTGTGTGGCTAATGGAACAATCAACATGGTGGCTTTGAACAATCAAAATATATTCTCTGAGTACCAGGGGCTAAGTGTGAGATTAGGGACCTGAGTGACAGTACAGTGGGTAGGGCATTTGCCCTGAATGTGGCCCACGTGGGTTTGATCACAACTTGATGTTTTGAAGGACTGTTACTGAAACCTTTAACACCTGGGAGTTTCTTACACTATACTTGAGTTGAGACCTAGTGAACAAGGAACTCGAGGGGTGTTTTATTAGTTATCTAATAAGTCCACCTCCACTAAGTAGGCTGCGGTAGCTGAAGTTTAAGATCTAGAGCAAGGTTCACCCCCGCTTAATCATTGGCATGAGGCTGGAGAAATGCAGACTTGCCTTTAGGCCTGAATTTCATGCCAAGGAGAGACCTGTGAACAACCAGCTGGAAACAACCTCTGAGCCCTGGTGTGGGTGCCAAAACCAGCAAAAATGGAATTATTAGCATCAAAATGTTTCTAATAATACCTTTCTGTTTGCATCTTCTGATATCAGATTTTTTTTCTTTGTGGGTCACACCCGGCAATGCACGGGGGTTACTCCTGGCTTTGCATTCAGGAATTACTTCTGGCGGTGCTGGGGAGACCATATGGGATGCTGGGAATCAAAGCCAGGTTGGCCGCGTGCAAAGCAAACGCCCTACCCGCTGTGCTATTGCTCCAGTCCCAATATCAGAATTTTTTAATTCAAATATTTCCCCTTTTCATCACCTTACAAATTTTGCTCACAGAGTCCCTATTGTCCTACTTTATCTGAATTCTATTTTCTCAAACAAGATGCTTAGAATATTAATTAGGAGACTGTTCTGCAGAGTGTGGCTGGTCTCCTGGTTTCTATGGTTTCCACTACACAAGTTGGCCATTCCGGGTGCTACCACCATAGGCTGTATATGAATGAGTGGGGAGGGGCCTGGGTTTTACTCCAAAACCACCTTTTATTTTTTGGGGGTTTTGTTTTGTTTTTTTGCTTTTACAGTCACACCCAGTGATGCTCAGATTTATTCCTGGCTCTGCACTCAGGAATTACTCTGGCAGTGCTCGGGGGACCATATGGGATGCTGGGAATCAAACCCGGGACGGCCGCGTGCAAGGAAAATGCCCTACCTGAAGTACTACTGCTCCATCTCCTGTTGATGCTTTTCTTGAGTCACATCCTGCAGTACTAGGAGACAGCAGTGCCAGGGACTCTTCTGCTAGCTTTTCTTTGTCTTTTTCTCATGATGCTGGAGCTCGAACCCAAGGTCACACACATGCCCAGTAGACAACTCTACCACTAAGCCACATCTCTGAGTCATAGATCCTTTTCTTGCATCCTCTCACAGGAATTACCTTTCCTTTCCTTTATACTTTAGGGAGGTGTGTGTGTGTGTGTGTGTGTGTGTGTGTGTGTGTGTGTGTGTGTGTGTGTGTCTAAGTGTGGTGGGCAGCGGGGTTGAGACATACACTGTCATTCTTGGTCATGGTACCAGAGGGTAAATGCAAGGAATTAACTGAGCACCTGGCCAGTACTTGGGCTCTTCCCCACCCCGAGAATTGAAACTATGGAAAAAAAGGCTTCCACACCACTTCCAATCACTGGATTGTTCCAAAACATCCCAACTTCCCATGCCCCAGAGATTTACTCACTTTAGGAAAGACTGGAAGGAGATGGCTATTGAAAGCAATGTGCTAGCCTCTGGTGGAACAAACAGGCAGGATATGCTTATGAAGTGGTCAGTGAAACTTTTATCCTGGTAAATAACGCTGTCAGTACAAACCAGACACACAAAAAAAATATTATCTTTAGGTCTGTTCAAAGGATTTCATGGTTCTATGGTGGGGTTGAACACTTTAATCTTAGAAAGCTTTCCTAATTGATTATGTTAATAGAAAGGAATTCTGGATTCTTCTCATTCTGGTTCTGCACAGGCCTGCTCACAGGATATTCCTGGCTTGGTGCTTCAGTATGACCCATGGCAGTACTCAGGGACTTAAATGTGGAGATTTAAGCAGGTTTGTGGGCTCCAAGGCACACACAAGAATATCTGGCCTCCTGTACGCTCTCACAATCTGTTTTTAAGTGTATTATAAGTGATATGGAAGTTATGGAATAGCTCACTACAGTTTAGGATAATTTCACATGTTTTGATACAATCAGCTTTGCAAAATGTGATTAGAAGTGGTGAGTTCGCTTATGTACAAGTGAACCTGATCTTAGGGGGAAAAATGTGTAGTACAAAGATAGATGGATAGACATATTAGAAGAAAAAAGAAAACAGAGTAAGAGGAAAAGTTGGCTTAGGAGAATGGAGGCATTCCACATTAACAAAATAACACGTGAATACGTTAAAAATAAATTTTTATTTTACAATTTTCCTTGAGGTGCCATGACATACAATACTGCTAATGATGGCTTCATGCTTACAACATGTAAGCATGTCCATCATTGCTTCTCATCACCACTGTCTCAGGAACCCACCTCATCACCCCTGTCTTGCCGTGGTGGGACCAGTTCCTTGTGTCTAAACGTTCTTTCCAGTAAAAACCTTTATGAAAATTTCATGGAAATGTTACTGTGCAAACACAACCCCCTCCTCCAAATTTGAACATTCTTCCATTCTCACTGTAATGAGATCATCTTATATACACATAACACAGACCCTCGCTGATTTCTTAAATATATATGTATATATACACCATAATGTTATTTTTCTTATACTCAATAATACATCATATGCCCCTCTGGTTCAGCATATACAGACCTGACACAAGGATGTAAGTGCCTGGATATGTCACTCATGTTCTGTGACATATGGATATACTATCATTTACTAATTTCTTTAGAAACACTTAGGTTTATTTCATTATTTTGCCTTGACAGGTAACACTGAAATTTTTTTATTTGTATTTTATATATAAATGACAATTACATACACACACTCACACAAACACACACACATATGTATTTGTTTTTTGGTGCAAGTATTTTTGTAGGCCTGATTCCTGGGTGAAACAGAAAGAACCTTTTGCACCTTTTTATATATTACAACTTTCTCACACTTTTGTCAATCAAGAAATTACTTCTATTTCAAATTAAATTAAATGTCAACTCATCAGGAGCCAGAGAGATAGCACCACAAGGCAGGGCCTTGCACAGGGCAGATCTGGGTTCGATCCCTGGTACCCCATTTGGTCCCACAAGTCTGCTAGCAGTGATCTCTAAGCACAAAGTCAGAAGTAAGTCCTGAACACCTCAGTGTGTATACCCCCCCACCCCCCTCCAAAAAAAAGCCCCCAAATAAAACCAAAACATATTAAATGTCAGCTTATCAATACACTCGTATACGTATTCAATAGAATACATTATCTGTTCGATCTCCATCTGATACAATCTAGGACACACACTGGCCATCAGGACTTGGTGAACTTGAGGACTGAGAGGAGCTCTCTCCCGGCTTGCCTGGACAGTGTGGTGGTCCCCTGTAGACCTTTGGTTTTCATTGTTTCCAAAATCTCTTCTACAGTGAAAATAGAAACAATGCAATTAGACCATACAATGGGATCCAGGGCTCACCAACGGATTAGGAAGACGATAACACAGACTAGTGGCGAATTCTGTTCCTGTGGGAGAGCAATGCGTCGCAGGTGCAGTTTCTGTGGAAAGGCAACCTGGACTTCAGACTGATGGGAACACTTCATTTTTACAAGGCATTTTCGAGAAATTTCACAAGCCCGAGCAGCCTATTTTGCAGTAGGAATCCACTCTGAATTCCACAGAATCTTGAGTAAGACGTGTTACTAAGGAGGCCATTCATACTGTAGTTGCCTGGCTCCAATTTCTGTCCTCTGTTTATTGTTTTGGATCAAAAATGTCAGGATCAAAAATGTCAATGAATGGGGCTGGAGAGATAGCAAGGAGGGTAGGGCATTTGCCTTGCATGTGAACGACCTGGGTTCGATTCCCAGCACCCCATATGGTCCCCTGAGCACCGACAGGAGTAACTCCTAAGTGCAGAGCCAGGAGTAACCCCTGTGCATTGCCAGGTGTGACCCAAAAAGCAAAAAAAAAAAAAAAAAAAAAAATTCAATGAAGGCATGGACAAACTATAGTGACATATAGGGATATTACATAGTAGAAATAATAAGTTTTCTCTCTCACTTTTTCTTTACTCAGCTGTTTTTTAAAAAAGCAAAATCTCACTCCTTGCAGCAACTTTTTGTTCTGCTTTATTTGAGGGGTGGCATACCCAGCAGCCAGGGGACCCTCTGAGGTAGCAGCAATCTGAACAAGGGTCAGTGGGATGGCAGGCAAGCAGCTTAACCCCACAAGAGCTCTCTGATCCTTTACTTACACACACACACACACACACACACACACACACACACACACACCACTGTCCAACAAAATCCAAGTTACCAAAACCAAGTGAGAGGTCAAGGACAGAAGGTACATGATAAAAAGCAAGTCTGAGGTTACAGTGAAGGAGCTTATTTGCTGATGAATCAGCTCCAAAGTAAGCGGAGAGCCAAAAGCTAAGAGTCCATCCCCCAGATGAAAGCAGAAGTGCCAACGGCACAGGGACTGGCGGGACAAAGCAAAGGCTGAAGGAGAGGCTGGTAGAAGGAATTTTTGATTTTATATTTGAATATTAAGGCGAGATGTTAACAAGTCTCACGGTGGAGACGTTACTGGTGCCCACTCGAGCAAATCGATAAAGAATGAGAGGACAGTCTACAGGACAGTGCTACAGAAGGTGAGAAGTTAGAAGGAGACATTGTGGCTTTATATTGAGTTCATAGATGATAGGAATTGCTGTCCACCCCAAGGCAATACTCCTTAAAAAGTAGAACACTCTTGTATCAGTGGGCACAGCTGTATTGTAAAACGGCTGTTGGGATTATACCAGGATAATTCCGGGTTACTCTGGAGGGTCTCTGACATGATTAACGTTTGATTTTAGCAACGTACGCGGGAAAAGATGCAGTGGTGTGCATTACCTGGGTTGTTCTCTCTGACTGTAACCAAGTAGAAGAGGCCTCTTGGTGAAAGGAGATCCAGAGCCAGCGGGAAGAACCTGTCCATAACTTCTCGACCATCTCTACCACCAGCCCAGGCGGCCTCTATCCCGTGACTTCCTACCTGTGCCATTTCAAAAGACTTTTATTTAGACTCAAGTCACAGAATCACAATCATCCCCGCTACATGTGTGCTACTGCCCATGCTGGATCCGAACCCAACATTCCCCAGACCAGGTGACCTGGTATAAGTTTGTAATCTTTGGAAATTACTTCCCTCCCTTCACTATAAAAATCAGAAAAACAACATGTAGGGAAATATCAAATGCCAAAAGGCAGCAGAAACAGAACTTGAGAACTGGTCTTCAGTAGCTGGAGGATGGGAGGGAGGGAAATGAGGGAACTTGGTGAAGGGATGGGCAGTGGAATGCACATGTGTGAAACCCGATCATGAATAACTCTGGAAAGCACCAATGCTTCAGTGCATTACTTGCAACAATCAAAATTTCTTGTTTTGTTTTTCTTTGTGGGCCACACTTGGTGATGCTCAGGGGTTACTCCTGGCTCTGAGTTCAGGGGTAACTCTTGGGCTTGGTGGAACCATATGGAATGCCAGGGATGGAACCCAGGCTGGCTGTGTGCAAGGCCAGCATCTTCCAGGCTGTAATATCACTCTGCCCGCCCACCCCCCCCACCCCCCCCCCCCCGCCTCATAGTATTTTCCTAGAGAGGTGCATTAAAGTTGCATTTCTTTCAAGTGCTGATCATATTATGGCAATGGATTTCCTTCTCATGGATTCATGTCAGAAGAACAGCTTTTTAGTTGTTTAATCACTCTTAGTGGGAAGAACAACTAACTTCTGACCTTTTCTGTTTTGGAAGAAGTAGTTGTAATGTTTTAGTCTTGGCCAGGAAATCCTCATTAAAGAATAAATAAGCATAGATATTCAAGGAAAGTTAGTGTTAGTTTGTCATTTGCCTTGTCTGTCTTGACCTTTTTCCTTTTAAACATGATTACAGTTAAATACCTTAGTGCTTTATTAAAAAATTTTAATACACATTTATTTTATTAAGGGGGCACACCTGGCTATACTTATGGCTTACTCCTGGCCATGCTCAGGGGACCATAGGCGGTGCAGGGGACTAAAGCCAGGTCCCTTACCTGATGTACTATCTTTCCAGCCTTTAGATTTTTCTCTCCCATTCAGAAATGAGAATTAGGAAATCCCCTCCCTCCTACTCTCTGACAATACTATGAAAGGAAGACGGATACCTGAGGATATCAGAAGGAATCCTTCTGCAACTACAAATATTTTGCTCTGCAAATATGCAAAAGTTCAGTGACAAAGGAGATCCATACACTGCATGGCCCAATGTGGATGGGGCTGTGCAGGACAGATTTGGACTGCAGTTTACAGTCCCGTTGCTTTTAGGTTACTCTCCTAAATATCCAGTTACGGACAATTAGGGGTAAACCAGAGCAGTGTGTGAGCTCTGTAGAAACACCAAGCCAATGAAACTCCCAGGTTCACAAGGGTTTGGGCCGAAACCTCTGGGGTCTTCTCTGAGTGGGGACAGGCAGTCTCCCCACAGTCCCCCACTGCCAGAATCCATAGCAGCCACACCCCACCCCACAGGCACCACCAATGCAAGCAGTCCAACTTCACTGCTTCACGACTCATTTCTGCAAAGATGCCAAGTCAGTGAAACTCCCAGGTACACCAGGTTTGGGGCTGAAAACTCTAGGGTCTTCTGTGAGCGGTGGCGATCAGTCTGGCCCTGGCCCTTAAATGCCAGAAGCCCCAGCAGCACATCCACATCCCACAGCCACCGCAAATGTAAACAAGGGCTCAGAGGTTTCACAGCTTCATGGCTAATCTCTGAAAAGATGCCACATCAGGCTGATTCAAGTCATGGGTACACGGGTTTTCAGGCTGAATACTCTGGGCCCCTCGGGAGGGGACTGGGCCCAGAAGTGTCTCAGTACTACAGTTCCTGGAGCTCTTGGAGCATACAGTCACACACGTGGCTGTACAATTCCAAATTCCACAATACTGACAGCCCAGGAGGAGCACAACAAATTAGATGGGAAAGTAGCACAGAAGCCAACCAAGCTCAACAGACAAGAACAAGAACTCAGAAGGTTCAATTACCCAACAACTAGCTCAGTAAACCCTCAGACAATGATTGAATAACCCCACTGGAAGATATAACAATCTTCACAAATTTTCCTTTACTAAAGTATTTTTCGGTAATATCATTAGCCATCTTGTTCTAACAAGCAATGTAAGATGAATTCTTCTGCGCCCGCTAAGCAGGAGAATATGGTGGGTGGGAAACTGGGGACATTGGTGGAGGCAGTTCACAATGGTGGTGGGATTGGTGTTGGAACATTGAATGCTTGAAAAAAATATATATTATGAACAACTTTATAAACCACTGTGTATGAAGTTAAAAAATTTTTAAACAAAGAGCATTTTGTCTTCACCGGCAGTTGACTGATAACTTATGAAGCGCAGCTGATTTTAGAAAGAAAGGAGTTAAAAATATTAACAATTTAATTTTTTATAAGCCTTACCTCTTCAGATGGAGTCACCACATAGGGGGGGTTAAACACCAGAAGATCAACTTTTCCCTTTAACCTTGGTAGCAAGCCTTTGACCTAATGTTCAACAATAGGTAGAATTTTAAGTCAGACTGAATTAAAGAAACAAGCAAATATAAGTATTCTCCAGTGTTCTTAGGGAGGAAAAAATGTTAGAAATCCACACTAAGAGAACTGGAGCTCAGTATTTCTTTTTTGCATTTTCATTAGGGGAAAGATTAAAATGCATTTGCCCAAAACTGTAGAAATTAACTTCTTAGTAGTATAATATAAATGTCCAGAAATGCCCCTAGCTCACCTGTTTACTCCAGGGGCTCACCTGTAGAAGACGAAATGAGGAAGGAAACTCTTAGCTCTGTAGATTTATAGACAACTTTATGCCAGCTTAAATAGTTTTTTATTACCAAGAAAAATATTTTATGAGATGACAGAATACATCGAGGGGCAGGCGAGAGACAGCTCCGGGTGGGGCGGGGGGGGGGGTGGGTGTGAGAAAAAAAGAAAGAAAAAAAAAAAGAAAACATCTAGAAATCAATGGGGGGGGCGGGGGAGGACCTTTTTATTTAAGTACTTGTAAATGTATTGCCAGAAACAATGACATATCCAAGAATGAAAATACTGGGAAAAGACTGCAAATATCAAGCACCTGGCATTTTTAAAAATCTTCAAACTGGGTGCAATGTAGAGAACAAGAAAAATATCTTTTTAAAAGAGAGTGCCTTTAAAACTCCATATCCAAAAGGGTATGGTGCTGCCAGCAGGTCAATCTGTACCTGTGAGGTGAGTGCATCAGCAGCCTGATGCCACCATCAGACTTTCAGATACCCCAAAACTGCTGCTGTGCCTTTGGCCAGCCCCCAAAACTTGGGGCAAAGTTTACCAAGAAAGTAAACGGCCAAAAGTTAGATATGTGGGAGACACACCCACAAACCACCTCTGTCTCAGCTATGTAATTGGAGGCGTGGACTCTCTGGTTCCTGATTGAACTACTCGGCAGCCATGATCCCAGGGACTCGGAAACGAATCTCGGAACCCAAGAGCTTTTGGCAGAAATGCATCCTGTTCCTGCAGTGGGTTACTGGGGTTGGGCCACTCCAGGTGGGAATGGGTTTTGTGCCTTGGCCAGTTCCCCCTGGTGACCCGGTGACCACCATCCTCCAGAGGCCACAAGACAGTCAGGTTTGGGCCTGCAGTGATAAGACACACAGGGCCTCACCAGATGGGGGTGGAACCGGCCCTTTCCTCCACATCCCAACAAGACCCCGAGTCACCACCTACAAACGGCCTCTCTGGCTCCTGATCAAGCAGATTAACGGCCATGATCCCAGAGACTCAGAGGCGAATCTCCAAACCCAATGGCTTTTGGCAGAAATCCATCTGGACCGCATGGCAGGGTGGCCACCGCCTCAGAGCTTATTGGAAAGCCAGGTATGAGCCGGCGGTGATGGGGCAACTGCAGTTCCATGGGAAGGGGGGCTGTACCAGCTCGTCCTTCACACCCTACCTAGGTCACGAGTTGCCCCCTACGAGTGGCTCTCCAGCACGGCCATGGCTCCAAAGGCAAAAGGACTTAGTCCAGAGCCCAGAAGCTTGTGGCAGAAAAGTGAATAGACCATGTGTTAAACTACAGTGCTATGCCTCCCCGGGAGGGAAAGGGTGTTGCTCCCTTCCGCTTTTCTCCCCCACCCCACTCTGCAGCAAGGTGGCTGCTGCCTTGAAGCTTATTGGAAAGCCAGGTATGAGCCAGCAATGACGGGGCAACTGCAGTCTTATGGGAAGGGGGACAGTACTGGCTTGTCCTTCATGCCCTACTGAGGTCACTAGTTGCCCCCCATGAGCGGCTCTCCAGCACGGCCATGGCTCCAAAGGCAAAAGGACTTAGTCCAGAGCCTGACAGCTTGAGGCAGAGGGGTGAATGGTCCATGCGTTAAACTACAGCTCCATGCCTCCCCGGGAGGGAAAGGCTGTTGTTCCCTTCCGCCTTTTTCCCCTCTGGCAGCAAGGCGGCTGCTGCCTCAGAGCTTGTAGGAAAGCCAGGTATGAGCCAGAAGTGACAGGGCAGCTGCGGTCTCATGGGAAGGGGGGCAGTGCCAGCTCGTTCTTCATACCCTACTGAGGTGACGAGTTGCCATCCACAAGTGGCTCTCCAGCACAGCCATAACACCAGGCGCACAGAAACCAATCTTGTAATTATCTGGCTCTTTGCAGAAATCCAAAATCATTATATGACATTATATGAATCTCATACCAGCTATAGAAAGCAAAGTATTTCACAATGCCTTTTCAGCAATTCTGATTGTTGGGCGGGGGGGGAGGGAGAGGGGGGGGAATTCAAAACAACAGTGGTGCATGTTTTGTCGAAATAATGAATGTAATCAATGTAGAGAAGAGTTAACTAGAAATCATCTGCCTCACAGGCATTGGGAGGGGTGGGAGGGGGGTATACTGGGGTTCTTGGTGGTGAAAAATGAGTACTGGTGAAGGGAAAGGTGTTTGATCATTGTATGACTGAGACTTAAACCTGAAAGCTTTGTAACTTTTCCCACAGTGATTCAATAAATAAATATAGGTAAAGGTAAAGGCCCTCCCGTTGTTCGTCGATTTGCTCGAGCGGGCCCAGTAAAGTCTCCATTGGAGACTTTGTTGTTACTGAGTTTGGCATATCGAATACGTCACGGGGAGCTTGCCAGGCTCTGCCGTGCGGGCGAGATACTCTCGGTAGCTTGCTGGGCTCTCCGAGAGGAGCGGAGGAATCGAACTCGGGTCAGCCATGTTATAAGAAGAAAAATAAATAAAATTATGAAAAAAATATGAAGGAGGTAAAAAAATAAAATAAAACTCCATATCCAGTGCTCCTTTGTGCTTGAAAATCAAATATTTTATTTATTAATTTTTGTTTTTGCTTTTTTTGGGTCACACCCAGCAATGCTCAGGGGTTACTCCTGGCTCTAGACTCAAGAATTACTCCTGGCAGTGCTTGGGGGACCATATGGGATGCTAAGGATCGAACCTAGGTCAGCTGCGTGCAAGGCAAATACCTTACCTATTATTGTATTATCACTCCAGCCTGAGAATCATATATTTTAAAAATCATTTTTGGGGACAAGAGATGTGGCAAAGCAAAGCAGATGCCTCACCTGAGGTTCATCCCTGACACTGGGGAAAAAAGGGGTGGGAGGGCAGGCGGAAGAAACATGCCGGATTATGGGAATCTTCCACCTTCACAAGACAAGAAAGTAAAAAACACTCTATCTAAGTAAGTCTATAACCCTAAAGCCATTTTCTGCAATGATCACTTCAATGATCACTCTTGTCTCTCATTCATGAACTCTAACATGCTGTTGACATGGAATGTTTTGAGTATCTAAAAGCAGTGTCTCTCAAACTTCCTCTTCTTAATATACCCATTAATCCCCCCAAGGGCTGGAGAGATAGCACAGCGGTAGGGCGTTTGCCTTGCACGCAGCCAACATGGCCAAACCCGAGTTTGATTCCTCCAACCCTCTCGGAGAGCCCGGCAAGCTACCGAGAGTATCTTTCCCCCACGGCAGAGCTTGGCAAGCTACCCGTGACGTATTCAATATGCCAAACACAGTAACAATTGTCACAATGGAGACATTATTGGGCCCGCTCGAGCAAATCGATGAACAATGGAAGGACTGTGACTGTGACAGTGAATCCCCCCAAATCTGCACTGGCACCTGTCATTATCTGCTAGATATATATTTGTCTTTACTTATGTTTTGGATTTGGGGTCATACCCAGCACCGCTCAGGGTTTACTCTGGCTCTATGCTCAGGAATCATTCTCAACCGGACTCGGCGGACCATATGCGGGGCTGGGGATTGAACCTGGGTCAGCCATTAGCAAGGCAAGTGCCCTACCCACTGGACTATCTCTCTGGCCCCAGAGCTTTGTTTTTCATTCCTCAAAGAAACATAGTTTGACATAGTTTCACTACTGAAAGAACTGATTTGGGCATGAATTCCCATGAGTCACTTCCTGATAAAGATAAAATAAAAATCAAGAAGTACACTGGGGGCAGAGTGATAGTACAGCTGGTAAGGAAGCGCCCTCTTGCCTTGCACACATGCAGCTGATCCTCTGAACACCACTACCAGTATTCCTCCCTCCTTCCTTTCCTCCCTTCCTTCCCCTTCCTTCCTTTCTCCATTCCTTCTTCTCCCTTCCTTCCTCTTTGTAAATTATGTGTGGAGCATAATTTTTTTTTCTTTTTGAGTCACACCCAGTGATGCACAGGGGTTACTTCTGGCTCTGCACTCAGGAATTATTCCTGGCAGTTCTTGGGCGACCATATGGGATGCTGAGAATCAAACCTGGGTCAGCCGTGTGCAAGGCAAATGCCCAACCTGCTGTACTATTGCTGCAGCCCATGAAGCATAATCTTTAGTGAGTCAAAACTTGCTGAAAACCAAACATGATGACCTCTCAGTATTTGTATTGCAAACCATGATGCCCCAAAGTAGAGAGAAAGAAGGAAGGTACCTGCCACAGAGGCAGGGGGTGAGAGGAGGGTGACAGGAGGGATATTGGGGGACATTGGTGGTAGAAAATGCACACAGGTAGAGGGATGGATGTTTGATTATTTCAATCATGAAAGCTATGTAACAATGTATCTGAACTAAAATCATAATGATCATAACTTGCTGAAAAAAGAAATTAGTTACAATTGGACAAGGATTAACAGCTTACCAAATCTGTAATTACGGGTTGCAGATGAACTTGATTGCAGCGTGCTGTCTCCAGGGTACAAGCTGCAGCCTCAGGGTTAATGTCAGTGCACCTGCAAACAGGAAAAGAGTAAAATCTGATTTTATGCCCATGAGAAAAATCTGTTACTGAAAAGTAGAAGGAACGCTTCATACCGTTTATTAGCAATGATTTAGAAGAACACTAGAATGCATTGATAATGAATTAAAGGGGAAAAAAGAATGGTTATATTGTTAAAGAGTAGAGGAATATACATACAGGCACATACATATGTGGATTAATTAAATAATGAATTTAATAAAAGAACATTAATTAAACATTGTTTGGAGGTTCTAGCAGGGGAGCGCAGCTACTCATATATCATTGACCAAAGATCGGTCAGTCTCTATTCCAGGAAGGCCGTCCTCTTCAACTGATCACGCAGCCTCGGGAGGGACGCACATGGAGCGGTGAGGGAGGAAGGTGACACCTGCCTAGCCAGCCAGATAAGCCGAATCAATCCTTGCAATCAATGGAGTGACATATGTCGAAGCCAGATCGCCCTCACATCCAGCGGGTAGGGCGTTTGCCTTGTACGCGGCCGACCTGGCCGACCCAGGTTTGATTCGTCCTCCCCTCTCGGAGAGCCTGGCAAGCTACTGAAAGTATCTCGTCCGCACGGCAAAGGCTGGCAAGGTACCCTTGACATATATGATATGCCAAACATAGTAACAAGTGTCACAATGGAGATGTTATTGGGCCCGCTGCTAGCAAATCAATGAAGAATGGGAGGACAGTGACAGTAACAAACATTAATTAAATAATGAACATTAATTAAATAATGAATTTAATGAAAGAACATTAGGGAAAAATGAAATAAAACTAAAATGAAACTCGAAATTTTTTGAAAGGGAAATGTTCATGATAAAATAATAGTAAATAAATTTAAAAAATGATATTATATAAGAGGAAATGAAGAAAAGTTACAAGAAAGGCACTTGGAGATGTGTGGTAAAAATTACATGATTTTTATTTTTTTTTGTTTCTTTTTTGCTTTTGCTTTTTGGGTCACACCCGGCAATGCTCAGGGGTTACTCCTGGCTCTACACTCAGGAATTATTTCTGTCGATGCTCGGGGGACTATATGGGATGCTGGGGATCAAACCCAGGTCGGCCGCGTGCACGGCAAACACCCTACCCACAGTACTATCGCACCAGCCCTGATTTTTATTTTCTTCATTATACTTTCTATTTTCTCAAATGTTTTAAGAATAAATTTTAGTTATTAAAAAACCTTTTCATAGACTAGTCATCTAAAAAGGATTCAAGTATAGAGATGAGCTAAACTATTTCTGCAATGATGCAGACCAGTTTTGACTATGCTTTTATAAAAGGTAAGCATAGTTTGTAATCTCAGCCCTTAATAAACTTCAGTAGACATTTTTCAGATATATAATACTTACTGATAATAATAATTTCATTCAAGAAACTATACTCACTGTGAATCTCTTTAGTGACAGATATGGAAGAACTGGAGTGAATCTGACATACTCACACTTACACGTACAAAGCTTGAGGACCAATCAGAGATGCTAAGAATGCTGATACCACTCCAGACCCTGAACCAACTTCAAGGCATATTTCCACTCTGAAAAAACAAAAAGAAACAGTATAGTTAGATTATAATGTAATCACTGAAAATAACTGTTACTCTTGATGTGCAATTTTCCCGGCATCATCAATCACTTGCCCCTATATGAAAACACAAGAAATTTATAAATAAGCAAATTTCTGATTTCCACTTTGTGTTTAATATTGCAGAATGCAAAATTGTTAGCATTTGGAGTAATTTAAGTCCATAAAACAGCAATACAATAGTTGCCCTTCAATTTCTAAAAATATTACATAAAAACCTTAGAATAATATAATTCAGTCTTGAAAATATTAATATGAAAGACATCAGCAATTCCAACCAGGTTTCCAAAAATAAGATGGCTATGTAATATAAATTAAAAAAAAATTTATGGAAGATGTTTTCTCAATCATCTAAAAGTATATAACATTCATAAACCCATCAATATATCCTGAGGTGAGTTATTCTCTCATTTTTAATGATCGTATCTTTAGACAGCAAAGACACCCCCTATTTTTACAGCAATATACTGAATTTAGGTAATAACCAGATATCTTATAATATCAATGATCCTAAGAATGCTACAGACTATACTACATTCCTCATTCTACCGGGTTTTGCCCTTCAATTAATTTTGCTTGCATTAACTCTTGGATATGCATCAAAAGTGCAAAGAAATACATTATAGAGAAAGGGTAATGGGATTTAAGAGTCTCTCTAGCACCTAACAGTTACCCAAACAACTACTCAACAGCAAACTCTAGGGTTTTCTAATTAAATTAAACATATATTTTATTTTGGGGGGGCTGGAGTGATAGCACAGTGGGTAGGGCATTTGCCTTGCACACGGTCAACCCGGGTTCGATTCCCAGCATTCCATATGGTCCCCTGAGTCCCACCAGGAGTAATTCCTGAGTGCAGAGCCAGGAGTAACCCCTGTGCATTGCCAGGTGTGACCCCCCCAAAAAAAATTATTTTATTTTATTGTGAGGATCAATCTACACATATGACAATCCTTTATTTTGCTGTAGAAAGATGCATTAAATATTACTGGGTGACTTCATCTGAAAATAAGTCACAGTCTTATACATAATGAGATTTCCAAGGCTAGAATTATCCAAGAAGCTCTAACAAAATCACCTCCCTTTACAGAATACTTTGCAATACAATTTGTCCTCGTAAATCTTTTTGGGATTATGCAAACAATGCATAAGGTATAAAACAGTCACATTCCATTCTATATTCCAATAACCATTAAAGTTTCATCTTTTACAATGAAAAAGCAATCTAAGAAAATCTAGGGTATGACATGGAAAAGTTATCCAATCGCCTTTAAGAGGAATAATCACTATCACTATCACTATCATCCTGTTGTTCAACGATTTGCTCAAGCAGGTGCCAGTAATATCTCCATTCGTCTTTGTCATGTGCTAGTGTAGCCTGATGACATATTGGGGGCTCATTCAGGGTCAGGGGAATGAGGACCTTCATTGTTACTGTTTTAGGCTTATCAAGAACGCCACGGGTAGCTTGCCAGGCTCTGCCGTGCGGGCAGGATACTCTCAGTAGTTTGCCGGGCTCTCCGAGAGGGATGGAGACTTCGGGGCAGCCTCTAATCACCTTCACAAGTGTTCCCAGTCCAGCATATATGCGGGCATGATACTCTCAGTAGCCTGCCGGGTTCTCTGAGAGTGAGCACCAGAGAAAGAGCTTGGTTTTATAGTCTCTGTATCCTGGCCATTGATGGGGTTACATGGCAGTTGGTGGGTGTAACTATCTAGCTACTGGAAGATGGGGGAATCTGGGTGGAAGAGACCCAATCCCAAACCGAGCAGGTTTGGAGATCTCAGCCACAGGTCCCTCACACCTGGGTTCCTCTACCAGTTCCTTCATGCTTGAGGCTCGTCCAAGCATGTGGAGAGTGGTCTCAGCATGGCTTTGGCTGGGTCCCAGAGGTCTTCAGCTCAGGGCGGAGAGGGAAACTCAATCCACCCTCCTCAAAGGGGCCTGTGTGAGGACAGCCAGGCACGGGGGCAGGAGACTCTGCCTTGTTCTCTTCCGGGAGCTTGGTTAATAATACCAAGGAAAAAAATACAGTATGAATTTAGGAAATCTGACAGTGACTTGGGTAAACCCCATTTTAAGTCTAGATGTCCATTTAAAGATCTTTAATTCTTTAAGCCCAATTCCAATCACTGAAAAAGCCAATGCTATTTCAAGTAGAGCATTTCCACATTCTGAGTATTTCTAAGGTAACAGGGCCAACGCGATTGGTCGCTAGCTGCACAAAACTAAATTGTTTACTGTAAAATCTTATCATGCCGAAAGTTGTGTGTTCACGGGATCACTGGATGGCTCTTTCTCACCACTTGCGTTCGGTGCTCTTGAGCCCTGTGTGTGGCCTGGATCAGGACGGCTGTTCTTTCTCTCAAGCTTGAGCCCCTCTGGTTCTGACTCTCCCTCCCCAAGCTTACAGTCTTAGTTCATATAGCAATCACGTAAAGCGGTGACATAAAGGTGGGTTGAATATCGACAAATCAACAAGAGAGGTAAGACCACTCCTCCAGGAGATTTACTCAAGGATAAAATCTCATCTAAAGAGATTATTTCAGATTACTAGGAGATCCGCTCAAGGGTGAGATCCCAACAAGGGTGTGTTCTTCCCTCAGCTAGTAATCTACTTAAATAGTTGTAATAAATCTACTTCTAATATTTCTAACAATGTCATTCTGTATGAGCGCAGTAAGAGATATAAACTTAGTTTGGTTCTTCCTGAGAACATCTCACTATACATTTCGCAGTCCTCAGGCCAAGTTAGTCTTCCTAGCTCTAGCAGGGTCCTAGTCTCATTGTTCTTACTTTTGGATCATGACAGCATTTGTCCATGATCATGCCCTCAACTTATAGCTGAGTATCGTGGCGCTTTGGCCTGGCCCATTTCAATGCCAGGTTAGCTCACAACTTGCCCTGGGTCCATTCAGTCACTCGTCGGGACCCCGCTTTTGGGGTGCTAGGAACTAATGGCAACTAAGTCAAGAAATCATATGCCCAGGAGTAAATATTATTCGGAGTCAATTAACTCCCAACTTACAAAGCATAATATTAACTATCTTCCTATATCCACACAGAAAGGACATTGCTTACAAGTTCAATGTTTTTAGATGGGTGTGACCTGATAAACCTAAGCTACCTGAGGAAGGACAAAACAGAGTTATCCTACAGTTTACGATGAAATAAAAATTTAAATGAAACATTCGGCTATTTTTTTTTTAAATAAAAAATAAAAAATTAGTTTCTGCAATTGCACTTCTGCTGCTCATCTGCACCTGAGCGGTTGCTATGGAGCTGAGAAGGCAACTTGCTAAGCAAGCTCTGAAACTGACCATCCCGCTCCAGTATCTCAGAACAGAACTCCTCTCCTTCTTCTGCCCTACCACGACCAGTGGGTGCTCTTTTACGGATTGAGTCCATAATGCCATTAAGTTTTTTTTTAATTTGTTACTATTTACTATCTTCTAAAATTGCAACCTCTTAATAAGCAGTCATGATTTTTTGGGGTTTGTTTGTTTTTTGACCACTGTGTCCGCCACTACTAGAACCACAGGAAACCAGGATAAAATAAAATAAAAAACACAGTCATTCCGCAAAGTATTGCTTTGCAGGAATAATCGTCGCTGCAGGAGCTGGGCTGGCAAACGTCGCCAAGAGGATGCGACACCGCCTCCTTTAGGGATGGGTGAGGCCGTTCCGCCGCCAGCCCAGGCTGCCCCCGCCCACTCCCTGCAGGTACCCTCGGCCTCCTCGCACCCACTGAGCTCCGCCGCCGCCGCCTCCAGCGCGTCCAGCAGCAGGAACGTGTCCTCTGCGGGCTCGTACACGTCGCGGAAGGCGCCCCGGCCCACATGTCCGTGCACCGGCGTGGGCAGGCTGGGCGCCGCCATCTTTCTCGCTCCCCACCACCTATGCGCAGGCGCGACCGGCCCCTTTCGCGCAGGCGCAGATGAGTCTGTGACGCCGGCGCGCTGAGGGCGGCTAGTCGTTGCCTGGAGCATGTAAATCTCTTGGGATTTCAGTTTGGTTCATCTGATGAGTTAAAAGTGGTTAATGGGAACTCGCACTATTTTCTCTTTTCCTTTCTTATTAAAAATTTTTGTTTGTTTTACATCTAGGACTTTTCTGTAGCTAATTGAAGAGGATTTGAAAAGTTAGATACATTTTACTATTAAGCATGCAATTTTTTTGGACATGCTACTTAGTGATTCACTACTAAATTCTGTTTTACTATTCGAGAATCTCAGTTTATATCGACTTGACCTTGTCGGTGTCCTGAATAAGATAACTTGCTGGAGCGATGGCATAGCGGGTAGGGCATTTGCCTTGCATGAGGCCAACCCGGGTTCGATTCCTCAGCCCCTCTCAGAGAGCCCAGCAAGCTACCAGAGTATCTCGCCCATAGGGCAAAGCCTGGCAAGCTTCCCATGGCGTATTCGATATGCCAAACACAGTAATAAGCCTCACAATGGAGATGTTACTGGTGCCTGCTAGGGCAGATGGATGAAAAAAGGAGGACAGTGCTACAGTAGGGCACTTTGTTTCTTTGTTTGTTTGTTTGTTTTTCTCGTTATTTGGGTCACACCATGAGGCTACAGCTGCCTATCCCCCACTGGTGTTCGAATATTAAATGTAATCAAATACTTAATAAAATGAAAAATAAATTTAAAAAAGTGGGTTAGAGTGATAGTGCATGAGTTAAGGAGTGATTCCTGGGGGCTGGAGCGATAGCACAGTGGGTAGGGCATTTGCCTTGCATGCAGCTGATCCAGGTTCGATTCCCAGCATCCCATATGGTCCCCCGAGCACCACCTGGAGTAATTCCTGAGTGCATGAGCCAAGAGTTACCCCTGTGCATCACCGGGTGTAACCCAAAAATGCAAAAAAAAAAAAAAAGGAGTGATCCCTGAATATAGAGCCAGGAGTAATTCCTGAGCACTTCTGGATTTGGCCCCCAAACACAAAATAAACAAAACAAACACATTTGTTCCCTTTTATCTGTGCTTTTTAGTAGAGATAATTAATTTTGTGAGTTGGGGTTGGGTTACATCCAGTAGTATCACGACTTATTTCTGGCACGGTGCTTAGGAATCACTCCTCTTGGTGCTCAGGCGACTATATGTAGGGCCAGGGGTCAAACCTGGTCACATGCAATGTAAACACCTTCCCTCCTACACTATTTATCCAACGTGGATATTACTATGAATTTTTTGTTGGTATTGCACCAGCTAGGAAATAACATCAGTTCTCTCCCTCCCCACCCCAACCCTTTCTATTCTTTCCTCTCCTTCCCTTCTTCTCCCTTGAATTCTCCTCCATCTCTTTGCCCCACTCTTTCAATTTAACTTTAAAAAGTTAAAATACAGCTTTACTAGCAGCAGTCATTTGGTCAGGGTGGTTATTCATACACTGGGTCATTTCACACCCTCTTTTTAAATGGATTGTTTTGGGTACATAGTACCCTGGAAACAAAATCTAGCCTCCATCATACAACAGAAATAGTGCCCCCATGTCTACTTTTCCAGACAGTGCTAGTGGGTTCACACATTCACTCCTGCACCATATGAACAGTTTGTCAAGAGCTAATGCATATGTTTGGCACCATACAAAGTCCACGTAAAAGACGGAGACTTCTGTGGGAGATGAAAAATTCTTTCAAGTGCTTTAAAAAGATTTCTCCAGGTAGTCAGATCTTATGACTTAAGACCAGCAATGACCTCATCAGCTTCAGTTGGTTTAAGGTTGTCTTTGGCAGCTGCATACTGTACAAAATCTTGTTAATTGTAATTATTTTTCCTACTTACAAGTCCTGATGGATAAATTTTTATAAAACAATTATTTTTATACTTACACAACTATATAAAATATTTTCATTGATGTCCAAAATGTTCTGTGGTTGCCAAACAGATTCCATTTAATTTTCTAGAAATTATTGGAAAGTTAATATTCACATTTTAATAGCACCCTTGCCACAGTATTAAATCATGCTTCGTTGCAGTTTACAACAGTAATTATAATTACATTGGGTATATCCAGAATCAAACATAATATGTTCTTTCCAGTCAGTCTCTGATTAATGATGGTCATTTCCTTTTTTTTTTTTTTTTGCATTTTGGGTCACACCCGGCAATGCACAGGGGTTACTCCTGGCTCTTCAATCAGGAATTACCCCTGGCGGTGCTCAGGGGACCATGTGGGATGCTGGGAATCGAACCCAGGTCGGCCGTGTGCAAGGCAAACACCCCACCCGCTGTGCTATTGCTCCAGCCCCAATGGTCATTTCCTTTAAAAAAAAAAAGAGAGAGAGAGAGAGAGAAATTACGAATGAATTTTAGGGTCTTTCTGAAACTGAGTTTTCATAGAAATTATCATGGAAGGTACCAGAGAGATAGCACACTGGGTAGGATGCTTGCCTTGCATGTCACCTATCATGGTTCAGTTCCTGGCACCATATATAGTTCCCTGAGTCCCAGCAGCAGAGATTCCTGAGCACAGAATCAGAAGCCCTGAGCACTGCCAAGTATGGCCCCCAAAACAAAACAACAACAGATTATCATGGTTGCTCAGCATGCATTCTTTTTTGGTCATAGAGATCCATATCCATAGTAAACCAGCTGTATTGTGTTCCCCCTCCTCCCTCCTCGAAAATTCTTACGTCTGTGGATGTTATGTCTTTGGAAGTGCACCCTTTGGAAGATAAAAGTAGGTTTGGATGAGATCATGCTAGGTCAGGCCCTTATGATGTGATTAGTATCCTTGAAGGAACAGACCTCAAAGAGTCTCTCTGTCTCTCTGCTTTGTGAGTGCATAGTAAACATAGGAAACTGCAAAACAACCTTGGAGATCATATAATGTTTCTTTTGGACAGACGTTTCTCCACACAGGTGAATTCCTTGCGATGATATACTAATGCAATCCTGCTTGTTTACTCTGTCAATGAATGTACAATTGGTTTGTGAATATGCCACTGCAATGACAGCAGATGGGTTTACTTGTATTTATTTTATGTGTTTTTAAGCTAATATTCCTATTTCTTTTTGCAGTCACATTCTCCTAAAATCTGATCTGCACCATCTCAAGTTGTGGTGAGGTAAGTCAGATTCTGGAAAAAGATATGGAGGGAAAACCTTGTGGAATGCAGACATACTGTTGGCAGCTTCAAGGTGACATTTTGCAAGGAGAAAGGTTGGGCTTTTCATGTTGGATAAAGTGATCTTTGCACATTTTTGCTGCTTTTGTTCCAATAAAGGAAAGGTGACCTATAAATATGAGACCATTGTTGTAATGAAAAACGTGATGTAAAGGTCTTTTTTATGGGGTGTGTGCGTGTTAAAATCAGAACCACATTTTCTCCGGGTGTAGGCATATTTGCAATGAAATTTGGGAATAATAATAATAATAAAAAGGTTATTTTCCTAGATGAAATCATCCAATTGAAGCCATTAGGAAAGATATGAAACTTCTGGATTCACTAACACAACAGTTCTGGATGAGAACAGAACAGCGATCAAATGAATGATGAGGTTACAACTGCCTAGGCCACTAGTGAATTTCTGGACCATTAAGAGATATGGATTAATGAGTATGATTGCTCTGCTTTGGGGGTACATCTAACTTTTCACCTGCAGGCAGTAAGGATAATTTTGAATCACGTAGATCTTTTCATCTTCTCACAAAAACTTAATGGACATTACATCCTTTTCTTCCTGAAGGAACAGAATTTCTTTTGAAATTTAGTCAAGGTTTCTTGAAGGCATCTAGCCAGTGCAATTTCCTGGACCAGATTAATGTTTGTAGGATCAAGAAATCTTAGGAAACTAAACAGAATCTGTAAGCAATTAGATTTTGGAGGGTTGTTATGTTAGAGCTTAGTGAGAAAAGACTACATATGTGTCTATTAGAAATATATCTCTATTTCATATCCATATATATGTGTTCAGAACAGTGTTACTATATATAGAATATTTATGTGTATTAGGAATATATAGTATATTCTAACACATGTACCTTATGCATATATTCAATAGTGTGTATCCTATAATAAAATAAATGAAAATATATTTAAAATATATTTTATTACATGTACGGACTGGAGCGATAGCACAGCAGATAAGGCATTTGCCTTGCACATGGTCGACCTGGGTTCAATTCCTCCGCCCCTCTCAGAGACCCCGGCAAGCTACCGAGAGTATCTTGCCCGCACAGCAAAGCCTGGCAAACTACCCATTACGTATTCAATATGCCAAAAAAAGTAACAACAAGTCTCACAATTTGTTGACACGTTACTGGTGCCCGCTCTAGCAAATCAATGAACAAGGGGAGGACAGTGCTACAGTGTTACAGTACAGATTATAAATGCAATATATTTAAAACATGTTTTTTATTACATGTACAGTTTATAAATGCAAAAATGAGGACTCTGGGTTTTTTTTTCTTTTCTTTTTTGGGTCACACCCGGTGGTGCTCAGGGCTCTGCACTCAGGAATTACTCCTGGCAGTGCTTTGGGGACCATACGGGATGCTGGCTATCAAACCTGAGTCAACCAGGTGCAAGGCAAATGCCCTCCCTGCTGTACTATCACTCTAGCCCAAGTGAAGACTCTGGTGAAAGACAAAAGTAGATTTTTCTTCTGGGTACTTCATGCAATTTGGAGAATGCCAAATATCACCAAGGTTTTTTTTTTTTTTGCTTCTTTTGGGAGGTGGGGTCACACCTGGCAATGAACAGGGGTTACTCCTGGCTCTGAGCTCAGGAATTACCCCTCGCGGTGCTCAGGGGACCATATAGGATGCTGGGAATTGAACCCCGGTTGGCCGTGTGCAAGGCAAACGCCCTACCCGCTGTGCTATTGCTCCAACCCCATCACCAAGGATTTAAGGCACAAGGTTTGACTATAAGACCACAAACCTAGGACATTTATTCAACATTTAGTCTGTCAATTTGCTCGAGCGGGCCCAGTAACATCTCCATTGGAGACTTTGTTGTTACTGTGTCTGGCATAGCACAGCGGGTAGGGCATTCGCCTTACAAGCAGCCAACATGGCCGACCCGAGTTCGATTCCTCCGCCCCTCTCGGAGAGCCCGGCAAGCTACCGAGAGTATTCGATATGCCAGACACAGTAACAACAAAGTCTCCAATGGAGACGTTACTGGGCCCGCTCGAGCAAATCGACGATCAACGGGAGGGCCTTTACCTTTACCTTTACCTTAGTCTGTCAATATGTGAGTGGATCTCATGATTATCTGTGAGAGGATCTGTCCTTCAGTTGTCTTGAGTATCTTATCCTATCTTATCTTATCTTATCTTATCTTATCCTTGAGTATCTTTCCAATTCTTCACTGTATTTTATAGGGGTGGTGGCATCCAGCATGTCCTACTTAGTGTGTTGGCCATCTAACGTGACTTATGTTGACCCAGGGAGAACAAGGGCTAGGAGGACTGGTCAACGGTTAGAATCTACCACAAGTGTATGTGGGGCTGAGAGTAGGTAAGATAGAAAAGGGACCAATATGACAATAATAGTTGGAAATGATCATGCTGGACAAGAACTGAGTGTTTAATGTAGGTAAAGGGATAGACACAACAACCTTTGGATATCTTTATTGCAAACCACAATGCCCAAAAGGAGGGAGGAAGAGGGAGAGGAAGAGGGAGAGGAAGAGGGAGAGGAGAGGGAAAGGGAGAGGGAGAGGGAAAGGGAGAGGGAGAGGGAGAGGGAGGGGGAGGGGGGAAGAGGGTGGGGAGAGAGAGAGCATGTGAAAGGGAGCGAAAGAAGAGTGAGAGAGAGCAAGAGCAAAAGAGTGACAGTGAGACAGAGAGTGAGAGAGAGCAAGATGTAGAGAGAGTGAGAATGAAAGAAAGCCAGAGAGAAAGAGTGGGAGAGCAAGAAAGAGAGCGAGAGAGAGAGACAGAGTGACACAGAGAGAGAGAGAGAGAGAGAGAGAGAGAGAGAGTAGAAAGGCACTGCCATAGAGGCAGGCAGTGGGTGGGAACACTATGCAGCTGTTAGAAAGAATGAATTCATGAAATTTGCTTATAAATGGATGGACATGGAGAGTATCATGCTGAGTGAGATGACTCAGAAGGAGAGCGACAGGTAAAAAATGACAGCATTCATTTGTGGGATACAAAATATATAGTAGGAGACTAATATTCAAGGCCAGGGAAAACAAAAACAAGGGCTAGGAGGAGGGAAGGAGGGAAGGTGTGTGTGAGAGAGAGAAAGAGAGAAAGAGAGAGAAAGAGAGAGAGAGAGAGAGAGAGAGAGAGAGAGAGAGAGAGAGAGAGAGAAGTGCCTACCGAAGAGGCAGTTTGGGAGTAGGGTAGGGGGTGATGGGAGGGAAATTGGGGACACCGGTACTGGGAAATTACACTGGTGGAGGGATGGGTGTTGGAACACTGTATGACTGAAGCCTGATTATGAACAGCTTTGTACAGGTCTATCTCACAGTGATTCAATAAAAAAATCTTGGAGACACAAATAAATCAAGTGACCTATATTGAAGTGGCAACTTTTTAAAAGGCTTCCCCATATCCTGATAACATTTCTGTGTATATTTATCACTATGATATAGGTGCAGGGAAGTTACCAGGGAGTGGGGAAACCTTTTCTTTGTCTTTTTTTTTTTTTTTTGCATTTTTGGCTCACACCCGGTGATGCACAGGGGTTACTCCTGGCTCTGCACTCAGGAATTATTCCTGGTGGTACTTGGGAGACCATATAGGATACTGGGGAGTCGAACCCGTGTAAGCTGTGTGCAAGGCAAATGCCCTACCCGCTGTGCTATCACTCCGGTCCTGGGAAAACTTTTCAAGGAACACCTGGGCTAAGTGGATGTCAGCTATCTAGGCTAATTTCCAGCTGGACTTCCATGAGCAAAATTCTTATTTCATTCCAAATGGGATGTGGAATATAAATTTCTTAGCATTCCAAGGGTACAAAATCAGCGCATTCATTAAAATCACGAAGCTTTCATTCTTCGTGTGTATGATTCCTCTCATTTCTTAGATAAGGTATCAATGAGATATACATGCACATAGGAAAAAAACAGTGCCAGGGATTATGTGAATTCCATTTTTGTTCACAGACTTCATGCCCAGGTGCTCTCAGTTCAACTCATGTCAAAGCATGAGGCTGAGTGAGAACACACAAACTTTACCTGCCTTGGGGCATTATTGGACTGGTTAGCTCTCCCAGAGTCATAAATTTTTAAAATTGTTTTCCTGCATATGCCATGCCATGCAATCGTGTTCTCCTCTGGGACTTCTGCTGCTCGTTAAATGACACAACGTTTTTGTTGGCTGAAGTGCAGGGTGAAAATTGTTCATCACCCATGCAAAGCAACTGGAGACCTCTTTTGGGGTTCAGTAGTTAACCTGCCCTGGAGAACGGTTAATGAGCTAGAGAAGGAAGGACTAACAATTAAATTACAATTTGGAAAGATGGATTCCTATAAGCAGCAGGTAAGGGTAGGCGCAGTTGGGGTACTGAGAAACAGAATTCAGAGATAGTCAAGTCATTTTTATTATTTTTGTTTTGTTTTGTTTTGGGGCCACACCGACAATGCTAAGGGGTGATTCCTGGCTCTGCAATCAGGATTCGTTCCCAGCAGTGCTCAGGGGACTATGTGGGGGTGGCGGGGATTGAACCCGGGTCAATCATGTGCAAGAAAAGTGCCTTGCCTGCTGCATTATCTCTCCAGCCCCATATCTTTTCTAAAACATATTGTAGCACTGTAGCACTGTCCTCCTATTGTTCATTGATTTGCTCGAGCGGGTACCAGTAATGTCTCCATTGTGAGACTTGTTACTGGTTTTGGCTATCGAATACGCCACGGGGAGCTTGCCAGGCTCTGCCATGCGGGCGGGATACTCTCAGTAGCTTGCCTGGCTCTCCGAGAGAGACAGAGGAATCAAACCCTGGTCTGCCGCATGTAAGGCAAATGCCCTACCCACTGTGCTATACAGAACTCATTATCACTGATGGAAATGAAAATCCCAGAGCAAAATGGCTCAAATAAATCATAGGCTGGAATCCCTTTTTTCTCTAAAGAGACTTTCTATATACTGAGATGCTTCACTCTTTTCACAAATGATCATTATACAAATTTTGCATTATAATTACAATTTCATTGTGTTAACAGGTCCAGTTTCTTAGTAATTTAAAAGCTATGGATGGAATAAATCCAAAGGTTTGGGATTAAAATGAAATTTTCCCACCGAGAATTGGGATTGGTCTTAGAGTAAGATGATGTGGAGGTCAACAGGTAATTCATGATAGGAATATGTCTCTTCTTGTTAGGAAAAACAAGTTTATAATTCTCACTGACTGTAAGTAAGCCAGTTGGAGTAGTCAACTGACAGGGAGTTTTGCAGTCATTATAAATCAGGCTTTGGAATTGGTAGAATAGGTGCCAAAGCCCTATTAATTTCAGCTTTGTTTGACAAAGTAGAATTTAGTGGTGTATAGTATAACACAATCACTATGCAGAACTTTATACAGTTCTTTGGGTTATGAAGACTAGAGAGTAACCAATTCTAATATTTTAGAAACGATTTAATGCAGTGATAGATGTAACTAAGAAATAACAAAAATGTAGTTAATTCAAATACTGCCTTAAAAATATGGTAATCTGGTAGATGATTAAATGTTTTTTTTGAAACAGCATTAAAGAAAGATAGTGAGGAGGATCTTAGAAGTGATACACTAAAATGTTTTTTGTTGTTGTTTTTCTTTTAAAACAAATGTGGAAACTGGGCTCCAGAGATGTTATTTCACTTACTTAGGATTTAGATTTAACCAACTATTGAATCGCAGTCAAAACTAGAACCCAAGTTGACTTCCCAGGCCAATGCTTTTGCAAGTTTCCTCTGTTTTTTTTATTTTAACAAAAACTGTGTACAAGTGAAAAAACTGTTTATTTCAATGAATAAAGCATACTTTTATAACTAAACTAAAATCTGCAGAATCTATTTTTAAAATGACATTAAAAATTGTGTTTGTTTTTGTGGGGCCAGGGACAGAATCCGGGTCTCTTGCATGCAAGGCATGTGCTTGACTGTTGAGTTCCAGTCTATCCTAAAGTTTCTTTAATTTTTTTTTTCATTTTCTTTCTTTCTTTTAGTGTGTCTATCTAGGTTTTTAATGGAATGAAACTTAGCAAGGTGGACTGGAGAGATAGTACAGCATGCAGGGCGCTTGCTTTGCACACGGGTTCTATAGCATCTTCCCCTATGGTCCCCCCACCCCCCCAGCACTGCCGCACTGCCATGTGTGATTCCTGAATGCAGAGCCAGAAGTAACCCCTGAACATTGCTGGATGTAGCCCCCAAATAAAACAAAAGAAACAAAATGCGCATTTAAAAAAAGGGAAAGATGTGAAGGAGAGGAAGAGAGAATATATGTGTTTAAGAGAGAGCCTGTGCTTCTCCAAAGGGGAAAAAGCAAACAAAGAAGATACTTAGAGACAAGCAAGGAAAATGCATGTTCAAGGGAGAACAGGGGCTTGACGAGCAAATCTAGTTTGTTATTTTTCAGGGGAGACCACAAACACAGTCCCCCACTACTACAAAGTATGCAGTCAAATTTCCCACATTTGGGGAAATTGCAGGTACCAGCACATCTGGAGTGTAGTGGATCAGCATCACCCTGAGAAAACCCCCTTTGTGATCATTTCCTCTCCCAGGTACATACGCATATTTTTGAAAATATGATTTATTTTTAAAATTTTATTTTATTTTTGAATGAGACCAGTTGTAGTTACTGGTCTCATCACATCCTCCAGAACGGCAATGGAGAAGATTATCCATGACTTCTACTCAAATCTCTTCGATAGCCATGTCCACTTGCCGACATACCAAATTCCACAGGATGGGTATGTCGTTCCCAACGTTCTCCCTTCCGAAATCCGACACGCCATTTCGTCAGTAAAGAAGCAAACAGCACCCGGCCCAGACAAGGTCAGACCTGAACACCTGAAGAACCTGCCGTCAGTACTCATCAATACACTGGCTCGGCTCTTCACTCGCTACCTGTCTGAATGCAAGGTTCTATCTCAATGGAAAACCAGCAGGACCGTACTACTGTTCAAGAAGGGAGACATCCATGACATTGGCAACTATCGCCCGATCTGCCTATTGTCTGTCATCTACAAGTTGTTCACTCGAGTCATCCTGAATAGGATTGGCAGAACACTAGATGAAGGACAACCATGCGAGCAAGCAGGGTTCCGCAAAGGATTCAGCACCATCGACCATATCCACACGATAACCAAGCTCATTGAGGTTTCTCGGGAGTTCAAGATGCCACTCTGCTTAACGTTCATTGATTTAAAGAAGGCCTTTGATTCTGTTGAGACGGAAGCGGTCATTGAAGCCCTAGCCAATCAGGGCATTCAAGCCCAATACATCAGGATCCTCCGTGAGTTGTATTGCGGATTCACTACCAGGATCTCACCATTCTACAAAGAAGTGATCGTTGATGTCAAGAGAGGGGTGCGGCAGGGTGATACCATTTCACCGAAACTCTTCAGTGCCACCCTCGAGAACATCATGCGACGACTGGAATGGGAAGGAATGGGAGTGAAGATAGATGGTCGGCAACTACACCACCTCCGCTTTGCTGATGACATTGTTTTAATAACACCAAACATCAGCCAAGCGGCACAAATGCTGGCCGACTTTGACCGTGAGTGTGGAAAGGTAGGACTACAGCTGAATCTTACGAAGACAATGTTTATGAGAAACAGCCTTGTTCCTGACGCCCCATTCGCTCTCAATGGAACGACCATCTCTGAATGCAACAGCTATGTGTACCTAGGTCGGGAGGTCAACATGACAAATGACCTGGCACCCGAGCTGCGCAGGAGGAAGAGAGCGGCTTGGAACGCCTTCAAGAACGTCGAAGAAATAGCTAAGAGGACGAAGAACCTCCGGCTCCGGGCACATCTCTTTGATTCCACTGTTCTTCCTGCATTAACATATGCCTCAGAGACCTGGGCCCTACGCAAACAAGATGAGAACGCCATTCAGGTCTCCCAAAGAAGAATAGAAAGAGCTATGCTTGGAATATCACGTTTCACTCAAATGAGAGAACGAATCCGGAGTTCTGACATCCGTCGACGATCAAGGATCAGGGACGCTGTCTCATTTGCCAAGGTGTCGAAAATCAGATGGGCTGGTCACGTAATGAGATTTAAAGACGACCGTTGGACTAGAGCTGTTACTGATTGGATTCCACGGGATGTCAAGAGACCGCGTGGCCGCCCACCTACCAGATGGTCAGACTTCTTTGTCAAGATCATGAACGATCGGTTTGAGGCCCTCCATGTTCCCGGAGCGAAGAGATGCCATTGGGCTACACTAGCACGCGACAGGGACAAATGGAGACGTTACTGGCGCCCGCTCGAGCAAATCGACGACTAACGGGAAGTTAAGTGATTAAGTGATTAAGTGATTATTTTATTTTTATAAGGTTGTTCATGATAATTTATTATACTCAATATTTCAACACCAATACCACCACCATTACACCTTCCGACCACCATGATTTCTAATGATCCCAACTACCACCACCCTGTCCCAATAGCAGGCCCAAAATAATTTTTGTATTGCTAACAATTATAATTTGCTAAGAACTACCAAAAATGATTTCCTTAGATGATAGTGTGTGAAGATCATTGCATCTCTCCCTGGAGCAATTAAACTCTTGTATAAGAGATTACTAAATGTTTTTACAGGTTAAAGCCTTATATGTTAATATTTTCTTCTTCGAGATTGGTTGTCTTCCACTTTACATCCTATCTATTGTGGTGTGTTACTCATGTATATCAGTGGTGTTGATGTCACTCCAGGAATTCTAAAATTTTGAATGCGGTCATATAGCTGGAGTTAAATTTGGTAACGTTGGATGGTGAATTTGGATGGTGACTCTGGAAGGCATCTCTGCAACTTGTTGCTCTCTTCCAAGATTTATTTGTTAGTCTCTGGATCATGGCTTTTCATGAGCTTATATGGTGCCAGAGGCAGTTCATGGGTATGACTTCCAGGCTCCAGGAAGAACAGGGAAAGGTCACCCATCCCTGACTCCGTGAGAACCTGGAGCTTTTGGTCACAAAACACGCATGCCTGAGTTTGAAAATCTGATTCTTATTTATTGTGGAAAGTGAACAAATATTAGGTACCCTAGATTGTTAAATGCCCTGAAGATGTACATATTTGAATAGCAAATCAAGTCTTCCAGGAAGAAAAGTGCATAGCAAGGTATACTTTTGCCTCCTTGGCCAAGAGCAAAGCCGAGTGAATCTTCTTGGCAGTCAGATGCTCTTGGTGGTGATATTCATGGTGATCTGGGCTCATCTGGCTGCATGTCACAATTCAAAAGTGTGTTCCATGTCATGCCTCTGTCTGTTGAAAACACATGGCATGGTGCAGTGGAAACTGTGTGTAATCCCTTGTATTTTCAGTCACCAAGTCATTGACTTTTAAGAAATGTCCATGGACTGGGATTCTAGATCTTCTTAGTAGATCACAATTGGTTTGTCCACAGACTTGGAATTCTCTGCACAGGAATCCAGCATTTCTGAAGCATGTTTTCTTTATGCGGTTCTCACACACAAACACCAAGAGAATATTGTGTCTGCACTCTTCCTTGAGATGTGAAAGGACATTCCACAAGGTCTGAGGCTTTGCCCATCTTACTGTGAGAACAGAAAAAACATTCAGGAAGAATTTGTGGAATGTGGAAATGAACACCTAGAACAAACATTAATCATAACTAGCACTTAGGTTGTTAACATTTATGCCTGCTAGTTTTCTGACTACGGTGGCTGCATCATTTGATTTTCCTTTATGCTTCGTTTGATCATCCTAATTTATGAACTAGTAATGGTTACTCTTCCTACATCAAAGAGGAGAGAAATCGAGACTTAGTTGAAATAACTTTCCCAGAGTTGTTCAGCAGTGATTCTGAAATTTAGGGCAAAGTCATCTGGATCCAGTTCTTTTAGTTCCTAGGCTGTGTTATCTCTCTCTGTTAAGCTATTGCCTTTCTTTTTTGTTTTCTTTTCTTTTTTTATTACTTCCTTCTTCCTTAAAGCAAAAAGTAAGACCTTGGGGCTCGTCCTACATTTCAGTTTTTTTTTTTTTAATTTAAGTTTATTTTTTGAGTTTTTTTGAGCCACACCTGTCAAGGTCCAGGGCTTACTCCTGGTTCTGTGTTCAGGGATCATTTCTAAGTGCTCGGTGGACCCTTTGTGGTGCCTGTGAATGGAAGTCGCTTGCATAGGAATGTCTTGCCCGCTGTACTAACCATCCAGCCCTTTCCACATTCTCACATCTAAAATTGAGCAATATTTAAAATAGAATCACATTTGTGGTTTAAACAGCAGGAAAACTGAGAAGTTTTATAGAGTCTGAAACAGATGGAAGCCTCAAAGTGCCCTGGAAGGATTTCGTAGTGGGGGTGGCGGTGGAGGGGGGGTCAAGTTCAATTCCCTTTCCTTTGGGAAGAAGATGACTTAGAACATTCTGTTTGTAATAGGATTATGTTCTAATCTTAAACAACATGATATCATTTTTCATCTTGAACCAGTTTCCTCATCTTAAGCAGTTCCTAAGGGTTGTTTGAGAAATACAAACTTTTAACAATTCATATTGAGGGAGCCACAGCACAGTGGGTAGGGCACTTGCCTTGCTTGTGGTTCACCAGGGTTCCACCCCTAACACCCCATAGTCCCCTGAACACAGCCAGGAATGATCCATGAGCACAGACTGGTGTGCTCTAAACCACCGCCACCACAACAACAACGAAAGAAAAATTCAGTCTCAGTTGTATTTCTTTTTCTTTTTTGGTTTTTTGCTTTTTTGAGTCACACCTGGCGATACACAGGGGTTACTTCTGGCTCTGCACTCAGGAATTACTCCTGGCGGTGCTCAGGGAACCATATGAGATGCTGGGAATCGAACCTGGGTCAGCCATGGGCAAGGCAAACACCCTACCCTCTGTGCTATAGCGCCATCCCCTCTATTATATTTCTATGCAGTCTTAGCACTCCATGTCACCTTCAAATGAGTCCAAAAGAAAGGACATCTCACTAAGATGGCTCACTTTTATTTTTATTTATTTATTTATTTTTATTGAATCACCGTGAGATAGTTACAAAGCTTTCACGTTTGCATTTCAATCATACAATGATCAACACCCATCCTTCCACCAGTGCACATTCTCTATCACCAATGTCCCCAGTATACACCCCCTTTTCAACCTCCTCCTGCCTCTATGGCAGACAATTTCCCCCATACTCTCTCTCTACTTTTGGGCATTATGGTTTGCAGTACAGATACTGAGAGATTGTCACATTTGGTCCTTTATACTTCAGCACACATCTTCCACCCTGAACGATTCCTCCAACCATCATTGTCTTAGTGATCCCTTCTCTCTTCCACCTACCTTCTCCCCCAGATCATCAGACAGACTCAAACTATGGGGCAATATTCCTGGCCCTTGTATCTACTCTCTTTGGGTGTTAGTTTCATATTATGCTATTTTATATTCCACAAATGAGTGCAGTCCTTCTATGTCTGTCCCTAAGATGGCTCACTTGATGAGCTGAGGGAGGCTAACTACACCAGAATATCCTGCCTCATCAAACCTTAAATCTGGGAAGCTTGCTTCTTTTAAGCTTATTTGTGTTT